GAACCATGTCATGTGCTGGATACTCAGAAGGCCTTTCTTCATACATGAAGGGTAAGCTTTGGAAGCTAGCATGCAGACCACAAACTCATCGGGGGTTGGGAGTCGTGCTAGTTAATTTGAGTTGTTTGTGTTTTTTGTTCCTCCCAGCGACAAGCAAACAAAGCGAGCACCTGCCCCCGCGAGTGTTCAGGGTTGTCCCTTGACACTTGCCGTTCGAGGGTATTGGTAGCCATAACCTACCTGGGGGACCAACCATGGCGTAGGTTGTAGCCATGGTTGCTATTCACTTCTTCAACTCTCTTTAAGAAATCTATCCAAGCCGCAACAATTCTGGTGTTAGGGTCCGGTGGAGCCTTTCATGGCTGTGAAAATCGTAGGGATTAGTGCAGACCCCATCCGACGCCTCACCAGTTCAAGTCTCCTGAAAGGAGAACTGAAAAGCGTCCGACTTGGTAGGGAAAGAGCAACGCTACCGGAGGTCAACCCGGGCTTCAGACTCCACACAACCCGAGGGGTTTGGAGGATTTTGGGTTTGATCACCTCAACAACTTGATTTCTGGCGTCAAACTTGTTGTCTTGGCCCCGCATCAAACGAAGCTGGACCTTTCAAGACTCCAAGCAAGTCTCTAAGCCCAGTGCTTTCGTTCAAGTAAGCGGAAGTCCAGCATTCACCAAGGAAAAGCCCCAGGTGATGCATTTTGCCTTTGGGGAAAGGTTGGTCCGTTTGCCTGTCGCTCACCAACTCATTTGTGCACAGAGCCAAGGTTTTTTTCTTGGCGCGCTTGGGAAAGACCGGGTTCAGGAATTTGACATGAACCCAGGGCGTGAATTTCTTTGTCATGGGGGCTGGGGGGGAGGGAGGGGGAGGGGGAGGGAGCCCAAATAAGCCCTTCCCCCTCCCTCCCCCCAGCCCTCATGACTCCCGAAATGGTGTGCATGTTAGGAGAGTCCTGCGACCCTCTCAGGCAACAATCTCTTCCAGGTTCGGTTTGCCTCAGTCGGGGGCCAAGAGAGATGGCTCGAACACCTTACAGTGATAAAGCCATGGGGAATTTGTCCTACTGCGATAAAACCACGGAGAATTCGTTTCCCTTGAAGTGATAAAGCCCGCAAAAAGGGTCAGACGGCAAATCCACCAATCCCGGTTTTTTTCCCCCCTTGGTCGTGCGGTCCCATGGCTAACATTGGCCAACCAAGGGAACGACCCTTAAGCTATAAGGAACATAGCTGTTTGGTTGCCTACGATAGTGTCGAAACGCCTGGGATCCATTTGCTTTTTAAACATCCCTTGGCCCAGTGTTTAGTTTCCCAGATGATGTTTCTATTGAGGGAAGTATCGTACACCCAGAGGTGTCCCAAAAACACAAAGCGGCCCATGCGTGCTTGACCCCGAATCCACCGTCCGCAGCAAATCATAACATGCATTTCTTGTATGAACTGCAGTGGTTTGGCACCGCGCGAACTGGAGTCACACAGCGTAAAGTAGCGAAAGTACTCATGATGAATTTGCATAGAGGATCGCATCACCTACCACGTCGCCACTAGCTTGGGCTATTCGCCAAAGGCCCGTGCCAGCAGGAATCACCACACGTCCGCACAGGTGTTGCCCACTGGCGCGTCAAGATGCTGAGCTCAATGTCACGTATCAGAAATTGGACCCTCAATATGGTGGTCCTTTTGGTTTCCCTTACCGAGGTGAAAAGAAAACACCACGGTTTCCGAGCCAATTCCCTTTGTGGAACCTCAGCGATCGTTTCAATGGACGCCAGTAGAAAGATCAACATGCGCACTGTGACTGTCAAAACACACCAACCCATCTTCGAGCATATCTTAGGTTGAAGGGCTCCCGAGTTGGCAGCTGCCAGGGGCTTTGGCATGACACCATGGCAAGAACCGCGTGCCCTGTCTGGCAGGGTTGCTTTGAACCGTAAGATGACGAATTCGTGAAGACTGGAAATAGTTGCTTTGATGATTTTCTGTTTGTAACGCTGTTTTTTTATCTGAAAGTTCAGAACTCGAATAGACATAGTCACATGTTATTGCTATTAGACGACTGTATAAATGATGAACTGAGCAGAATAAATAGTGATCAACAGTGAAATTACTATTTTGTGAACTGCAGAGAGCGAAGCAAGGAGGAGCTCAGCAATTCACTTGTTCCTGTGATCCAGCGCCAGTATAGACGAACAAATGCAATGATGAAAAGCACGAGGGATGTTTCAACCAAAATCATATTTGACCTATATAGTTATATGAACGTGAAACCAATTAGTATCAATTAGTGCTATAGCAGCACTTGCTCGGTCGTCCGTGGTTTTTGTTATATAGTTTAATATCATAAGAATGATAGGGTATTTGTTCAACGCTGATATTTACCCGAGTATATATTTCAACTTTGCTTGTGCATACCTTGTTGGCGAGTTGGATTTGATTTAGGTTGATCCATGTAGAGTATAGCAGTGCTTAACATGTTCCTTGATTTCAGGTTGTGCGGGGCTCGCGTCAGCCGCGTCAGCCGCGTCAGCTCCTGTTCCTTGAGGTCGCCTGCCTCTTGCTGAAGCGGGTGGCTGCGCCTGGCCGGCTGAGCGGCGGGGAAACCCGGCCGGCCACCGCTACTACCGCTGCTACTACTAGTGCTTCTACTACTGCTTCTGCTGCTATCCTTACTACTACAGCTACTACCTCTACTACTGCTACAACTACTACTATTCTGAGTCTTTAATTAGTTCCGTTTTACAACTAGCCGAATCATACCCGGGAATCATACCCGAATCGTACCCGGACAATGAGCTTCCCTTGCCAAGGCTAGGTCTTTTCAAAGCTTCCGCCCACCACTACAGCCGCTGCTTCTCCTGCTACTGCTACTGCTACTGCTACTGCTACTGCTACTGCTACTGCTACTGCTACTGCTACTGCTACTGCTACTGCTACTGCTACTGCTACTGCTACTGCTACTACTACTACTACTACTACTACTACTACTACTACTACTACTACTACTACTACTACTACTACTACTACTAAGTACTACTACCACCACCACCACCACCACCACTACTACTACTACTACTCCTGTACTCCTACTCACTACTACTACCAATACTACTACTCTACTCCTCTTCTTCTTCTATTTCTGCTACTTCTTCTACCTGCACTCCTACTCATTAGTACTACCAGTACCACTACTTCTCTGCTACTACGGCTACTACCACTACTACTACGACTCCCTTTCAATGAATATGGCCACCACTACGGAGCTACTACTACTAGTGCGACGACTACTGCTACTGCTACTGCTAATACTACTGCTGCTGCCGCTGCCGCTGCTGCTGCTGCTTCAGCGAATCATACCCCCGAAGCATACCCCATAATCATACCCGCGAATCATACCCCGTGCTCAAACCTTCCTGCCTGGCTCCCGTAAAAAGTGCAAACCCACATGCATTCATGTGTCCCCTTTTTCTTGGTGGCATATGTGGGGGAGACCCCAAGACAGGTTCAACAACCTTCAAATAGAGCCGGCGCTTTTTGGGCAGTTGGGATCTTGAACATGGGGGTTTGAAGCAGTTGGGTGCTGGGCAGCGCCAGGCACGTCCATCTGGAAGTTGAAGCCACAAAAACTAAGATCTTAGATGATCTGGGTGCCCAATAGGTGTGATTGTTTGACGCGCAATATCAAGGGATATCAAGGGTTGAGTATTTCACTGACGTGCTGCTCTGAGTTGGCTTGCAAAGCCACAAGACTTTGGGTGCGTCTGAAGGGAAACCCAACGGAAGCCGCTTAGTTCGCGGCTTTTCGAGGATAGGTGTCCTTTTTGCTTGGTTTGCTCAAAAAGTAGAGGGCCCTGGTGTAGATGGGGTTTGTGCCCCATTTGCCAGGGCCATCTATTTACCCTAAAAGGCCACCTATGCATCGGAGCCCTGCCCCTCGGCGAATGAGCGCTGATCCTTGCAGGCGATGCTGACCTCTCGCGGCGCACCATCGATATGAGCGGAAAGAAATGGCCTCGCGCCTTTGGGGCTGCCTGAGTTTTTGTTTCTTCCTTTTTTGTGGCACGTCCTCTTTTTGCGGTTATCTGTTTTTTTTTGGTTTTTCCTTGTTTGTTTCTTAGTATTATTGGTATTATTTGTTTATCATTTTTCCGGGGGGTGGTCAAAGGGAACATGAGGGGTCCCTAAAACAAAGGGACACCCTGCCCCCAATTTGTGGCCAATCCGTTCCAAAGGCCTAGGTAACCTGGAGCAATGTTCTAGCCGCCGCCCCAAGAAGCCTTTTGCTTGCAAATGGGCGTGGCTCAAATTTAAAGAGCTAGGGCTACGTGGGTTTGGTCTTTGGTGGCACCTACCAAGGCGCAAGTGTTTGGTATATGTTTTTGAGCCACAGCCAAATGAAACCAGGTGGTTTGAGCATCAACAATTAAAACACCTGTGTGTCCTCAATAATGTTGACGCCGAATTAATAAACCCCTTTTTAGTAATATGGAGGTGGGGGCCCCTCCAAAAATGGTCTACATGTCCACTAAGACTAGGGACACCGGGAGTATTAATAAACAGGGGTTTACCAATCGGGGGTGGTCCTCGACCTCAACAGGACTTGCTTGAGGCCCACCCTTATGGCGGGTCCAATGATGCTTGCAGGGCCAATAGGAGGCGCAGCCCATGTTTTGTGGATCCTTCACTTTTGGGTTTTTTCTTGACCCGGAGTCAGTATCAATTTGGGCTGAATGGGAGACTCTGCCTTGGGAAGCACATGGGCATCAACACGTCCTCTGGAAACTGGGGGAAGTGGGTCTTATGCCTTATGAGCTTTCCCCTTTGTCAGCACCTTCCAAGGGCATGTTCCAAGATGCCAAGTACTGTCCAAGAAGCATCGGTTCCTGAGTGGGGTGGAGGTGCTGGATCTGTTTTCTTTGGTGCAGTTTATTCTAAAGGGACCCCTCTCCTTCCGGCAAATTAAAACTTTTCCTGCACACTGGCCGCTCGGTCTCCGGAACCTGGGCAGGCCCCTGTAGTTCCTCCGCCTCAAGAGCGAGGAAGCGATCAGGCACGGGAGTTCCGAGGGGTAAAGTTCCCTAAGTCCACTGGAGGTTTGGGCCGTGATTTCATCCTCTCAATCCCTTCTTGTATTGGTTCCCCATAAAAGGAATTAAGCGCAAGAGGAAACCCCTTTGCTACCGGGGTCAACTGGGTGGATGTTCAGTTGCCAAAGTCATGTTTGAAGTCTCAGTCTGAGTGAAAGCATCCTTGCGACCAACTTTCCCGGAACCCACATGCTCAGTGTCAAGTATATTTGACCAACAGAACGCCAATTCAGAGGGCCCCTCCAAGTAACGTGCAAACTTACTGAAGTGTCATGCAAGAAAGCAAATCCTCTGGAGGGAGGGTGGGCTCCATTTTGCTGGGAGGGCAACTCCAAGCAGATATTCCACACGAATGCTTGGGAGGCGGCGACAAGCTTTGGTACCTCTGGGTCAACCTCTGAGTCAACCTTTGGTACAAAACCAAAGCCGTGTGTCTCAAAATTCCGGAGCTACATTTTCGCAGGGTTTAGTCGTTGTTTCCTTATACCCCCTGGTGCCTTGTTGAGATTTCTTGAGCCGCAGCCAAATGCTAGTGATTTGAATCCCAGTTTTTGGGTTGAAGGTCTCAGTTTCTGAAAGTCCCAAAAACGCGATGCGTGCCTACCTGAACATCCTCCTGACGTGTGTGTGTGTGTGTGTGTGTGTGTGCGTGTGTGTGTGTTCCATTGATTGCATTTCACTGAGCACAGGGGTTTGAACATCACAGTTTGGGGCCACAAAGGGTGAGTTTCCCTTGTGAAAGGGGAAGATTTCGGGAGCCCTGTGGTAGGCAACCAAGGAAGGCATTTTTCAACATTTTTCAAGGACATCTAGATTTGCTGGCTACCTGCAGCTTTCCTGGGATCGCCTGCTGTTTGGTTTTGCTTACAGTGTTTCGAAGTGCCCCGCGGTCGATGTGCAAGGGCAGTGAGGCTAGGTCGCTCAACCATTGGCTTCCCCCAAGAGGTATCAAACCACAGAAACACAGTGACATGTTGCTCTTTGATGGAACATCAATGGCTGTGGGTCAAAAATAGGTACCCAAACTGGAAGCCTGGTAAATGGAAACATGGACTAAAATCTGCGGTCCAATTCCTGGCGGTTAAATCTTGACCCATTCCCATGTCAATACACTTTGCCAGGCCCGCGGCTTTTGACACGCGGAATCGGCGGTGGAGTGGGGGGTGGTGCTGGCAACATTGCGTTTGCAGGTGCCTGGAGTCTCCGTGACCCTTAAAAAAGGTACATGACCCCTTGATTTTGGGTAATGACCCGATTTTTTAAGGGTCATGGAGACTCTAGGTGGACATGAGGCCGAGCACGGGCGCAGATCATTCCGGCGGCTTGATGCTTGGCGAAGTGAATGTGCCGCCTCCGCAGCAGATGCGTGCTGTGGAACCGAATGATCCAACGAGACCACCTGTGGATCCTCAGCTGAGTCAGAATCAAAACCCAGGTAGATGAAGGTTAGTAACGGACAATCCCAACCACAAATGGCTGCGGGCGCCTTCTTAATTCTTTACATGGTTCTGGGTAGACCATTTTTATAACGGGTTTTGATTATGACTCAGCTGGTGCTGCTGACCAGAAAGACAGCAGCGTTTTCGAGTTTGAGAATGAGGCCTGCTTCGGAGTTGCTGCGGTCCTCTCGGCTCATTGATGAGCCGAGGATATTTGTCAAAGGGGTAAAGAACATGATTTTCAGATGTAGGGATTCGTCTAATCATAAGGGGCTAAATAATTGCTAGACTTGGTTTATACTTTAATCATGGCTATCGCCTTGATGGCCATAAGCTCAGATCCTGAGTTTCTGGACTTTAGTCACTTTTTGGGAAGACCGTTTCTAGTGGCAACCAACAAGTCGTTTTTTAAGCCAAACCACTCAGGAAGTGAGCGCATGATGTCCAGCAAAGAGCCCCCCATTCGCCGTTCCCCATGTGACATGCCATGTGAGGAGGCCTTTCAACATGTCTCGTGAGCCGCCTGCTGGACATGTGTCCTTTCTTGCCAAGGAAGATTGGAACTATGTTGATGTTGTGTTGCTTTCTTGCTCGCTCGCTTGTGGAAATACCTGTTCTTGTGTTCTTGCTTGCTTGCTTGTGTTGCCTGCCGGTTTGCAATCTCGCCGGCTTGCGCTGGCATGTTGCTCGCCTATGTGCCAGGCATGCACGCAGCTGCACAAGGACACTGCCCTTTCTGAGGGCTTGGGCTTTGGTTTGGAACATAGCCACCATATTCAGGTGTCCCTTAGTTGGTGATTCAGATTGTAGATTTGGACTTGAAGGGCAAACCACCTAAACCATTTAAACCACCTGAACCACCAAACCAAGCCACCTATTGGACGGAGCGCATGTTATTTTCGGAAGAGGGAGTGTCTCATTGAATACGAAGTGACGCCCTAGTTTGTCAAACAAGGCGTGGCAGGGACCTAGAGGTGCCATCTTGGATTCCGGTTTATTGGAGGTTGTCCTCTAAAATGGGTATGTCTCAAAAGAAGGAACACCGAAAATGGTCCGGTTTCCCCTTTTAAAAGCCAATTCAACTAGGGTTCCCTCAAAGGGATTCGCCCCAAAAGTCTTCTCTCATGGGAGATTGCACGCGTTTGGAATGGCTGTCAAAGTTTGGGCAACCCACAGCCTCCACGTCATTTAAGACGATGATGGAGGTACCCTAAAAAGACACACCCATGTGTGTCTCAAAGTTCACCCCCTTGTCAAGAAAACCATTGAACGGGGTCGAATAAACGGCCAGTAGGCGCTCGTCGCGATTGGGTTGCCATGGCTCTTCTTGGCTCCAAATTTGGATTTCGGGAGATTCGACAGGGTCAGTTTTGTTTGACTGTTTCTAGGGCTTGTGAGAAAATAGGGGCGGGTCCCCTTCAACTTATAGGTGACTTTGATGGCAACATGATGGCTAGTTTGAGGTCTTGTTGGCTGGAAACTACCCCAAGTCCCATTCAAGTCATGCCGGGTTGAATCATTCGACCTCCAACATGTCCTTTGCTGCTTCAAACCTCAAGTTCAAAAGCATGCGAAAAGCAGCAGTTCCTTGGGAGGGTGCATGTTCTTGTGTTCCCTTCAGTTCACAACAACATACATGTGCGTTTTCCGCTGCACTCGTGTCTCGCCGCTCAGAGCATCCGTTTGAATGTGCATTTGCCACCTTTTTGAACTGGATGAGCAGAGAAAACAACAGGAAGTCACATGTTACATTTTTTCTAGGGGGTCCCATTTTTTCACTCGAGACTTTTTGGGATTCCCATTTGAGTGGCAAATACCAAGTTCAGCTTGACTTTGCCACTCGATCAGAGCTGAGTTTTGAGACACCCATTTATCCTTGCAAGGACAGCTTGGCCCATGCCAGCCCATCTTCCCTGCGGCGGATGTGGGCTTGGACGCGCGGGGGCCTCCAGCCGAAAAAGATGCGCCGCTGGCGCTGGGCAAATTTCGGCGGTGCAGCACGAGGAGGTTTGCGGCATCCAGATTCCAAAAGCAATGCCGGAAGCTACGAAGCCAAGGGTGTGACCTTTGATTGGGCATGCCTTTGGACAGAATGTCCGCAATGGATGTTGGTGTTCCAACCCCTAGAGTTTCCAGCCTATATCAACTCCAGACAGACTAGGACTGGAATTCACTGTGCCCAAGCCACCGTGAACGAGGCATTACCGACAATGGGCTTCACTGGAAAAAAAGGCGGTTGTTTGTGCTGAAAGCTCGGAAGCTTTTGCACCCCATTGGTCACAGGTTCGGGCAAGGTGTTACAACTAGTTTTGGTACTGGCTTGCCTACTCCTGGCATAGCCAGTACCATTTAGGAATACTATTGTGATACTTGCGAAGCGATAGGAAGGCTCGAGAGAATACAAGACGCACCCATACGAACAACTGACAAATGTGTTGGGTGGTGTACTCTTTGGGCAGGACATGAGGGGCGAACCCAACCCAAATCCGGCTACTTTTTCCCACGTACCCCTTTGGGGCGCTGTTCAAGTGAAAGGCAATGTATGAAGCCATACCGTGGATGGACGAAGTCCATTTCGCACCACCTTGAAACCATGGTTGAAACCACTGTTTATGGTATTTGCAAGGGAATCGAAACATTCTTCCTCTTTTTTTTGGTGGCTGCCCGCCCCATTAAAATTGGTTTTCCCCAAAAAGGGTTCCCTTTTACTTCCAGGGTCACTGACCAACTGAGTAGGTGGCGCAGGATATCGTCCATTCATACGTTGAGCGCGTGGATGCGCGAGCTGAGGACAGAGCCTGTTGAGATTGTGCTGCTGTCGGAGGATCGGTCACAGCAGGCGCCCTTCAGCGCTTCGTCGACCTGATACGATTGTTTTGCCCCGACGAGGTAGAAGTCGGCTTCCACTTGAGGAAAATATGGTGCTTGGTGCTGTCCTTTAGTTGTCCTTTCACAGCTTCCCCTGAAAAGCAATCAAAAGAAGGTGTTCACGAATTCAGGACATGCAGAGGCTACATTGTTCATTAGAGGCTCATGGGCCACAACTTCATGACGTTCACGTCCCAACTCTCTACTCTTTTGGGTCAGCTGCCTTAGTTGATTCACCGGCTGTATAATAAACACCAATCACTGTCAGTTGCCCATCGTGTTAATCCCCTTGTTTCTGGGTGGCGGGATGAGCAAACAAGGTATGGAGCTGATATGTCAACTTTCCATGATGATTCTTACTAGTACCGATTCAAAGTCCCCCCCTGCCAAAGTTAAAAGGAAACAACTCCACCTACTGACTTTGACCCCCAAGAACTGCTTTTTGGACACTACCACGCGGATCTTGGACATGGGAGAAAGCGCCGTTGTTAGGGGGGTGCTGGGGTGCGGCCAAGAAGAGGCAGTGGCTCAAATTCAATGAGCTAGGGTTACGCAGGTTCTGGTCCATGTTTCCACTTACCAGGGTTCCATTTTGGGTACCTATTCTTGACCCACAGCCGTATATTCGGGCCAAGCTTGCTCTGGGGGCAAACACTCCCGACCCTCGAGCCATAGGGTTTTTGGAGTACCCAAGTGACCCCGCCAGGCTGCCCATATCCTGCAAGAGCGGGGCCGGAAGTCGCGGCCCATGCACAAGCGCGGCACCTTAGCCGACCGACAGCCCTCGGGAGCCTTTGGGCGGGGCAGGGCCGGATACCCGGAGAAGCACATGAGATCTGGTGGATGCCAACTCAATACACGTGAGGGAACAGGGAAACCTTCGAGTTTACTGTACTGGGCCATGGGTCTTTGATGGTTTGTTGGTTGAGTATAGTTGGTTTTACTGGCAATATGTCGGGCATCCACCGTATGTCTCAAGATAATTAGTGGTTTTGACCCGTGCTTCAATGGCACCTACTTGGCCCCAAAATGCCCATGGGTCACTTTCCCCATGGTGAACGTCATTTTGTTTGGAGGTTTCCCCAAATGGTCACCCCACGTAAAGGACCTTTTGATCAACCCCCCTATGTTGCACATGTGTGCCCCTTAATGCCTACATAAATAGATATGTATGTGAAGTGTTGATATGTCTATATATATATATATCTATGTATGTATATTAACATATATATATATATGTATGTACACGGGTCACTTACGCTACTCCAACAACACAACGGAGCGGATGCGGAAAAGGAAAAAGCGTTGGAAGGGACGGCCAAAGATTCCTGAATTGGGACCCTTTCTCTTGGATTCTTTGATCACCCCACCCCTTGGAATGAAAGGGTGCTTTTTGACCTGAGATCGTATGGGTCCTAGGTCCAGCATTGTCTCTTTGGACCTGGAGTCTCCATGACCCTTAAAAAATAGGTACATGACCCCTTTTATTTTGGGTAATGACCAACCATTTTTGTAGGGTCATGGAGACTCTAGGGAGTTACTCCTGTGTTTAATTTAATGGGACCGGAACGAAGCCCCGGGGGTGATAAACCTCGACCGCGTTTTTTTTCATGCAGTGTCACGAAGCGATGTTGCCAGGCCGCGAAGCTGCCCATTTGTTCAATGCCCGAGTGTGGATACAGGTACCCTTGCTCCAACATGGCGCCTCTGGGAGGGTAGCTGGAAGACCAGCATGTTTCTTGAGACCTGTGGGGTGCCATGCTGGTCTCAGTTGTTCAGTGGCACCAATTATGTTTTCCCTTTTATTGGTGGCAGCCCCACAAAAAGTGGTTCAAGCCCCAAAAAGGGTTCCCTTGTTTTTCCAGGATCACTGAACAACTGAGTGGTGGGGGAGAGGGTACTCCTTTGGTTTGGATTCGTTCGGAGATTCGCACCGGTTCCTGGGGTAGATGGGAAGCTCGCCCGTGGAAGAGGAGCCGGATGGAATCCACGGGTGCTTGTGTCCATGTGGTTTGCTTGCCAGCGCGATAGGCAGGGAGTGAGAAATGGAATGACCTGTATAAACCAAGCGCTTGTGGTTTCCTTGAAGGGAATCCCTGGGTTCATTACATTTCTCATTCCCTGAGCACCAGCGAGTTTTGTTGATGCTGCCCTGAAAAGGGTGTTGTCTTTTTAATTGGGACGATTCAAGGAAGCCAATCAACTTTGGGCGCTCCAACCAATTTGGAGACAAAGGGAAAGGGCAGCGTCCAATGGCGCAGGTGGTGATGTTGGCTGACACATGTGAGTTTGGCTCTAGACAAATTGACCAGTGAAATTCACATTTGTCTCTTTCTCGGTTTGCTTGATCTCTTGAGACTCGGGATTTCAATTTAAAGAACAACATGTTTGTATATTTTGCTTGACTAATCCAAGGAAGTCTTCGATCATTTTGGCTCTGGCGCGCTCAGGGCTCGGCAGATCTTGGCCTGCGGTGACAAGAGCTCATTGCCTTCTGAGGCCTCTTCCAGGCGACACAGGGGGTCCCCAAAACGGAGGTTCCTCCAAAAACGGGGGGGGGGGGGTTGGGTTCCATGTTAACTTGTGGAAGTGTAACTTCCATATGCTCAAGAATGTGTGATTTGGCCCCCCTGTTAGTTTTGGAGGGAAGATATTTGTTCTACCGGATCAAAATGCAAATAGAGGTTCGTGTCCAGCTCTGATTGAAGGCCCCCCCTCACTTTGGCCCTGTGTTAAACAGTCTGACTTGATCCAGTTTAGTATTCGGAGTGGCGGTTATAGCTTGTGTTGGTTGCCTTTGCACGGGATGACCATTAGGGAAAGCCAGAACAAAGATGACTTTCCCACATCGTCATTTGGGGGCCGAATCAAAATTTTGATTCACCCCCAGATGTCCACCCTCAAACTACCCACAAGAATTGGTTGCCCTCAAATTACGGGGTGGCAAGGTCCCAGAACCATTATGTTGGACAGCGTATTTTTGTCTGCATTGGTCTTTCGACCCTTCGCTTGCCCTTTCTTTCAAGCAAACAGATTGTCAAAAGCTCAGTCCCGGAGTTGCATTGTGTTGTTGGAAGACCCTTCTAGTAAACACAAAGTTGAAAGTTTCTAGACGTTATATTTTTGAGGGAAGGCAAATTTAGTAGTAAAAGTTCAACATGTTTGGGCCCCTTGTCTTCGCCACTGGGAAGGCGGTGAGGAAAACCATCCGCGCGGCGATTTTCGCCAGGCCGAGCCTCTCAGCAGTGCTGTCGGAGGCGGGCGTCGCGATTTTTTGGCGGCTCCAAGACCTGCTCCATTGGCACTTGGGGCGGTTTGAGGCCCAGACCGGATTTTTTTTGCGGAGGGGTTGGAAGGGAAACCGCATCAAGAACCCTTTGCCAGTTTGGGGGTTTGGGCCGTGGTTCCTTTCTCCACTCCCAGCATGAAATGGTCGCGGGCCAGCAAATGCTTCAGAATGTGTTTTTTGTTTTCCGGTCGGCTTTATTGGGAATCGGTTTGACTACCGGACATTATGTTTCCTAGGTCCCCCAGTCCCCAGCAGTGCCCTTTTACCCTTTCTTGGGGGAGGGTTCCCCTGCTAAAATAGACTACAGAAGAAAGGGTGCCCTTATTCTAACCTGTCTAATCTCCTCCCCCAATTAATGAATGACCCCCATTAATAATAAATGCAAATCCGGGGCCCGAGACCAGATTTCCACTCCGCACAATTGATTTTTAATTGCGCCAATACTAAACCAATACTAAAGTCTTGGAATCCTTATTAGGGGGCACTTTTAACAAGCTTCCAGCCCCACTTTTAAGCTGCGACTGTCTCTCCCCCATACATGCTGGCTAACCTGCCTGGCTGCCAACAAACAACCAGTAAACTGAAAAACAAATAGAATGATACATGAAATTTCCTTACCCTAAGGGTCCAAGTACTCTATACTGAGGTACTTTCGTGAAAAAGCCGTGCTTCTGACACTCCTGGGCCCGAGTACGTGAATATTGCGGATTCTCATTTTGAAGCCATTTGGGAACACAAACCCAGCGCAGACCACGCGATACGTTCATCGCTGGATGGCACACAGAAGCACTGCCTAAGGTAACATGTCATACATTCGCCTCTAAAGCGGGGTTTTGCGGGTCAAAAGCCTCGGGATGCTCAAAGATGCGCAAAGATCTTAATGCCTGAGTAGCGACAAACTACCTTCTGCATTGTTTCAAGTTGAGGGACTGTTGCCGAATGTTGCACATGTCTTCACCGTGTCCTGCAAGAACAGCGATCGTGGAGAAAGTGCTTGTTCTTGTCAAAAGTGCAGCACATATATGGCGTCGCAACATCCTTCAGTGCATCAGAATCACCCTGGTGGCATCCAAACAGCACTCGCGAATTAAATACGTTTCCCAGCACTGATGCCGCAATTTAACGCGATTTAACGCCCGGAAGCTGGCATTCACGGTTTTTAACGCAATTTAACGCAACTTTATCGCGTGATGTGTGGAAACTTCTTTCGCATGTCACAGCACTCACACATTAAACTAATGTACATTCTGAGGTTTCGTGCGATTTGACACAATTTAATCCGATCTAACTCCCACAAGTGCGCCGGCACGGCTTTGGACGCAACTTGTTTCAATCGAACACGACTTTATCGCGTGATGTTTTTCTTCAACAACCGCGGCCTAGACCGGGTGGGTTGATGTGCTAGAGAGCCCGAGAGTCCTTCTTGAGCAACCCCATGCCCCCAAGACAAGCTGATCACCGAAGGTTATGATGCAACTATGCCGCGTTTGCAAATGAGGTGAAGCTGTTAGAGTAAAACACTCTTCCGCTAAGGGGATGGCTGAATTTTGGTGCAACACGGTGCAACATGTCATATTCACGGCTTTTCGCCCCGAAGCCGCGCTCCTGACATGTTGAGCCAAAACACGCGAATATTACGGATTCCGTTAAGTACCTTGTAGTTACGGATTTGGACCCTCAGGGTTATTAAACCGCTTACTCGCGGACCTTACATTTCAATCCATTTCCTCCAAATCCTATGCGAACCCTCACATTGTTGGAAAAGCAAAAAAACCCATCCCCGAAAACCCCAATTAAAAAAATATATCTATTTTTGGGAGGATTTATTTATAATAGGGGGGGGGGGGCGTATTTATTAATAGGGGGAAGAGATTACTGGAGGACCTAGTTTCATTTTTTCCCGGGGACCACTAATCAATGGCGGCATCCTTTCAGAGGACTCCGGTGTTTGCCGACGGTCTGGCTCGCGCCAGGTTCAGACCCGCCTCAGCCGCAGCATCGTGCAGCGAGCCGGGGGCCCACGGGATCCGCGAGACATGGGGGACATGGTGGCTCATCCTTTTTCGCGAGCCTTGTTGATGTAAAGGAAAACCAAAGGAAGACCAGTGGACAATGAGAAACATGGCCCCTCCCCTTTCCGTGTTCCCTTTGGGGAGAAGGTTGATATGGAGGGATAAAGAAATCTCAGCTTCCCTCCAATTGGCGGGTTGGATTGGTGGTTTGGGGTTACTCTGACTCTACAAACGCCAGGGGTTCAATCCACCTGTGACGTCACCCACGATGGTTTGTTGCATAGGGAGCCCTTTTTTTAGGTTACAGTTGGGCCAAGAAAAGAAAATACCGATTCCTTTGTCGAGAACCCCGGATGAATCAGCCCCTGTTTGATGGACTGATGGACAAACACATGTTTGATTCATCCGGGGTTGACACTAGTTGACACTGCTTGTTGGTAGGGGTCAACCCCTGAAAATTCAATCAAAGTTCCTCGGGAAACCATGGCCCACAGAGAGTTGTCCTACGGGACAGGCATTCCCTGTTCCATCAAGTTATGGGGCATCCACCGGAACAACACGATAAATCATTGGAAACATGGATTGATTCAAACAAGTCCACCATACAGTTAACATACAGGACGAGCGGAGACTGTTTTTCCTACAAGAAAAGATAACAAATATACAACTTACAAACAGCACGCGCGGAACCCGCGTCTTGGTTTTCTTCCGGACGGACCTCGGGAGAGTGAGAGACCAGGTGCCGCTACTCACCTGGACCCAGCAGATCACCTGCAAGTCCCTGCGCGCCGACCTGATCGCCGGCCTCACGGCGGAAGCCTCGAGTTGAAGCGAAAAAGGAGGGATGCTACGTACTTGGGTCGGTTTAAAGGGCGACCAACATGAAAGCACTCATGAAATTTGTGATGAGGGTGGGAGATACCTACGCATCGGCTTCACCAAACAGGAGAGACATGAAAGGGTTTGTTTTGAGGACTTTTGGCCGCTTACTTTATCAGGGGTCCTTATCCCCCCTTTTGGTGGTTTGATATTAATTCACGTTTTTGGCCAAGCTGCACCGAGCTTCCTTTGGGGTGATGTTTGTGTTTCAGACTGGAGACATTCTCCCCCCAACGGCTGGTTTTCCCAAAGGCAGATCCCAAGTACTGTGCAAAAAGGCTTCTTTGAGGGTTGATGGACAAGGAAGCCGTAGGGTACAGCCTGTTGGCTCAGGGGGAGCTTAAGTCGGTCAGGCTTGCGCTCACAGTTGTGGCTCCTCCTGGTCGCCGTTGGACACTTGTGCCACGGAGGTGGTATCTCTGTCCCTAGCGCGACTCCGGCGTGGCGTTGCAGTCATGCACTATACCCATCACTGCTGCACCCCAATTGACCTGGGTCCTGTTGGCTTCTCTCTCGCGGGAGCCGGACTCTGTTGCTTTGTGCAAGGCTGAACTCCCGATGCTTGGATGCTTGGACAGGTTGTGGGAGCGTTTTATTTTTTTTCGGGGGAACCGCTTTTGGTGTGGTTTTAAAAGCAAGCGCAAAGGAGTAACTAAACAACAATTTCTTTTGGGGGGGCCCGCGAAAAAAGAGACAGCCTAGCCTCCCCTCAGATGGCCCCCCCAAAAATGTGGGTGTTCTTTTTGGTTTCCTTTCATAACCACGAAACATCTTTCCCAAAAAATGCAGACACACAAAAATGTCATGAGAATGCCGATGAGCCAAAGCTGGACCAACAAACCAAGGGAAGTGTGGTTTTATCATATCTGTTTATTATTGTCCGAATGCTTTTCCGAGCAGGGGCCACAAAATGGGTGGTTGCCTTGTTGTTTAAGACCATTCATGCGGGTATCTTTCCTTAGAACCACCAACCATGGTTCTGCTTGCAGCAGATCTTTGGTCTCCGCTTTCGGCTCAGGTTGGAGTCATGGTCATCCCGCAGAGCATGTCCTACGCCAACATTGCAGGAGACGTGGGACGGACGCGACCGGAAGTGGATTGAGTTTAGGCTTGATTTAAGGTGAAGGTCGACTCCGGCTGAATGGGGGGCTAGTTCCCCCCAAAGCAAATGGTCCCATCTTAAATGGGAGGTGCAAGACCCAATCAAACTCAACCTGGGGGGCTTAATACACCTAAACGTATTGTCAAAGGGTATGTAGTTGGAGCGTTTGTTTGCGCGTGGTTTGCGCCAGGACTGCCGTACATCTACGGCATGTACGCGGCGTTGGGCCGCCCAAAACTCGACGCCCTATTTGCGCACCGCTTTTATTTCCCTTGCAGCCGAAGGGTGGACTAGGCCACTCATTTTTTTGTTTTTGGTGCTGGGCGCCTGGTTTGGACTTTCCGGTCACTTGGTACTGTACCTTTCCTTGTACTTTGATTTCCTCTTCCCTCGCAAAAGCATGCTCAAAGGATACACAGACCCTTTGGGCACTTTGGGCAAATCGGTTCCAGACCAAACAACACATTGGCCTCTTTTTGCTGGCCTCCCGTGAAATTTCATGGATTCCATTCGATTCTGGGCACCTGGAGATGGTCAAGCTACCTCTTTCTTCTTCCCTCTTTCAGGAGTTCAGGAGAGACAATCGGACAAGATCCCAGAAAAGTTCCATCACCCTATCAGAATCCTGGCCTTGTTTGGGACCCTGGCGCCTGGGATTTGGGATGAGCCTTTGGCATCTGAAGTTGGTTCGTTTCCCAACTTGGAGCTGGGCTTTGGTTTGACCGGATGGCCCCAAAATGGTGTCAAAATAGGAATCGGAACCCCAAAATGGTTGGTGTGCTTTTGGTTTCCCTGGAAAACCGCTCCAGAAGGGGACCTGTTGCTCCGGGGGCTCCAAACCCCCCACCCCCCCTGGACCCGCCGGTCAGGTCGAAGTGGTTGGACCGCGCCGAGGTGCGTACCCGCCATGGTCTACGCCATCTTCGGCCAGTCGCGGCAACTCGCAGCGCGAGCCTCGGACGGATGCGGCTGGATGACTGGACGACTGGCCGGAGACCTCCGGTTCGCTTGAAGACCACTCAGTTGAGACAATCGCATTCTGGGTAGATGAAGGTGAGGGAGAAAAAAAAATGGGGGCAGCTGCGTTTGGTATTACCTTACATGGCCATGGGTAGACCATTTTGATACCAGGTGTTGACTTATATGACTCAGTTGCCCAAAACGGATCCACCGAATCTGACCTTTTTGTGGTCCATGCTTAGTCGTGGCACCTTGGCCCTCTGGGCAACTGGGGACTGGGGTTGTTTCAAGTTGCATTGACCTTTTTTTTTAGATATTTGCGCAAAGGGGTCAAGGACGCCTTGAAATGGAATCCGCCTGTTCCCGTTTTATTCGATGGGGTTCCTCTAAAAAGGTGGAATTCCTTTGCTTTCCGCGGTTTTCCCGAGTTTTGTTTTTCTTTCTTTTTTTTCTTTTTTTTTTGTTTTTTTCGGTTCCTGCATTAGCCAAGTTGTTTCACACGTTGTTTCCCACGTGTTTCGTTCCATTTGTTTTGCCACGTTTGTCCCGATTCGCATCAGAAACCTCTGGTTTCTGGCACCCAAGGTGGGCCCCGTGGCCATGGTGTCGCTGCTTATCAACGCCGGCCTGGAGGGGCAGATGCAAGGCGTCTGCCGGAAACTCAGCGCAGTTCTTCCGAACCTGGATGGACGAAATCCATTTCGCACCACCTAAGAAACCCCTGGTTTCTCATTCCGTTCCCCCGTAAATGCCAAGAAACAATGGTTTCCCATGCTCAATGTTGACCCCGGCAAAATAAAACATGTTTATTGATAGGGGGTGTCCCTGGGCTTGGTGGGGATTCAGACCACTTTTGCAGGGGAACACCCCCATATTAATGAACAGCCAGGGGTTTATTGTAAACGCTTCGCGTTGCCCGCCTCGGCCCAGCCTAGTTTGAGGGAAGGGTCAGGAACACCGAAATCCAGTGTTGGGAAGGTCCGAATCCTACTGAAAGCTTGTGACCACACCAGTTCGCCCGTGCTAGTTCAATGTTCGGAAGCCGTCCTGCTCGGAAGGTTTGAAATCCAAAACCAAGACTATCTCAGCTGCTCAGTGCCCTTGGAAAAAAAAGGACCTCTTTCTGGGGATGAGCATTTTTAGTGGGGCTTGGCCTCCATAAAAAGGGGAACAATAATTGGTGTCACTGAACAACCAAGACCAACTTTGGGTGTTTAGGCACCTCCATTTCACGTGGCTGGCGGCTTGCCATGACATACATTTCTTGCTCGGTTGCTCAGCCCAAGACAGGTACATGGTGGGAATACAAACCTCCATTTGCTTAAGTACCCCGGAAAAATATCCCCAATAGACAGACACGCCAGCAGGCGGGCTGAGGGACTGGGCCTGAGGCTAGTCTCAGGCTGGCATACCTTGAGACGCCGAAGGGGCTGGGCCTGCTGGATGACTTGGGGCCGGGGGGCTGGGGCGCGTCAGACAGGCTTGGTAGCTGGCGTAGCTTGAGACCAGTCTCAGACACGTGAGACTGGTTGTTGGCCTGAGGCCAGTCTCAGGCACGTTCAAACCTGACCTTTGAGGTAAGAGACCTTCCCAGTCATAAATGGGTGCAGCCGCTTTTTTTCTCCACGGTTTTGGGTAGACCATGTTAACACCAGGTGTTTATTACGACTCCTCATGTTGGCGTGTGTTGTTTTGAGGATACCCTTTTTTGGAGTGGGTTTCCATGGAAAGCAAATGGAAAGCGTTGCCATGAACGTAAGTCCCCCCATTTTCAGTCAGTCTTTGAATCGACGCATCCAGGCACAAGTTTGGGAAGGCGACAGAAGCTTTGATGGCAGCCGCAATCAACACTCGGGTAATGGGTGAACCTGCCCTGTTCGGGTAGACCACTTGAGTGCCAGGGTTTTTTGGCTTGACTTGCACAGCCATCTCCTGGGAAGCCCTACTAACAATCTTTATCCTTCAGGGAGCTTCCGCAGTACGCAGATTCGTCGCCGGAAGTAGGCCTCGGATAGATGGATTATGGAGCTACACGTGGCACAGATGTGACTCCTGCGAGAACATGTTGCATTGCAAGGCTTATCCAATTCGAGCACTGGCCAGAATCCATGCTGCATTGGGGATTAAGAGAAGGACTCCCCCCCCCCCACACAAAAATGTAGAGGAGAACCTCCTGGGAATCGGAGGGCTCTCCCTTTTGGGTTCCTTCCGTGGAACATGTAGAGTGGAAGCATACAGTTTGCTTTTTGGGGGAAATCCACGGGAGTGAGATCCGCATCAACTGTTTAGGCAGGGTGTTGGGCGTGCCAAGCCTAGTGTGCAACCATTGGGAACTGAGGTGAGGGCTGGAAAGCTCATGCGCACGCGACCGCAGGCGGGTTATGGGTTATTTGGGGAAGCCCGGGTTTGCTCTGGGGGTATGTTTTTGACCATGTTGCCGCATGTGTCCCCCAGACGTGTTGGGGAGGTGCGTGAACCCTTGCTGAGTAGCTGTGGCCATCAGGAAAGTGCCGTGCTCAAGTTCTCAGAACCCTTCTACGAATTCCTCCTGCTAATCTGCAGGGGCCTTTTTGTCTTGATATTCAAAGGGCTTCGGTCGATTCGCGCCCTGTACACTCCTCCCATGCAGCTTCGGCTGCGTGCTGCATGCACAAAACGTGCTCAAGCCCCTTGCCTTCGGCTTCCCATGCAGTACCCACATAACGTGAGCCTCTCAGGTTCTCCTCCAGCGCAAGTCATCAGAGAGTGGTAGTAGCCCGGGCTGCGGATGTAGATCGGGCCAGGAAGGCTTGTCACCAACCTCCTGAAATCTGGCGTACAGCACCGGGGGCACGGCATCAAGTCATGGGTCCTTGTCGCCCGTCGCAGGCCATAGCAATCCCTTCTCACATGATACCTTTCCCCCCAGTGGGACCTGAGGAGGATCGGCTCCAATGGCAGGTCCTCATCTCCCGGCGGAATGACCGGCTCATACTGCTCCGACGGGCTCGTCATCTCCTCCTCAGGCTCCGGTTCCAAGCAGCGCCTGGCACTTGTCCCCTCTTTCCCACGCCCCTTGGCATTCATCGGGAAAGACTTGGGTCTGGCTCCCAAGGCCTGACTCCCTCCACCTCCGGTAGATGACCCCCTCGACGTCCCACCTCCAGTAGACGCCCTCTGGGATGAAGATGCTCCTCCGGTATACGGCCCGCTGGACGTTCCACCTCCAACCGATGGTCCACCAGCCGTTCCACTTCCAGCGGATGGTCCGCTTGCCGCTCCACCTCCGGTAGGCAACCTCCTCGACAATCCACCTCCGGTAGATGCTATACTTCTTGACATAGTTTCGCCCCACGGCTCCACTGTCCTTCTCATCTGATGACACATGGTGGATCGACCAACTCTCCTCTATCAATCTTCACCGCAAGTTGTAGGCCCGAACTCTGAGGTGCCGAGTTCTCCAGCTTCCGCTCGCCTCCGATGTAATGGCTATCGCCGCCGAGCTATCCGACAGAAGCTGCCTTCTGTAGTTGCCACCCGTGACTTCGTCAATCTCCATCACTAAGGGCCTCCACGCTTTCGCCCATGATGATCCCCTCCAGGCACAGTCTCCTTTCACTCAGACCGGTGATGCCCTCGCCCACATTTCTCTCAAACCACAGGCCCATGTCCACGGTCTTGTGCAAGTATTTCCTCACCTGCTTCCCCAACTCAACGGTCCACCTCGGCGCTTTTGTAACTGCCGAGGACATGCGGCTCGTCACGAACATGAGGTCCGGTCGCGTCTTGGTGGTGAGCCACAAGACCTCTCCCACCGCCTTTTGCGCTGCCTGCACCTCCGCCGCCGTGATGTTTTCCTCCTCCGGCATCTCCGTCATATCCTTGCTGATCGGGATGACCGAACCATAACCACCATCTCCATATCGGTTCAGGAGCTCCTGCGTGTACGCCGCCGGCCCGAGATGGTAACCTCTTTCCGTGCGGCTGATCTCCATGCCGCAGAATCTCACCTTGGCCCCCAAAGTGACAAACTCTGGCTCGCTGGTCTCCCACTTCCCCCGGATCACCCTGTAGAGCTCCTCCTGCGTGAGCTTGTCCGTGTACGCCAAGATGTCGTCCACATAGATCGCCATCAGGCCTGTCAGCTCCCCGCGCTCATCATCTCTTCCCTTGCCCTTCAGGATCTTCCAGACGTTCGGATCCGACACCGTTTGCTCCAGCCAGAAGAGGTCGGACCCTCTCTTCCATTCCATAGTCCTCATGTTCTGGTCCCGGAAAACTGACCATCTTCTTGGTGACTGGCGCAAACCATACAGGGCCTTTGTGACTGCCCAGTAATCATCTCTCCTGCATAGCCCAAGGGATACCAGGATGGCTGGTGGCTTCATCAACAACACCTTCTCCGGCTCTCCCTTTCCGGTCTTCTCCTGGAGGGGGGCATTCAGGAATGCGGTCTTGATGTCCAGAACCATGCCTTCCCAATCGTTCTCCGCCGCGTACTTGGTGATGGTCCGAATGGAGATCGCATCTGAACCTCCCGCATAAAGGGACTCATCCGAATCCTTGCCTCCTGATTCCGCATAGTTGCCGCAAATCACAATGCGGCACTTCTTCTTTCCAGTAGGCGCCTTGATGGTCGGCACCATCTTGCCCGGCATGACGTCCACCTTGTAGTTGGGGCCCATCATCAACCTTCTCGCCTCTTCATTGGTGACTCGTCTGACTGCCTCCTTGCCCTCTAGTAACGACTCCACTTCTGCTTTGATCGCCGGGAGCCATTCCTCCTTGTTCCTCAGAACTTCTGCTTGACTGGCAATCCGGGTCTGCAACACCTGCTTCTCCTCCGGGCCCATGATCTCCTCTATCAGAGCCTCTTCCATCGCCTTCATCTCCTGGATCTTGGCTGCCGTGATCCCCAAGGCATCCCCGACGTCTTGGTCCATGGCCTCCTTCTCATCTTCCAACGTTGCCCGCAACATCAGGAGGGCGCCCAATTCGGTCTTTCTCTCCTGGCCGCGTTGGTCTTTCCTCTGTCTGATCCTCCTCCGTGGCTGGTGCGGCTCTCCCTCCTCCGGTAGTAGACGATCTTCTGGTTCCACCACCCCTTTCACAATTCGAGAGACCACCTCTATCTTTCCATCTTCTCGAAGGACACCATGTCCGCTCGTGACCTCCTTGACCACAGCCAGATAGCGCGCCTTCTCGTATGTAGGACCGAACGGATCCCGCAGCCGTTTCCATGACCTCTTTGGAACCCAAACCTCCTCCCCAAATGCTGCCGGCATCATCTCATTCTTCAGTCGCTTCTCCTCCGCCACGATCGCATAGCGAGCCGCCATCGGCCAAAACTTGACATCCAGGTTGGCGCCCTTCAGCAATCACCGGATCCTGCTCTTGAGGCTGTTGATGCATGCCTCCGCACGACCATTTTCTTGCGGTGCATCTCCACTGGTCGTGGTCTTCTCGATCTCCCTCACCATGCACCAAGTCTTCAGGTCATGGTTCAAGAACTCCTTGCCCCGGTCCGTATGCAGCCTCTGGACCGGATATCCCTCTCTCTTCAACTGGATGTAGAGGTCCTGCAATCCCTGCAACACCGTCTTTGCCCTCTTGTCTGGCAACGGGATTGCCTTGACGATCAGCTTCAGCGGCTTTGGCTCCCCACACTCCGCCTTGGCTTTTTCTTCGGGGTCCAGACCCAGTCCTCCCCGTTCTTCACCATCACCTTCTCCTTTCTCGCAATCCAGATCCGCTTTCTCGCAATCCGGATCCTCCTTGTCGTCACCCTTCTCCTCAATTACCGGGAGATCCTCCTCCGCGCTTCCTTTCTTTTCCTCAAAGAACTCCTTCTGATCCTCCTCCGCTGGCCAGGTGAAGGAGCCGATGAGAAAGTACTTCATCGTGGCATCATTGATGTCCTTCCCAGCCTTATAAGGTCCGCTGAGATCCGCGTTCAGCACCGCGGCATCCGGGTAGGAAATGCGGCAATGCCTCTTCCCCCGCGCCGAGGCTTCCTGACATACCCGGCAGTCCCTCCGAAAAAAGGCACATGTCCGTGCCGGACATGCTCTGCCCAGCTGAGCTTCTTGATGTGAGCTGGTTTCCCAAACACCTCCTCCTGGATTGCCCGGGCCACCTCACGCATGAAACCCGGTGCCCATCTAGACAAAGCCGCCGAGCTTCCCACTGCCACCGCTCCTCTCGTAGTTGCCGAAGACGACCTCCGAGGTGGAAGCTCCACATTCAAGTCCGTGACCACCATCGTGGGCTTCACTGCCACCCCGCCGTAGTCCCCCTGTCTGAAGCAATGCTCCACGAAACCATGCTGGTCCCTGAAGTTCCGGTAGTTGTCCGTCCTCCACCATGACCCACACTCAGGCATGTAGTCCGGCGCTTCCGGCTGCTCCAGCAAGAAGGTCACCCTCGCCCTCGTTGATCCCTTTCTACTGTTCTCCCTTCTCGCAGACTCCGCCACGCAGAAGATCATGATCATGCGGTAGAGGAGTACGTCGTCCTCCCATACCTGCCTCTTCTCCTCCTCGTCGAGCCCCGGAAGGCCAAACCAATCTTCAGGAGCGACTCCTCTCACTGGGCGAGGCCTGCCTGCGGGCAACGGATACTGTCGCAGCACGCTTCTTGTCCGGCAATTTGGTCCGCCCACCACTCCCAAGACGTAGCCGTCCATGGCCGCTCTCAACAGTGACGCATAGAGGGGCCCATCTATCATGTCGTGCTCCTGGCCTCTCTTCAAGTCCACCTCCACCAATCGGGTTGTGTCGCCGCCCACCTCTTTCAGCGCCCTCTGCAAAGTGTAGCCGTCCTTCTCACCCGCATACAAGTGGAGTACAAACCCCTTCTCCAATGTCCTCCTTCTGCTCCGGTTCAGCGGGATGCCCCTCAGGTTGTCCGCCGGCTTTTCGATCACCTTCTCCATGATCCTCTCCGGGACGCCCCAAAAGACCTTCTCCTTTTCCGCCAAACCACTCAGCTCCGTTTCCTCGTGCCTCGCCAACCTGACTCTGGCTCCCGAGATCTCCGTCTGCTCCAACATGTCGATGAAGCACAGCGCCAGCTCCCGGTCGATCTCCGGGCATCCAGCATTCATCCAAACCGGGATGTCACCCAGAGCCGGATGTCTCACCTTGCAGGAGCCCATAACGCTCCACTGGATTTCACAGCCGAGCTTGTTGACCATCAAGCCCAGCGGTACGATCGGCTGCACCTGGGGATCGTCATGGACGATGACCTTGCCCTTCGTCATCCTTAGCTCCTGTTTCTGACCTCCTGCCAGCTCCACCTGAATGACCTCCAGGTCTTCCAACTCCTCTCCTTCTTGCAAGCCTCTCATGGCATGGGTGGCCCCCGAATCCAGCAACCCCCTCTCATTCTGGAAGTTGATCTTTGAGATCTTCACCTCCTCAAACTTCCGCAACTTCATATCGTCCAGCTGCTTCTGCATGTCCTCCAGTCGGGCTTCCCGCTCGGTCTTCTTCGGTGGGCTCACCGTCAAAGAGCGAAGCATCTTCCCAGCCTCCTCCAACACATTCTGCAAGGCTTCTGCATCCCCCTTTTCCTTCTGAGTGGGCGATGTTCCCTCCGTGCTGGTTGCTCCTCTCGGCGTCTCACCCTTTTCGCAAACCGAAGTCGCCCCCTCCTCCGTCTCGACCTTCGCGACCTTTGGAGACGATGGCTTCGCATCCTTCCTGTAGTCCTTGACGACCTTCCTCGGGCAGTCCTTGGCGTAGTGATTGACCGCTCCACACCCATAGCACCGAGCTCGCCCATCTCGCGCATCATGGCCAAATGTGCATTGACTCCCACGGCGGCATCCCATGTCCGTCAGGAAGAAGCGGCAGGGCTTTTTCTCCCTTGTCGTCTCCTCCTTGCCGTTGGTCTTGTCCTCCGCATAGGTGCCCTCGATTTTCTTGGCTCTCGCTTCCCCAGGACTGACCTTCTCCGTATGCACCAACTGCTCCAGCTCCGACAGCAAGTGCTCACAGTAGACGCCGACCGTGCTGTGGGTAGGGACCGTATCCACCTGTAGCTGCGACTTCGCCAGGCTTATCTTGAAGCTGAGGTCCCGGTTGCCCTCCAGCACCTTCCGAACCAGGCGATGCAAACCTCGATTGAGAACCGAGGGATCCGGCAAGGACACCCCGATCTCCTCCGCCCGCCGCTTCCATCGAAGCCACCTTCTGATGCCCGTCACAGCCGCCTGGATGTTGTTCGCCTCCAGAGGTTGCTCCAAGTTCCTCAGAATCGCGCCTCGTTCAGCGATGCCACCCGGCTGGTACATCATCATCAGCTTGCAGACCAGCGACAGGGCGTTTAGATGCGTTTAGGCTCTTCGTCGCCACCAACTCATCCTTGACCTGGTCGGGCACCGCCTTCACCAGCAGCGTGACCGCCTTCCTTTCCACTCTCCTCCACTTGGGGCTTTCCGACTCTCCTTTCGTCGGCACCATCGCCAGTCTCTTCAACGGCGCCTCCTGCATGTACTTATCGTACCACGCCTTCGCCTCTTGCAACACGAGCTCCCACCACTCCTGGTCTCCGAGATGTCCGCCATCGCCGGGTTAATCAACGTCAGCCAGTCCTGCAGGTCGATTGAGCTCGTCTCCGCACACAGCTCCGCCAGCACCGGCAGCTCAATCGCTCCGGCCTTCACCATCTCCACCTGATCATCATCCTTGCCCTTGGCACCGCTGACCAGCGTCTTCTGGATCTGTTGCATGCCCTCCATGAGCTTCAGAATGATCGCGAGGTGGTCTGGGTTAGACTTCTCCTCGTCCCGAATCATTTCCTCCGAGGATTCCGGCTTGTGGTTGTCCGCGTCCTTCACGCTGGGGTGATCCGGAGTCACATAGGTCTCCCCCGAACCAGTGGCCGCCTTGAGCTTATTGTTCTCCTCCTGCAACCGTTGGATTTCCTTGAGGAGGTAGTCCCGGTTCCCTTGCCCTGGATCTTGCTGTTGACCGTCCCCATCTGGTGCCCGATGAAGCCTCTCCTGGTCCAAAAACCCAGGCCTCGCCAGCTGAAGTTCCGGCTCCTCCTGCGCCTTCCCCAGGTTCACCAGTCCTTCCGGCTTGTCCCACCGCTGCAGGTAGTCCAGCTGCTCCTTCGTGAAGAGCGGGCCATAGGCTTGCGGTGACCCTCTCGGGCCGCCTCTCCATTGCCGATCTCCTTGATCATCTCCAGGTTGTGCTCCTCTCCAACCACCACCGGTGAGGCCCACGGGTTTCTCGACGCCGTAGACCAAAGCCTCCTTGGCACCATCGCCGTGCCCGGGGTTTCCGTTCCTTCTCCAGTGCCGCCATCCACAGCACCATCAAAACTTGCAACTCCTCCTCCTCCTCCAGCAGGCGTCTTCCGAGTCGACCTCGGCCCGCTGCCTGAGCTGCCCTTTCCACTTCCCTGAGCCGCCTCTTGGCCCACCAACGCTAGCTCCTGGCCGATCAGCTCAAGGCCCGGCGCCGGCTCCACCAGTACCAGGGCCTCTTGCTGACTGCCCTGGCCTGGCTCCCCCACCTGAAGGTCTTCCTTCTCCTGTAGAAGGTCTCCATCAGGCCCTTGCGCTCCTTTGTCTCCATGGAGGTGTGCGCTTCTTCGCGCTCGCATGGCTTTAGGGTTTTGGGCTCATAACCTGCTAATCTGCAGGGGCCTTTTTGTCTTGATATTCAAAGGGCTTCGGTCGATTCGCGCCCTGTACACCTCCAATTCCGTGTACGTACATATCAATGGCAACCACCCCAAGGCAACCAAAACCACTGGCTGATGAAGAAACGCCGCATAACGCCGGGGATCTGGGATCGGTTCCGGGAAGGACAACAGTTCCATCCGAAGCTTTGGGGTCGGGTCCTTAGCTCGCTGGTGCGACAGGGAATGAGAAATGGAATGACCCTTATAAGCCATCCAGCTGGTGATCTCCTTTACTCACCTTTTGAGTTCCTGGACTTTGAACATTTTTGGGGCTTGGCGCATTTTGGTGGTAAATGCATAGTTTGGGTTACTTTTCCGGCCAAGCCACTCGATCGGCCGTGAGTTTGAGGGGACCAAACCCTGAGTTCATCCCGCCTTCCCCGATCCTCCCCGCAGGTGCTTCGGCGGCGAATGACGAGTACTGCAAGTCCGAGTGCGCGACAAACCGCGAGCTCCGGGCGGCGCTGTTCTTTGCTGTGGACCATTTTTTGGCGGGCGGGCGCGAAATCGGGGAATGAACCCAGGGACCCAGGTCCCCGAAAAAGGAAGCCAGCAGTTGGATGGCTTTTTGGGGTGATTCCCCTATTCCCTGCCTACCGCACCAGCAAGTTGGACATATATATGTTTATTTCCCCTCTTGGTTGTACAGGGAATGGATTTCACCGTTGTAGACATGTGTTGTTCTCTTTTCCAGGGGGCGAAAACGCAAATGCAGGGTTGGGGACATCGTTGGACATGGGGATTGATGGCAAGCTTGGGAGTTCCCAAATGAAAATCATGGGAGCTTCGGCTAGCGCTGAAAAAATCGGGTGCCCCGACCCCATGGAAAGCCGAAACTCGCTGGAGGCCTGGCCCACCATCCTTTTTCACGCTAAACGTAATAATGTTGGTTATGTCAACATCCATTCTTTTGTGTTTTGCTTTTCATTGTTCTTATCTTTTGAAGTATGATCATATCATGTTGAATTGGTTTCATTATCGGGCACAGGATGTGTGCGACCAGTGGTTGAAATACTTCAACAGGACCTGTGGCAAATAGATTTGTTCGCTCGCACGCAATGTTCCAGTTGCTTCATGGAGCGGACTAAAGTGAAGGTGTGAGTCCAGTTCTGTGAGGCTTGGCTTTGAGCCAAAACAGTCAGCCCACGTTCAAAGTTCACCAAGACTCTGGAAGCAGAATCCCAACTCATCCTCTAGGGGTCCAACAGACCAGTTGAGAGTTGCAGTATTCAGAGAAACATAAAGGGGGTGAAGGCTCGAGGCTTCAGGGCAGACGAAGGCAGAAAGCAGCGCAAAAACCATGAAACGGCAGAAAACAGCCGTTGATTTTAGACAGACAAAAAGCAACAATCATATGGGTTTGTCACTGGGAGCTGGGGTTGCGATGGTTCCTCCTTCCACCCAAACGATCGTTGTGAGCTTGTAGTTGGGCAGGATGTATTCCTCCTTTTCTGTGTTGTCACAGCCGCTTTGCTTCAGTGTAGAGTCGTTCAAATAAGAGGGGCGTATTTGGAAATTTGTGCGCATTTGTTCAGTGTTCAAGGGGCTGGTTTGAGACACCAATGGTCCAAAACACCCATGCCCAAACAGTGGTCCCAAACACCCATGGTCCCAAACGGTGGTTCCAAACGGTGGTCCCAGACGGCTGGTCCCAAACACCCATAATCCCAACACAGTGGTCCAAGTTGGTCCCAAACACCCATGGTCCCAAACCCCAAACACTCATGGTCCAAAACACCTGTGGCCCCAAACGGTGGTCCCAACCACAACCCCAAACAGCCGGTCCAAAACTCCCATGGTCCCAAACAATTGTGGTCCCAAACACCCATAGTCCCAAACGGTGGTCCCAGCCAACTGGTCCCTAACACCCTGTCCCAAATCCCAAACACGGTGGTCCCAAACAGCTGATCCCGAACACCCATGGTCCCAAACACGCATGGTTCCAAACGGTTGTCCCAAACACCCAACGATGGTCCCAAACCATGGTCCCAAACACGCATGGTCCCAAATTGTGGGGTCCCAAACCCATGGTCCCAAACGGTGGTCCCAAACGAAACAAACAGGTCCCAAACACCCAAACGATGGTCCCAAACGGTATGGTCCCAAACAACTGGTCCCGAACACGCATGGTCCCAAACAGCACCCATGGTCCCAAACGCCCGGCCCCAAACGGTCCCAAACACCCAAGTCCCAAATGGTCCCAAACCATGGTCCCAAACACGCATGGTGGTGGGTCCCAAGCACCCATCGTCCCAAACAGTGGTCCCAGACACCATGGTCCCAAACCATGGTCCCAAACACGCATAGTCCCAAATTGTGAGTCCCAAACACCTATGCTGGTTCGTCCCAAACAAAACAATCACCCAGGTGGTCCCAAACATACAGCTGGTCCCGAACACCCATGGTCCCAAACCGCTGGTCCCAGACACCCATGGTCCCAAACGCCCGGCCCCAAACGGTGGGTCCCAAACACCCAGGTCCCAAACAATGGTCCCAAACCATGGTCCCAAACACGCATGGTCCCAAATTGTGGGTCCCAAGCACCCATGGTCACAAACAATGGTGCCGCCCCAAACGGTGGGCCCCCAAACACCCATCGTCCTCCCCAACACCCGCACGGTCCCAAACGATGGTCCCAAACTATGGTCCCAAACACGCATGGTCCCAAAATGTGGGGTCCCAAACACCCATGGTGGAGTCCAAGTCTAGTGTCTTGGCTAAGGCGGCGCTGCGGGTGGCGGGGGAACGCATCCGCGAGACGAGGGACCAGGCCATCAAGCGGGTGGCGCCTCAGCTTAAGATGTCAGCCGCGCGCCAGCCGCGGCCCAAGCTAGATAGCAGCGTTTTGTTCTCTTGCTCGCAAGACGAAAAACTTTCTCAAGCGCCGCGCGGTCGGCCGTCGAGGCGGCGTGTGGGCCCCCGCAGGCCGGGCGGCGAGGGCGCTAAACAATCTCTTGAACCGCACGAACCGTTGTGCTCAGGAGCCAGGATCTCTGTTGGGGCGCGCGCCGCAGGCTTCCTCGCGGAACACGGGGAGAGCAGACAGCCGCTGCACTGGGTTTCTTTCGCTCGCTTTTTTTGGGTCCGGCGCCGCAGGATCCAGGACAGACGCCAGCTCGACGTCAATGGCCTCGTCTACCAGAAGCTGGCGTCCAAGTTCCGCGCCTACCCGCTGGCCTGCGAAGCGCGTGACCGCGCGGGACCCGTTGCGGTTTCGGTGCGTCTGCGTGGCCTGAGCGCGCCCCGCGCAGCCAGGACATGCTGGCGTACATTCGCAAGTCGCGCCCCGGCCGCTCCCCGTCCTGGACCACACAGTGGAATCTCCACATCGCGCCTCCGCCTCAGTCGCTCGGCTTGGAGCTCCGCATCGTCGGGCTGCGAGCGCTTGTTTTCTCTTTTCAGGGAGCGGCGTAGCAACTTGCTGGAACCACAACAGAAAACATTCTTGGGTGGTCCAAATAGGGTCCTCAACGTCCGCGACAGATCGGAGGGTCTACTTGAAAGCTGAGACCAAACTGCCACCCCATCGTCAATTGCACGAGCGCCTGCCGCATCTCTTCTAAGGTGAGCCCCGTGATGGTCCCAAATCTTAAACAGCTCATCCCAAACACCCAAACGCTGGTTGTCCAAAACACCATGAGTGCCAAACACCCACGCGGTGGTCGCAAACACCCATATGGTCCCAAACGGTCAGCTGTGTGGGACCCAAACTGTTCTACTCATGGTCGCAAGGTGGTCCCAAACAGCCTGTTGGTGGTCCCAAGTGCCAAACGATGGCCCAAACGCAACCCAGCTATGGTCCCAAATTGTGGGAAACACCCATTGTCCCAAACAGTGGTCCCACACACCCATGGTCCAAAATGGTGTCTCCCAAACACCCATGGTGCCAAACGGTGGCCCATACCCAAATCATAAGTCCCAGACACTTATGGTCCCCCCATTGTCAAACGGTGGTCCGAAACGCTCGTGTGTGGTCTCAAACGGTGGTCCCAAAAACCCATGGTCCTACCCACACGGTGGTCCCAAACAGCTGTTGTGTGTCCCAAACACCCATAGCCCCAAACGCCCGTGGTCCCAAATGGGTGCGTGCCTTTTTAAGGTGCGCAGCCTTCCTTTTGTAAAGGGTGGAAGTGCGACCATACCCCCGAACCATACCCCGAACCACACCCCCGAACCACGCCCCGAATCATACCCCCTTCGTACTACTGCTGCTGCTGCTGCTGCTACTACTACTACTACTCCTACAACCACTACTACTACTACAGCTCCTGCTACTGCTACTACTACTGCTACTACTACTACTACTACTACTCATGCTACTACTTCTACTACCACCACTACTACTACTACTACAACAACAACTACTACTACTGCTCTACTATTACTACTACTACTACTACGATTGCTACTCCTACTCCTGCTCCTACTCTTACTACTACTACTACTACTACTACTACTACTACTACTGCTACTGCTACTGCTACTGCTACTGCTACTGCTACTGCTACTGCTACTGCTACTGCTACTACTAGTACTGCTACTCCTCTCCCACTACTACTACTACTACTACTACTACTACTGCTACTGCTACTACTACTACTACCTTCCACTGCTACTACTACTACTGCTACTACTACTACTGCTGCTAATACTACTACCACTACTTCTACGACTCCTACTAGGACTACTACTACTACTACTACTACCACTAGTACTACTACTACTACTACTACTACTACTACTACTACTACTACTACTGCTATTACTACTACGACTACTAGTACTACTACCACTGCGACTACCATTACGACCACTACTACTACTACTACTACTACTACTACTACTACTACTACTACTACTACTACTACTACTACTACTACAGTAGTAGAACAGCCTGAAACACTTAATCAACGCCACGACACACAGAAACGTGTTGCCTTTCTACACTAAACGTGCCCTCATGAATGCACGCAGCAATAAATGGCTTGACCGCTTTGTGCGCAGCACAGCAACCAAACACAAAGCAAGCCAGCAAGCCCTGGAGACAATTACCTTCAGCGCCGGAAGGAAAGAAAGTGTTTTTCCGGCAAAACACGGGTGCGGTGTTTTCTTGTCGTTTTCGTCCTCGGGCCTCACCCCATTTGCCGCTCACCCCATTAATTTCCCTCTAAAGTATTGCAAGGCTTTACTTACCGAGTCAACGTTAGGCTTTACTTTTGTCAGTGGGCGTGGATGGTAACAGGTTCATGTTGTTTCCATTGCCAGAGCCGCGGAGTTCCAAGTCCCAAATGGATGGAGGTGATAAGTGTTCCTCTCTGGCGCAACGCGGGTCCTTTCGGCCCGTTTCAGACAAGAGACATGAAAGCGGAAATGTGGAAAAGTCTTTGTGTGCGGGCGACTTTGCCGCAGGTACATCAAGATGGCCATCTTTACCTCGTTGGTCATGGGTCTCATGCAGACGCTTGGCAGGAATGAATGGTTTTCTTCAGAGCTTTGCTTGGTGTGGGTTCTTTGGTCTTCCAAACAATTCTATTTTTGAGGGTTGACTCAATATGAATCACTCAGATGTTGTTGTTTTTGTGTACCCCAAATGTGTGCCAAGATCGTCTGGCTGCTTTTAATTTGGCCGGATCCCTGGGCGCACCATGAGACCTCGCTGGCAAAAACGCGCCTCTAACTCAGAGCGCCCGCGTTTGACAACCAATCCCAGCTGAAACAGCGGGTTGCACCCTGTGTGCGATCCTCAGCATGACTCCGAAGTTGAGAGGAATCATGTAACCTTCACTGCTGTTGGCTCTTCTTGTTTTTTTGTGTTTTTGGGTTCTGTTCATTTCTAGCGGGCTTCAAAAATATCAAGAAAGTTCTTTGCAAGGCACCGTTGGGTTTGCACAGTGAGATGGAGGACCTGGGCTGGAGGTTGGTTCAGTTTCCATGTCATGGGCTCTTCTCACGTGCCTCGAGTGGGGCTTTTCCTTTGCCTGCTCGGTCCACTTCACTCGTGGACGTGGGCCCGGAAAAAGGGGAGGTTTAGGTGTAGGGCATCGAGGCGAATGCGCTCCTCAATGCAGGTTCCTTATCGTGGAAACAATGTGTCGGGCCTTTTTTGCCCCGGTTTGCGGAGACTAGGCGTTGGTTCTGCTGTCATTCAATCCTGGACGACTTTCATTTTGCTGGAGTTAACTGCTGAACCGAGTCACTAGCACCCAAAATCCGTGAATGACCCAGACAACAAACAAAACACACAAAAAAAGTGGGCAAAACACTTTGCAACGTTTAGAACACCCTCCGTGGTTGGTCCCAAGTGTTTTCACGTCCACCTAATTCTCACAAGGCTGGGTTGGTGAAGCCAAAGTTTTTCCCAGCCCGCCGTGGGAGGCAGAAACAAAGGCTTCGCCTCATGTCTCAGGATCGTAGCCATGGTGCTGAGGACCTGGAAGACGATGCCGGACGTTTGGCCTGGGTTGACTTGTTGCGACGTTGTGGCTCTTGGGTGCAACCTTGTGATCCATCTCCCACTTTTTGAGGGATGCTTTCCGACAGCTTGGAATTTTGAACATGGGAACATGGGAAGCGGTTGTTGGGGGAGTGAATGTACTCCGGGCTCCCCTGCACCTTGAGCTCGACAACTTGTGCCTTTTCAAACGGAGATTCCTCTAGGGAGAGTTTGGATGGTCCATGTTCAATATGGTCCATGTTGAACATGGACCATCGAAATTATCCCTGGACTCAGTTGTTCAGTGGCACCAATTCCTTTCCCTTTTTTTGGTGGCTGCCCCACTAAAAATGGTCCAAGCCCCAAAAAGGGTTCCCTTTTTTCCAGGGTCACTGAACAACTGGGTGGAGGTTTTAATGTTGATCAGAAATTTGCCACCCAGCTTGCCGCAGGATGGGCTTCCTGGTGACCTTCCTGGGACATCCAGTGACCAGTGGCCGGCGTCCTTAGCCCTCGTTTTTGTTGTGTACCAGTCTAGGTCCCCCAGCTAGGTGCCCTTTTACCGTTTCTTTTTGGGGGAGAGTTCCCATACTAAAAGGGTAGTCTTATTCTAACCTCTCCACTGGAGGACCTGGCAGTGGATTTACCAGTGTCTCTATTTCCAACAGGATACCAATGTTCTTTGATGGGGTGGCGTTTTTTGAGGGCTGTGAGCCTGAGATGAGTCCCAAACAGTGACCGGAAGGCATATTCCCGGAAGGAATATCTCAGCCAGAATCTCAGCAGATGAAATCAACAATCCGTTGCCTGGCGCGAACCAACTCCTTCGAAATCCTGGTCTGGCGGTTGTCCATTTGGTGTCCCTTTAATCCGCGAAAAAGGGGTACCCTCGAAAAAAGGCAGACCCATATGGGGTTTCAAGGAGACATTTCTGATAATCTCCAATTTCCTCGAAGGGTCACCGCGTGTCACCACAGTTTCTCCAAAGCAGTACAGGAAGCAAATGCAAGACACGCCACACAGCCGCAGTCATCCGCCCAGCCGAAAGATCCTGAGATACATAGGCGATATATTCAGCAAGACACCGAGACACGTCCCATTTGATGACCACCTTGTTGCTCAATTTTTCATCCAGAGTGAGCTGACCGACCAAGGAGAAATATAGGTTAGCGCGTCACTGAAAACTTCGGCTCAAGTTCTGTGCCGAAAAACGCGTCTTATCGCGAGCATTTCATTGTGACCACAATCCAAGATCCAAACCTTTGAGCAAGTGGAGCAAGGCAGATGGTTTTCTACATAGATGGGAGAGTATGAAGAAGACGGGACCTCAAAAAGTTTTGCTTTTGGTGGGAAACCCTTAAACCGCCATGGGAACCAGCATTTGGAGCCAGACACCGCGATTTTTGTTCACCTGTTCGTTTCCCCCGGGAGAGTTTCAGGATGTCGGTCAAACCCAATGGTCCCATTTAGGCGCACCACCCATTTTTGAACCTATTTTAGTGCTTGGATTGGTTGATGTTCACTGGGAGCGGGCTTTGGGTTTTAACCCACTGGGCTTTCACGCGGGCGTCTCGTGCGTCTCGTGAGGCTTCACCAGCGGCGCGGCCATCATTATCGGCCTGTCCCAGGTGAAGTACATGGTTGGGGTCCATTTGCCCAAGCGCCTGCCTGAGGAGCCAGCCAGTCGGGGAATGATGGGTGTGTGTTCTTCAGAGTTTCCTTACTGGAAACCCTGCAAGAAACCGGTTTTTACTGGAAACCCCAGAAGGCCAGATCAACGCCCGGATCTCCATGGTCTTCCAACAGGGCCATTGCCAAAGTGTGGCTCTGCCGGGTCTTGTGGTGGTAGGTTGAAACCTGTACCATGTCGGTGGAACCTAAGTGGGTTTGGGGCACTGCCCACATGAATATGTGTGTGTGTGTGTGTGGGTTTTCGGGGACCATCTCCCCCAAAGGGACCCCCCCAACAAAAACAACACACCCACATGTCCTCAACATCGGATTAATTAAAAGCCTTTCGTTGGGAAGTAGGCCGGCGGGGGAGATAATTTTGGAGGGTTGGGGTGATGTTCAAAGGGAAGCCGCGCATTGGGCAGGTTGTTTTTTGGGGACTCCTTTCTTATTTTGGTCAGGTATGGTGATTCACCGTGTGAAGTGGTTTTCTAAGGAGCACTTACGCAGCTTCGTGCCCTTGAATCCAGGTTCCTTCTACGAGAAGCAGTCAGACATAGCTCGAGGTATTTTTTAGACGAACCGGATAAGCCTTGAATTGACCCAGCAGCCTTGAAATTTGGATTCCTTCAATGCCACGGTTCCTTCAAATGGACCCAGCAGGGCTCCAACCGGTAGGTCGCAGTACGTGTACGTCACCGTGTATGAGCTGGCCCGGCAGCCCAGCAACCGACCGATGGGATGGGCCCGTCAGGAGCTTTTGGAGGGTTCGCAAGTCGGTGTCGAGCGTGCAGATCGCAAGGCCCGGAGGATTCGTTGGACAACAAAAAGCACCAGTCGAGGCTCAGGCCAACCCGAATCGACCGGACCTGACCTTTTTTTGTTTTCCAGTTTTGGTCCATAGTGAAGGTCCCAAAAGGCGATCACATTGTATATTCCTGGTCCCTTTGGCAGGTGAGCAGCCGGTCAAGGACAAACCCGCATGTGCAAGAGCCTTGCATGTCGCGAAGCTTGCCATGTGGATGCACGAAATCTGTTCGCACCACTTTGAAACCATGGTTGAAACCATTGTTTTGTTGGTATTCACATGGGGAATCATCCGAAACCGGAGTTTCTTGGGTGGTGCGAAATGGGGGAGGGTTCCCCTACTAAAAGAGGCCACAAAAAAAAAAAGCAAAAAAAAAAAAAAGCAAACAAAAAAACCATCGGGTGCCATCTTATTCTAACCTCTGTGCACTGGAGGGCCTAGTTACAGACTGCGCGTCAGCTGGCCTTTTTCAGCCCCGCGGTGCGCGCCGTGCGCGAAGAGAGACGCGAGGCTGCACAGATCCAGGACACAAAGTTCATGACCTTGCTCTTAGGCCCGGGCCATCCTCGGCTTCCTGTTGGGATGTCTTTTTGGTTAAAGAACAAAAAAATGGCTCGTTGCCAGTTGGTACCCTTGTTGGGTTCTTAAAGGGGAACCAAAAGGAAGCCAGCCATTTTGGGGGTCCAGTCCCCAAAATTTGAGACACCCAAATCAAATCAATCTGGTAGTTTTACCACTTGAGAACACGGCTGAATTGGATCTCCAAGCACCAGCCTGCCTGGCTTGTGTTTGGATGGCCAGCTTTCCAGTCGCGGCCCCCCGAAAAATCAATCAGACAGACCTATCCAAAGCTGCGGCCAGCACAAACAAATATGTCGAGCGTGCGAGCGTACTCAGGATTGGGCCAACACCGAGCATTTGACACATGTTTGAAACACGTTCTGTTTGAACAGCCTCTTCTTGGTTGTATTTCAAGTGGACAAAGACGTTCAAAAGCAATGTCCCCAAGGCTGGCAGCGGTTGGTCCTTACAAGGAAATCGCACCCATTGCTTTTGCCTCCTGGCTGGTTGGCTTGACTCATTCCTTTGAGCTGCGCCAACAAGAGGCCTGTAAGAATGGTTTTCTCTTTTGGTTTTCCTTGGAGCACGGTGCCAAAGCTTGCACACTACGGGAATTCTGCAGGAAATCAAGGATTGTCAAACATGGACCCTGTGTTTGTTTAATGTCCTGGTAGAATCTCCAGCTGTCCACCCCCCCAACTGGCTGGTGCCATTGCTTCCTTCTTCTGCCCGCAGCCCCCCCACCCCCACGCGCCCCAAATAGCGCAACGAGTTGGGGAGCGGAGTGGGAACTTCATTTCTTCCAACTGTTTCGAGTATCGATCCACGTGAAACTTCGAGGCAGAGTCATACCCTGGTCCATTGCTATAACCACGGTACGCAACATGTCGGGATGCCAGATCATGTAATCAAAAAGAGAGAAACAGAGAGAGACTTCTTCAGTTGGTTTGGGTGTGTTTCTCCTTTCCCTTTGCAAAAGGCGGTTCCCGGATGCCAAACCATCCAGGTATGCAATATGCTCCCACATGTACCCTCCAAATGGGTCAAGATGCGGAGGCGACATCGAGCGAGGGGCCGATGCCAGGTTCGGCGTGCCTGGTCTTCCTATTCTGTGCCAAGGAAGTGTCCAGGCGATATCCCAGGCAGGGGTCGGATGAATCGCGCCCAGCGGTTTTTCTTCCCCAACCGGCAGGTTTGGGGTTGTTAGGCGTTAAGTGACATCCAATCCTCATACTCCGCATGACAGCTGTTGTACTTATTTTGAGTTGGGAAGTAGCCCATGCTGAACATGCTCATTTTGTGACTTATGAGCTGCCAGCCTGTAAAAACGACAGGGCTCTCTCCAAAGTCGTGAATCTGGCAGCCACGCGCACTGCGACTTCTACAAGTTGATTCTCAGTCAAGCGGTTCCTGTCGTTCTTGAAGGCTTCAAGAGATTGGTATGCCCGAGGAGCTCGCAACTCTGGGTCTCTGGAGTGTTGGATGGGAGCTGTAACTCGCGCCGTCGGTGCTGCAAGAAGAGCAATTGCGCTGAGAGTAGGCCAGGATTTCAGCCCAGATTCGCTTTTTGACCGGGCAAACCAGGCTTAATTACCCTCCCCCCCAAAGAGTTTGGGTGAACCTTCTCGGGGTGCTTAGGGGCGCCATTTGAAGTGTTAAGTAGCCATGTCTTGCAGGTAACAATTAAAACAACGGTTGCAAGTTCCCTCAATAGCTCATGCCCTTGGTCGCTAGCCATAGCTAGCCGCTGACTAATTACTTTTTTTTTCTCCGTCAATCATGGATCTGGGCTCTGCAAGTGCCGTCTTCCAACCCTTCCGTCAGCTGCCATGATTGTTGGGAAGAGGTAAATGTCTGCCTGTCAACTACCCTCCGCATAGGGCACTGAAAACAAGAAGCTTCTGCACTTGGGGGACTTGGGTATGGGTCAAAATTAAAGCACCAGGGGATCGCAGGTTTTCGTCCTTGGTTCCATTTACTAGGGTTCCAAAATGGATACCCAAGCCACTTATCACAGGAAGTGTGCACAGAACTTCTGGTTTCACTAGTCAACTGTAGGCTTCGCACTTTCCTGACGCAAGCTATTCTGCTGTCTGTCACTGAGCCTGCACTCCTACACGCAAGACCGAACTGCCCATCGTCCCCGAGGCACTTGTTACAGGCGTTGTTCTCCCTATGGTTAACTTCCATTTGCTTAAGAATATGTGTTCTTGTCCCCCTGTTGCTTTTTAAGGCATACATGTTTGTCCAGGCGACCAACCAATTTGCTTAAGAATATCTCCCCGGTTCGTTCAAAAAGAGAACCTTCGCTACTTGGAGTAGGCGTTTTTTTCCTTTTTGGGGGCCAACACGGCCAATGGAGATTCAGCACCTACCTGACGTCCCCCATCCGCGCGAGCGAAGTGTTTCGGAGGCTCTCGCTGCTGGGGCCCTTGGCGCCTTTGCTCTGCTGCGCCGCTGGGGGCCCCCGGGGCGACGGCGGCGGAGGGTTCTGGGCCCGTGGGAGGGCCCTTGGCCGTCCGGTTCCTTAACTTTTTCGTTGGTTTTGGGATTCAATGATGCAGTGGGGGGTTTAATTTGACCCACTTGTGGTGCTTCTTTTTGATTTAATGATTCAGTGGGGGGTTCCATTCGACCCAACTTATGTTTGGTGCATTTTGCCAAGGGATGTTCGGACTCTAACTTTTTGCCAACGACTGGGTTTTCCATTAACCCACTTGAACTTTTGAACTCGGTTGCTGTGATTCCCGGCCCATCCCTTGGCTTTTTAGTTGTTCTTAGTTGATTTGATGCGATCGGTTTCTGAAAAATTTAGCCCAGGCAAGCTTGTGGCAGGGGATCTGAGAATCCGCCCTCCCGGTGAGGGATGCGAGGGAGGCGTCCGAAGGCGACTCCGGAAGTTCAGCTAGCTGTCCATAAGGGTTTTCCATGGTCAAGTTGGGCGTGGCTTGGTTGAGTATGGATACGGGCTTCAACTTGGCTTTAGTCAAAAGGAGGTTTGATAGAGTTTACGATTTCATTTGCCGGCATGCGTTAAATGGCCGGTTGAGGGGCAACTGGGGTCAATTGAATGCATCCTAGAAGCTTAGCTGCTTGGTCCCCCTAGTTGCTGCTTGGTTCGTTACAAGGTACGGTCATAGAGTCCTCAACCCTGGCCAGCTAGTCACATGGCAAAAGAAGAATATACTCTAACGAAACCCCTCCTTCTGGGAGGGAGGAGGTCCCGTCTTTGATTAGATAGGCCTTTATTTGCTTTAGTCTTAGTCAACCTAAATGCACTTCAAGGGGAATCTTCACAAGCATCCCCCTACGAAGGTCCCAGTCAGGTGCCTTCCCCTAGATACCACAAAACATGGCTTCTGTGGGGTGTACTTGGATCCCCACGGGGTTCGTTTATAAAGAGGATCGACGTTGCTTTGGGGAGCGCCCCGCAGTAATCCAACTTGTCTAATTTAGTATTCCCTGATGAGCATCATCCATCGTCATTTGTTGTTGTCAAGGGATGTGCAGGGGTATACCAAATTATTTGCATTGGAACATGTGAACGTGGACCATGGCCAATATCCACTGGGAAGAGGGATGACATAGGGCATCCTCACCAAAGTAGATCACTATAACATGGGGGGGGAGTTACTCAGCAAAAACCCCCTGTCAGTTGGGATCACTGCGAGTATTTGTCATCTCCCCACGTGCTTGGAGATTTGGCCAGATGTGATGCAATCACAGAGTCTAGCTTTCAGCGGCTCGTATTGGTGCGAAATCGACGTCCCCCGTTCCATGCCGACCTTTTGCCCTTTTGTGTTTTCCAGCGTGGTCTACATATTAGGGTATGGGTCAAAATTAACCAAGTTGACTTGGAGTCCCGCGGAAAAAGACAGGCAAGCATAGTCTTTTTTAGTGCCTATTCTACGAGACCCCACACGCTGTGACTGTTGCAGCTGCAGATGACGCCCAACGCCAGCGCAGGAGCTTTGCAGATAGAACACATGAACTAGGTCCCCCAGTAGCACGCTTTTACCCCTTTTTTGGGGGAGGGTTCCCCTACTAAAATAGAGTACGGAAAAAAGGGTGCACTTATGCTGACCTCTCTACTGGAGGACCTAGTGAATCTTCTCAGTGCCAGTGAAGACGCGTTCGATCTTGCGAGGCCGGCACCATTTTGCAGCGAGCTCAGCGGTCGGACCGTATGCCGCAGCAATGCAAGTCAGGCGTAAAAATGTTTGTATCTGCCACTCGGCTGCAGGTTGTGGGTTGTACAACTGCACATCGCAAATTTAGCCACAATTTAGCCATGTGTCGGGACCAAGATCGGTGGATGTGGTCAATTCCATTGTGATTTGGGTCAAGCAATTGTGATTTTGTGTTTGGAAGGAATGAACATGGACCACATCCACCGATCTTAGTCCCAACATGTGAAAAGCAGCAAGAAGACGAGCTTTTTTTAATCAATCAGCGAACAACGCCGTTCAGTAGAGTCACCATGATTGCACAGAGCTCACAAGATGTGTTTTCAATGAGCAAGAATGGTACCATCTCCCCCCTCCCCCCGAACCCCCCCCCCCCTGTAGCGCAAACAGGGCTCAAAGGATACTGATACATTCCTAAGAAGTCAGAATGACAAGGCGCGGAGACTGATTCTGATGTCTCTTTCATGGCTGCGCAGCTATTCTCTGTGAGAATGCGGGTTAAGCCACTACATTGCTGTAAGGGTCCATCGTGTACAATTCAAGTAAAAACCCCCCACCTGCACCGATCTTGGTCCCGACGCATACCCAAATTTACAATTTACCTGTATATGGTAGCCAAGGGCATCGCCCTTTAAAACACTGAAGTGAACATGGCATGTTGCCTTGTGCCCCCAAACCAGGCTGACAGTTGCGATGCACGGTTTGAGTGAGTGAGTTTCTGGGACATGAGACGGGCAACCAATTTATCTTCTTCGCTGTTTTCTGTTTGGTTTTTCGTGGGGCACGGTTTTCCCCTTTTTGGTTGGCTTAGTCGCTTGGGATGGTTCGGCTCGGATCGTGCACGAGAGACCTCAGAAGCTGCAGTCCGTTCCTACCGGAGGGAATACGCGGGAAGCTTAAGGGAAAACGGGAACAATGCCAAATCACCTTTCGGCCTTTACTTGATCAGTGTGTCTCAACCAGGGATCTTTCTTTTTTTGCCAGGAATGATTGCCTCACTTGGGAGAGAAGCAGTGACACAGAGAGTGGCCTTCAAGAAAAGGCACCTGCATTGTTACATGTGCCCTCTTTCCAGCAATCGAGTTTAGTGATTCAAGAGCCTTCTGTCACTTCCAGGATTGTTGCAAATTTACTTTTATTTGCTTGAGCTTTGTGCTTCCCAACTCCTAAATGAGCGCCACGGGCCTACAGCTTTGTCTCCAAATGGCATGCTTTGACTTCCCTTTGGATATGCCGTTTTGCAAGCGGGAGGTGCAGAACATGTGCTGAACCACATGATCCCGTGGATGCCCCAAATACTTGACTGCGGGCAGCAAGGGAACCCCTAATTTGCTGTAGCTTAGGGGTTGTTGTAACTTCCCATGCTCAATCGTGTTCAATGCCCGATTCGTTGTCACACCGATGGAACATGCAACACACACTAGTTTTGTCAGGGCTCCTTAAAAGATACATTTTGCCCACTTGAAACATGGCTTTGTCCACCAACATAAAGGGAAAACACCATTTACAAGGCAATGTTCAGGTGTATAATGTAAGGATCCCTGTATGTCAATGGTTTGGTTTTAACTTCCCATAGTGTGGCTGGGTATGCTTCATCTGGAATGCACCGGGCCATGCAACTGGGCTCCGAAGGCTGTGGCTTTGCACTCCTTTGCGCGAGACCTACGAGGCAGAGTTGATCCACTGCAAATTGGGCCGGGGTTTCTGTTGCAAAAGCAAACATTCTTTTTTTTTGGGAGGGGGGTGGCAGTCAAGTCTGGCCAAGTGCTTTGCGGGGTCAAAGCGAGAACTATGTCTCCATGGTTCGGAGACAGCACGGACCAGCTGCCGGGTTTCCACTGATAGAAAGAGAGCCCCTCGCAACCCACCCCCAACGGATCAGTCTTTTGACCTCGTCGGCGGGAAATCAAGGTCAGGACTGTTCCTTGTTAAACCCACCACTTGGGCTTTGGTGACTTGGATCCAGGAGTAAACCAAACTTCGGATCCATCTCGGATTTAGTGGAATACACTCAACAGTGGTGCACATGGATCCCCAACGCCCAGCCATTCAAACACATTCCAGCTAGGCAGATGTGTATATCATGGTTGGTTCGTGAAAGGCAAGATCAACCAGATGTTGGTTCATCAAAGGCAGGATCAACCGGATGTTGCCATTGGATAGTATGTGTGCATCTGGCATATCTGCATATTTGTTTGGTGTATGCTCAGTAATACATTATATATATATATATATGATATAGTATAGTATAATATAATACAATATAGTAGAATACAATATGAATATAGCATGACAATATGTAATTAATTCAATATAATATAGCATGATATAACAATTTATACATATGTATGTATTACATATATATATATATGTACGTGAAACTAATTCCGAAACAGCTTCGCTGTAGGGGTTCTGCATTGATTTCAGGAATGCACGCCTGTTTTCGATCGGGAGCTGCCAGATGCTCTGCACGCCTCTCTGGGCGGCCGGCTGACTAAACGAATTCATTTGTCTTCCAGGTCGGTTAGCGCTGCCAGATGGTTTGCGCGCCTCTTCGGGCGGGCGGCTCACTAAAAGAGATCATTTGTCTTCCAGCTTGGGCTGGCGCCGCCAGATGCTCCAAGCTCCGCGTAGCGCTGCCAGATGCTGTGGTGGCGGCGATGCTGCTGCTGATCCTGCTGCCGCCGCCGTTGCTGCTGATGCTTCTGCTGCTATGCCAGCTTGACTTGGCTGCTCGTGCTGCTGGCGCTGGTGTTGCAGCTGCTGCTGCCGGCGCTGCCTCTTTGTGCTGCTGCTGCTGCTGCTGCAGCCTGCTTGGTGGTGTTACTGGTTGTTGGTGGCGTCGGTCGGCCGCTGTTTTAGGACGCATGCGTGGCAAATGTGTCTTTCTCGCATGTCGCGAGCAAGCGCGCACGTGCAGGCAAATTGGCTCAGTGTTTCACCAGTATTGCTTTCATGTGATTGGCAGCGCCCGTCTCTCTACTTGCAGAATGCTGAACGATGTGGCAGTGCCTGCGGTTACTCTTGATCGTCAGCCAGAAAGGCGGCTGCAAGCTAAACAGCTTTGCCAAGAACTAGGTTTAGGTGAGCCGAAAATAGTTCCTGCTATAGATGGACGCTAGCTCCTCTAGGCCGGATTCCGTGCTAGACAGTCGGAGGTTAAAACGGTGTTAAGCTTTCATCGGCTTCTGCTGGACTTGTCTTGGAGGACGATGTGATCCTCAATCCTACGCTGAAAGATGCAGCCGCAAGCTTTCGTCACGAATTGTGAAAAGTCATGGGGCGCGCTTGTGCTTGCCGACCACACTCTGTATAGCTTTCTTCGCAAAAATGCACCAGCCAGAGTGCAAGGTGTGCATCATGCTCATCATTGCTTGCAACTGCAGGCAGTCTTGCGGCGAGCGCCGGAGGAGACGCACCAAATCATTGACTTTTTCCACTGCTACTTTACGCAAAGGACGTGTTGCCGACAATACGCTTCGATCGCCTTCTTGGCTTCAGCAAGACCAGGGCATTCTATCCAGCTTGCAGCTTGGATGCTCAAGTGGCGCACACAAAGGTCATTCGACAGCTTTGCGCAATCTCAAAAATCAGCCTCTCGCAAAGCACCGGAAGCAAACTCGGAAACACCTGTCGGCAAAGGTCCAGGCAGACGTGCTTCACTTGCCAGGTCTTTCGGAGCCCGAGGTGGAAACGCGCAAGCTGGCAACGGGTCGACGGCTGCAACGTTGCAAAGAAAGAGCCGCAGATTCTAAAGGTTTGTTCTTGCGCATGTGTTTTCCAAGCAAGATAGCTGCAAAGCAAAACCCGAATGCGTATGGAAAAGAATTCGAGAACAAGCTCTCAAACAAATATTATCCTGAGAGCCATGAGACTGACTTCGAGCTTGACCGACAAAGCGCCCTCGTCATGGTGACCGCCATGCAACGCTACATCTTTCAAGCGGAGCTGATCTCCATCGTTCCGGGCTTTGATCTTGATAAGGTCAAAGAGTCCGTGCTGGAGTTGATGACTCTGTGTTGCATGTGTGGACATGTGGCTGGCCTCCAGGCTCCAAGCGGCATAACTTGACAATTTCAGCCCAGGGCCCAGCAATCCTGCGTGACGCACGCCAGATGGCCGGGGAGGACGGATAGCGTAGCCGGTGAAGGGCTGACGCGCATGTCACATCTTTTGCCCAGACCTCGGGCAAGGCCAGCGTCTTGAAAATCATCAGCCAGCCGCACGTGCCAAGGCTTTGTTGCTCCAGACCATCACTACATCCACGAGCGCAGCCAGCCCTCAGCATGTCTACGATCTCAATTTCCCCTTTCATACGTCTGTAGTATTCAAAAACAATCGAACCAATTACGTAATAAAGCAGCCATACCTTCGTTGCTTCTGTGACAAGCAATATTGATACCTTTTGCGCCAAGCAGCCCGGCAGCTATCATAGAACTTCATTTTCACTTGTCTTAGAATCAAGCCCCTTTTCTCTTTGGCGAGGCTGTCATCAGCCAAGCAGCCAGACTGAGACGAGCGCTGCAACAAATGGCGTGCGGCTGTTTGGGGTCTACGCTGCCGTATGTTTAAATATATGTTTGTATATATATATATATATATTATACATATACTTGAATGGCACAACAGTTAGGATAAACGTTTTCGGCTTGCAGGTGAGCTACGTCGGGGAGAACGGCGGCATCACGCCCGGCATCTTCCCGGCGCCTCGGAAGAGAGGAAACAGTTCGGAGGCAGCACGCCGGCGCCGCACCGCAGGAGTCATGTTGGTTGGAAACAAGGGCTACACCTGTGTCCGCTGGTCTAATTCTGACCCACGACAAGCCAAAAAACCCAAAACTCGATCATATTCCTGGGGTCCCAAGACTATGATATGAGATCTCTTGGGTCATTCGGGCCCTCATATGTCTCATGTTTTTCCAAGGGGATCCTAGAACATACACTTGTTGCTGCGATAGGCAGGGAATGAGAAATGGAATGACTCCGAGAACAACCATCCAACTGCTGGCTTCCTTTAAGGGAATCAATCCCTGGGGGAGGGAACCCACATGGCCTACTGAGCACCAGCAAGAAACCAACCAAAGGGAAGCCAAACATGTCGGGGGTTCCAATAATACGGGGCTGAACAATTCCTAGTGGCTTACTCTTAGGGTCAAAAACCAATTTGATGGTGCAGTACCCGATAGGCGCAGACTTTGGCCCCTATCCAACCCCAAGAACATTCACAAAAAACCCTTAACGTGTCCCACCAAAAACAATGCAACCTCAACCCGTACCTCATGCATGAGGGCTCCCGGCCCACATTCCCAGCGGTTCCCTTCACTAAACGGAGGCCGAGCCTCATTTCGTTGAGGCGGTTTCTGGTTCTTGGTTGAACGTGGATGGGTATTTCTACCAGTTTCAGTGTAGCAAAAGGACATAGCGGAGCGCATCTAGGTTTCCATTTTAGATTTTTGAGACCTACGCCCAAGTGTCAACATGGGAGGGATATTCTGGTTTTGGGTGAGCTTCTCTACCTGCATCATGTCCATCTTGTTGCTAGGTCTAACTTGTGGTGTTTGGCAGGTGTTTCAACTTGCAAATGGGTGGACCCGTCGTTTCAGGGAGTCTCAAAATCATGTTTGGGGTGATTTGTTTTTCAAAATATTCTAATGAGATCACGTTCATGGACCTAGACATCTCACCGCTACAGGGTGCTTGGTGTTTCAAGTTGCTGGCCTTTGTCAAGAAACACACCCATCGACATGCAACATCGATCAACAAATGTACACACATATATGTGTCTCTCACCTGCTGACCTGCCAAACAAACAAGCAAACCCATCAACATGAAACAAATGTCCCCCAAATGCAATTACTATACATATATATATATATATGTACATATGACCTACACCTACATATATGTGTTGCATATTTGTTGTTTTACAGACAGCACATTTGTGCCAACATGGGAGCAGTGCCTGTGGATGTTTTTGTTTTCCTATTTTTTTAATGTGCCCTCCTCACAACAAAATCCACTTGCGCAGGACAGCGAGCATGCAAGAAGGGACAAAACCACTAGACGCTACGGCGGTGCAGCAACAAAGAAGGGCATCGTTTTACCCTCAGGTTGCAGCGTACTTGGAGGCCTGCGGAGCCCGGGCATCTCTTGAAGCATTGGCTGAAGGTTTCGCTTTGAGACACATTGCCAGGGGCGTGCAGTGGCAGACCCGTGCCTTTTTTCCCTCGGCCATTCTGGAACCCCCCAAATCCGGATATCGTCAGGATTTGGAGATTCACTGGTTGGTTCTCGGTGCAACGTAGCGCATGTGTTTGAACAGGCAACAGGAGGTAGAAGCTCAAAGTGGCACGATAAAATGGTCGGGTTGTTCCAGATCCCGATTTAACATGGCTTGTTTGTGAGTTTGCCAGTCTGACCTGCCATGGTGGAGATAGAGAGAGAGAGGAAGCTGAACCTTTGGGATTTCGGGCTGATCAAGTTTCGAGCTCCAACTCTCCAAAAAAGCAGGCAACTGCAGAGTTCGGAGATGGGAAAGCAGGATGAGGTGAGCCCTTGATCTCAAGCACCATCCTCAAAGAATCGAAGGGACGCTCTGGGTTTTATTCCAGTGCTCGGGTGTGATGTTGTTTATTCTGTGTTTTATTCCTTTGCTCTGGTCTGATTTTGCTTATTGTTCTTCTTTTTTCTGAAGTTGCTTGGTGATTTCTTCAGCCGAGGTGAGTTTGGACGCCTGGGACTTCTCCAACTTCTCCAAGGCGTGGCTTTCCGTTTGGCCCTTAAAAACCGCCTGGAAGGGGCGGTGGGGAAGGGGCGGTGGGGATGGGGCGGTGGGTGTGTCATCCGTTTTTGTTTGTTCCTTTTTGCCAGGGGGGGGGGAGGGCACCTTGCTTTCTTTGTGTTGCATTTTGCCAAGGGATGTGAGGACTTTAACTTTTTGCCAACTAATGGGTTTTCCATTAAACCACCAAAAGTTAAACTTTCAGCAGGGGAGCAGAAAGCAACCGTGTTTTGGTTGGTTTAGGGAAAACAAGAGGAAGACCCACCCAAGCATTGAAGGGCTTGAAGAGGAGGAAGACACACTGGTTGCCCGGTTCAAAGGCAATCCGGAAGATCCCTAAGGATTTGGACTCAAACTCTTGGCGGTTTCCCAAGAGAGATGGAGTGTTGGGCATTTTCAAGAGCCCGACCCGAAAGAATGACCCCTGTTTGAATCAGGTCTCAGCCCCGCGAGTTTACAAGAAGGGTTTGCAAATTGCCTCAAACCCTAGTGTGGATGGTTGCGAAATCCATTTCGCACCACCATTCCGACACCCGTGTTTATGATATGATTTTGCGGTAAATACCACAAACTGTTCTGGTTTTCTATGGTTTCAAAGTGGTGCGAACGGATTTCGTCCATCCACAGTACGATATTTGAAGAACGACTTGTGCATGGCAAGCCTTTCTATATGTGGATATTGCGAGACATTATCACAAAGACGAGCCGTTGTTCAGGTTGCAGGCGCGAAGTTTCGCAACCGGCCATTTGCTTGCGCTCGCATCTCCATAGAATTAGGGCTGAACGTTGCGAACCCCTCGCAGTTGTACTCAGCTCGCTTCTTCGTGAAGATGCTGGGCCAAGATGATTACAACCTTCAAAGGCGGAGGTGCCGCGCTTGACGAGTGCCCTATCAGAGTGGAGACAACATGCTCTGGCTTGGACATTTGCCACAACGTGCTAAAGCTCACGCTCCATCGCCTTGCGCGTGAATTCGGAGTATCTAGCCTACATGTACGCAACCCGATGATGATGTTCCGACTTGGGATTTCATCCCTTCAATGGTTGGGTCCAGTTTGCTTTCGGCATGTAGCTCACAGAACATGGAACATATTTTGATCACGTCGAGGGATGACTCACTAGCCCTCCCTGCCCCATGAAGATCCCGTCCCAAAGGTCGGAATCGAGTTTCGAGTCCGCTGAACATGGAGTTGCTCGAATATGGGTCTCTTTGTTTAGGTGACCGCAAATAAGAGAGAAAGTTTTTGTTTTTCTAGTGGTTTCCCTCAACACAACAAACATGATGGGCACCCTCCACAAAAGACGCATATGGGTGTCACCTTCCTTGATGACTTGCGGGTTGGCCCTTCTATTCTTCTGAGCCTGTTGCCGCTTACGGAAGGCTGCACCTACGGTTTTGTTTAGCGAGGATCGACAACAAAACCCTTCAGAGCCATGTGGGGGCCGTGTGTGTTTGTGTCTTTTAGGGCTACCCCTTTTTTGGTAGTTTTAAAGGGAAAGCACATGGAAAACCAACCATTTGTTGGGATCCACTTAAAAAGACGGGCCCAAGTTGCCATTCCAAAGAAGTACACCATTTGCGAGCTACAAAAAGGGTCCTGGTTTCCTGCATTCAAAAATCCGGGGTTTAGGAACTGGGTGCGTTTGGATTTCTGGCTACGAACTTTGACAGAGAATGGACCATGGGCATGAGCATCGCGTCAATCGAAGGGCCCATCTAAAAATCATACCCATATATAAAGTTAACCACTTGCCCAGAGGGTGCCTTGGTACCTTCTATGTCTTTTGGGGGTAAAAAGGGGTCGTTCAGTACCTCCTTAGAAGTGTACTTGGACTTTCTGGGTTCTGTTTGGAGGGTAGCTTTTTTTGGGTTGTCTCAAGGGGAAACCAATGGGATTCCACTTCTTTTTGGGACTCAGATGTGGCCTGTGCAGTCTGGGTTGGGGATCTTCTCCCCTAAGATTACAACTCGAAGGTGCTCCCGACGGCGCTTTCCTGCTGCCTCATCGGGTACATGGAGTCCATTGCATCTCGACCCAGTTTCGCCGTCGCGATTTTCGTTTCTGGGTGGCTTGCTTTTTAGCCTCATTCTGAGGGACATTTCAGTCCCAAAAGGTTAATTAAGCATAATATTTCTGGGTCCCTTGGGCAGCTGAATTTCCGATTTCAGCCACTTGTTGAAAGTCACCTTTGGAAGAACAATCCTTCATTGGAACAGCGTGCATTTGTCGGACACTTGTTTTTGGCCAAGCCACGAGCTTCCACCCTTCATCACCCAAAGCTTCTGTTCGCTCGCGAATTGAAGGGGGCATCCAGTGCCGCCTTGTCTAAGTTCCGAGTGAATTCCACCCGGGAGAAAATGAACAAGGGGGTCGAACGCCAAAAAAGACTACGGAAGCTTCTCCGGACAGTGCCTAAAGAAGGTCTCTGTTTCGCCTTTTGCATTCGATTGGAAACGAAGCCCAAACTCATCACTGCTGAAGTGAGGTAGCGTTGTGCCCTTTTGAGATGTTGGATTCTTGGACAAGCCTTGCACTCTGAGGGACTTAACTGGGGAGTACTTGCTCAATTAAAGATGTGGACTCAACATGTGAATTATAAGTCCATTAAAAGTTATGCTCAATCGAGCTCACCAGGGGTCATGGCGAGCTTTTTTGCTGCCACCTGGAATACGGGGGGGGATGCTCTCCTCCAGCTTCATCTGAAGAGTTTCCAAAATCAGGGTGGTTTTGGAAAGGAAACCCACCGGAAAGTGTACTGGAGGGGGTGACTCTCTACTCGTTCTGTTCAAACACCTAAGGCTTGCACCCTCCTTTTGGTCCTTCCACCCAAAGAACGGAAAGCGATGGGTTCTCAACACCCCCCCCCCCCCCCCGACTGTTTTGCCGAGGTTCCACCGACCTGTTGACCTGGGTAATGCTCCCTCTCCAAGTAGGCTGGTCTTCTTCTTGGTCTCCCTACCCTCCGAATCCCTGAAGCTGGTTCGCAGGTCACCGACCATTTTGAAGCTGAAGGGAACCACAATTTGAGTTGTTCAAACCCGACCTTTTGACCTTTTGGTTTGCCAATGTTGGTCCATTTTTGGTCATGGCCCCAAAAAGTTAACCTTTTAGTTCCAGGTCCTTTGGGCAACTGAGCAATATGTGCAGCTTCCCTTTGCGGATATTTTGTTCAGCAGCTGGGTCAACATAGCCTGTGCTCCCTTTAGCACCAGCCACCAGCGAGTTCCCCCAAAAAAACGAGGCGCTTGTCCTTCCCCATTGTGCCGGCCCTTAGGCCCTTTTCGGTATCAACTGAAGGGGCGGCACCGGGTTGATCAATATTCCATTTAGGGCTCCCAAATGACCATGGGTGAAACTTTCCCCATGCGTTTGAAAGATCGTGTATATATATATATATATTATAAAATATATACATGCATAGGTTTTTTGGTTGGTTTCTTTAAATAATAGAGGGCCCTGGCTTATCTGGTGGTTCAATTATCTACCAGGGCCATCTATTTTTCAAACAAGGACACCTATGTATACATGCTTATGTGGTGTTCCATTCCATGTACGGAGCTTTTGAGTTGCCTTTCCCCGATAGCAACTGAGGCCATCGGCAAGAACCTGGCGGCAAAGCACGGCTACGAGCTGGAGCCGGGCCAGGAGAGTCGACTCAGTCTACACAGCCCTACTGTGGATGGACGAAATCCTGCATCACTTGGAAACCATGAGAAACCACTGTTTGTTGGTATTTACAGGGGAATCGTCATTTTGGGGTTTCGTAGCTGGTGCAGGATTTCGTCCACCCACAGTATGGGAAACTCCCACTTTTCAGTGGACCTTGCGGCCCACTTGGTTGCCTCTTGGGTGACCAACATAAGTTCTTTAGATTTGTCGGGGCATGCAAAAAGGAACACCTGTGTCAAACGGGGGGGGGAAGAACCCCTCCCTCAAACAAACTGTTTTTTTGTTTGTGTCCCTTCAAAGGTGTTTCTGGGTACAGTTCGCCCTGCAAAGGTCTCCTCCAAATTTGGTATGTCTGATTTTAGGGTGGCCAATGAACCTGAAATTCTGATCTTGGGTGTACCCCAGAGTGCCAGGCTATGCCGTGGACAGTGCCCCAAATTTTCGGCTGGAAGGGATCGAGCCGTGCTTGGAGGGTGGTCGATTGCCCCAGCCGCTGAACTGCTTCCCTCCCTATCGCACCTGCAAGTTGCTTCCTTGGGGGTTGGGATCCAGGAATTATTGGCCCTGGGCCTTGCGAACGTGGTGGGAGCCCTGCCCCGTTCTCAGCTGAGCACTTGATTCCACTCTCTCCCTTCTGGAAGAACAACCCCAACTAGCAATTGAGCGACGTTCTAAAACCCCTGCACTTGAAAGTAGTATTCGGGAGAAAATATCGTTTTCAAAATGTTGACTTTTCCCAGGTCGCGGAAGCGCCGCGCAAGGTTCGCAGAAGGGCTACGATTCAATCGCGAAAGCAAGAAATTGTAGGTTTCCTTCACGCGCGGAAGCGAAAACAAACTTCAATCCCGTTTCTCAATCCGCGGAAGCGACGCGGAAGCAATTCCCTCTTCAAACCTCTTGCGGAAGGAACCTTTCACCCCGCGCAAGGTCCGCGGAAGCCTTCGCGGAAGGGATTTGATATTTCTCTTCGGCCGCAACTGGGTTTAGAACACTGCTCAATTGGTAGTATCCCCTGGTAGTAAGACTTCTGGGTAGGGTAGAGGTTGGGTGAAGTCTAGTTGGTCATATTGCCAGTTGGTGAGTCCCCTGAGTAGGGTACATGTCGGGTAAATCCTAGCTTTTCCAATGACTCCTTAGTCATGGACAACTTACTGTTAGGAAATTCTGCGATAGGGAAACCCTGTGAAGTGACGACGTGGTCATGTTACGTTGACTTGCAGGTGGAGTACCTGGTTTAGTGGTTTATCTCAATATCGAACGAGTTGCATCTATCCCAACTGGTGCGAAGTGGAGTTTCGTCCACACACACCATGCCCCTTGATGTTTATGTGGTCTTCAACGGACATGGCTGTCCTTTCCGATTGCGTCCAGCCATTGAGGCTGCGTTATTGCGCTTGGGCATGTTCTTTCGTTTACCGTCATGCACGCGTGAATCTCCCCCTGCACTGATGGCAGGACCACTTTTGCCAAGCATCCCTCACCATGGTGTGAGTGAAATGTAGATGGGGGGGTGCAAGCAACCACCTGCCTCATCGACACCACCGCCAACGCAAACACCAGCGCCACAGTTCGAACAGATGACAAGAACGGACATTTGCATCACTTCAGGCTTGTTGCAATACATTTATTAGCATCTCTGCATTTCAAGCAGGTCGAGGGTTTTCCTTTCTCAACCCGTTGATGCCCGGCATTGCTCCCCGCAATGCCCTGCTTGTACAGGGAATTTCTTAGTGAGCCTGGCTGGGGCGTTTCCAGCCTCTTCCTTGGGCCATGTATTCTCAAGCCAAGCCTTCACCCTCAGCAACAGCCACGCATTCAACCTGCAAGCTCTTCCGCAAATCCACTCGTTCGCGGCAGCCTTTGGCGTGGGTCAACGCTGGCTGCCCTTTCATCACAAGTGTGTCGCCAAACAAATACCCGAATGCAAACAATGACTGGGGTAGACTTAGGATACATTTTACATTTTACCAGTGACTCAAATTGAAGCAACCACTAGAATATACACTTTATAACTGGGCCTAACTCTAATCATGATGATAGGACATGGCCCACCCAAACCCCAAGCTCGCTGTTGATGGCACGTCCGCTCGCATGTTGCTGGTTTGCGTGACACGCCCAATTTCCCCAAACAACCGCTGCTCACTTCCTCAGTAGATTGGCCACACAATTCCAAACTGTTTACCACCACCAGTTTTTTGTAGTGGTTCTGTGGGGTATTCCCATATTGAACCCCCCCGAAAGTATCTGCTTCCTGCAAAAAAGGGGAAAAAGGAGCCCTGCATGCAGGGTGCTGGAAAAGTGCCGATGTCTCAAAACCGGGGGAAAGGGCTAGTTGCTGCTTGTTGTTTCTACTTAGGTGTGCCTTTTTAGTGAACCCCCCCCCAAAAAAAAAACAGGTGCTGTTTTCGTGACATTTTCGTCTCAAAGCCAACCTTAGAAAGGGTCTTAAAAGACACACCTACTTCCAATTTTCCGCAATTTGTCCTGCCCCATGCCTCGGAGGCTTGCCACAGGCGTTGCCTCTCTTTGCCCGGATTATTCTTGACGCCGAGGTTTTCCTCTTACCCCGTCACTGGCAGCTTTTCCCGCTCTGCCGGGGATCCGAGGGGAAGCTCGGGCGCGGCGCAGGTCGCTCTTCTCGCAAGCCAAGACTTGTCTCTGAACTCCCCCCCCAAAAAAAAACAAACAAAACACAAGAAAGCACGAACATCGACTGAATTTCTGGTTTCCCCTTTTGAGCTCCTCCCCCAACCAAACAAAAAGGGGCAGCAGGACCTCCCTTCTCGAAAGCCCTGGATTGCAGCAGCATCTCCCAGGTCCGCAGGTCCGGCTCCCAGGTCCGCAGGTCTAGCGATGACAGTCCCTCAGATCCCTTTCCGATGATACAAAATGAGTGAAAGGCGACATGAGTCACTTGCTCAAAATCTGGGTAGATGAAAGTTAGTAAGGGACAATCCCAACCATACATAGCGGATATCCGCCTTCTTAATTCTTTACATGGTCCTGGGTGGACCATTTTAATACCGGGTTTTGATTGTGACTCGCATGGGTGGAAGTTTTAGTCGGGGACCTAACGGAACCTGAGAGAAGGTAGGTCGGGCACATTGTCAAGAAGAAATAGAAGCATCCGCCGCCCACGGAATTCCACAATTAGTTTTAGATCCCTTCTTTTGGCCAAAGGATGGTGTACGTTTCCTGCGGTTTCAGTGGGAAATGGGTATGACTCGTAACACAAATTGTGGATGGACGAAATCCTGCACAAACCCTGGAATGACTCGATTCCCCTGCAAATACCAACAAGCAATGGTTTCAACCGTGGCTTCAAAGTGGTCCTTTCCTCCATGGGTGCCTTAAACCTTAAAGTCCCAGTCTGCGCAATCACATGGCCAAACCGACAAGTTTTTGTTGCTGACGTGGAACTGAAGAAACCCAAAAATGCACTTTGGAGGCAACATGGTGGGCCGCCATGAGGCAGAACCCATTGAAACGGGTCCCCAAAACGGGTACCAACTTTGAGGTTGTCCAGAACATGTGGACCCCATTTGTTTAGCAGTTGAAAGGGAGGCAACATACTGTGTTGACCGGATCTGACCGTTTTGCTTCCCCCTTTTCGGCTTCCATTTTTGGTGGCCCCAAAAGGTCACCACCTTTTATGGGTGCCTAGAGTCTCCATGACCCTTCAAACATGGGGTTATTGCCCAAAATAAGACTTACCTTTAAAGGGTCATGGAGACTCCAGGTCCAAACTGGAGGGATCCAAATGGCCAATATTGCCCATGGCGAACGAGTGGACAGGCCGTGAACAACGCCACGGGCGCCGTGACGCAGCTGTCGGGCCTCATCACCGCTTTGGTGATTGTGTGGCGCCCCCCAGGTCACAAAATTGGGGCAGCCGGGGCACGGGCTCGGGGAATGAAAAGGGATGTATGTTCTCACATTGATGGGTCAAAAACAAGTTCCCAAAATGGAACCCTGGTAAATGGAAACATTGACTAAGACCTGCGGCTTCCTGGTGGCTCATTTTGACCCAGACTCACATGGCTGGTCAAAATTAGGTACCTGGAGTCTCCATGACCCGAAAAAAGAATCAGGCCATGACCCCTTTACTTTTGGGTTGTGACCCCCCATTCTTGAGGGTCATGAGACTCCAGGTCCTCTAGGCTCTCACGAGTTCCGTTTCGGGCTTTAGCTACAGGAGAAGGCCACGGATGTTCGCAAGACGTTTGGGACTTTTCGGGTCTCGGGAAGTTAGAGGTTGCTTGGTTTCTCCAAGCAGTGGAGCCCCTGTTGGATGACATTCATAGGGAAGCCACAAGCTTTAGGGGCCTTGCAATGGCTGGTGACCCATGGGTCTACGGCCCAAACCCATGCCCACGGATCACCGATATCAAACGGTTGCCAATTGGATATACCAACAATCATGGATTATGTTGTTTCAGATATTTACATCATTATGTACTGTTTGGATAGCAATATGATATGAGTCACATGTGCAATTGCTTTCTGTAGGTATGCGTGTATGTGTGTGTGTGTGGGTATGTGGGTGTGTGGGTGTGTGGGTGGGTGGGTGGGTGGGGTGGGGTGGGGTGGGGTGGGGTGGGGTGGGGTGGGGTGGGGTGGGGTGGGGTGGGGTGGGGTGGGGTGGGGTGGGGTGGTGTGGGGTGGGGTGGGGTGGTGTGGGGTGGGGTGGGGTGGGGTGGGGTGGGGTGGGGTGGGGTGGGGTGGGCTGGGCTGGGGTGGGGTGGGTGGGGTGGGGTGGGGTTGGGTGGGGTGGGGGTGGGGGTGGGGTGGGGTGGGGTGGGGTGGGGTGGGTGGGTGGGTGGGGGGTTCATCAGTTTGTGGTGCTGCCCGGCGCCTGAAGAACGAGCTTCGGGGTTGGATGTCAAGATCCGAAACGTTCAGTCGTGCCCTGTTCTTTTCTTTTGAGAGGATGCCCCGTAAAATCGAGTTCCCAAGAATTTCTGGACTTTATACTTTTCTGGAAGGACCAGTACTGGCAAACCAATCGGAATCATTACACAGTAATGACTTTCCAAGGCGACCTTTCTTTTACCCTCCCACCCTGATTGTGAACCCTTTGCAGGAACCTTGCTCTTCTATCCCTCAGGCATCCTTCCTTTTCAAGCCTTCATTTTTTTCCCCAACAGCTGAAAGCTTTGGGGTCTCAGCCCAGATAGGCTCCGGGGTGGTCCGGGGCGGCCCTGAGGCAAGGTTCCACGAGGGTTCCACCAGGGTTCCACCAGGGTTCCACCAGGGTTCCAGCAGTGTTCCGCGAGGGTTCCGAGGGCTGCGGGGTGCAAGCACTAAAAAGAGCACCGCATGCTGTTGGGGATATCACCTGAGCTTTACTTGTTTAACCCTCCGCCTGTTGTTTTTTCACTAGGACCCCGTGTTTGTTCATCATCCACGAGCCTGCTTTTTTCACCCCCTTGGACCTTGTTTTTCCTGCACCAACCCCCAAGCAAAAACACAAATCTTAAGCCCGACCTAAAACAAACTCTAAGCAACCCAAATCTAGGCCCGCCCTCAGCCATTCCTTTCCAACCACAAATGGGTGTGTCTTTTTTAGGAGACCCACCAACATTGTGGATTTCGTCTTGGTTTCCCTTTAACACCAACCACCATGACTTTCCCCTAAAAAGACTGACCCTATCTCTAAATGAACCTTACACCAACCATAAACACGCCCTTTATCAGCCAACCTTGAACCCACCCTAAGCTGACAGTATACAACCCAACCCAAAACCCCGCCAAAGCCAACTAAGCAACCCACCCTACACCATCCTAAACTAACCCCAAACCAACCTTAAATCACTCTAAACAAACCCTGAGCAAACAACAAACATCTATCCACCCTACACCATCCTAAGCTCCCCAAACCAACCCTAAATCACTCTAAACTATCTCTTATCCAACCGCAAGCCAAGCCACCTCAATTCAACCCTACACCAACCCTACTCGAAACCACCCTAAACCATACATAACCCACCCGTATCCCAACCCTAAACCGACCCTAAACCAGCCCTAAATCATCCAATGCTACACCCACCCTAAACCGGGCCAAAACCAACGCTAAACCCACCCAAACCTCAATCCAACCCTACACGCTAAACTAACCGTAAACCCAGCCCAGACCTGAAGCCGGCCCTACGCCAAGAATAAAGCCCTTCCCAGCCTAAGCTGGCCTCAATTCTTCCAACCCTAAGCCCAACCGAAACCACCACAAAGCCGACCCTGAACTGACCTATCGACCCAAAAACAAGCCTCAGCCCTAAAGCGACCGAAAGCCAACCCTAATCCGACTAAACCCCACAAACCGGTCTTTGCAGCTTTGGATCGCTCAGGGGTGGCTTCGGGTTGATTTGGGGCGGCTTGATTTTGGAGCTCAGGGGGTTTAGGGTGGTTTAAGGTTGGTCTAGGTTGGTCTAGGGTTGGTCTGTGATGGTGTAGGTGGGGGTTGGGGTTGGCTTTGGCTTGAATTGGTTTCACTGTGTGGCTTAGGGTTGGCTTTGGCTGGGTTTAAGGCTGGGTGAAGTTTAGCTTAGGGCGGGTTAAGGTTTAACTCAGGATGGATTTAGGGCTTGTGGTTGGTACAGGGTGAGCTTTTGGTTGGTTTAACGTTGGTTTGGAGTGGTTTAGGGTGGCGCTTTTAGGGTGGGTTTAGGTTGGATTCGGGTTGTTTTTGGGTGGGCTTGGTTTGTGCGGGCTTGTGTGGCCCAGGATTGGTTAAAAGCTGGGTTCAGAATTGGTTTACAGGGGTTTAGGATTGGTGTGGGCTTGGGTTAGGGTGGCTTCAGGGGGTGGTACAAGGTGGGTTCAGAATGGGGCTTAGGGTGGGAGTTCGGGCAGGTTGGAGGTTGGCTTTGGCGTGGGATTAGGGTTGGATTGGGGTCTAGCATGCAACCAAAAGCCAAAGAAACGCGCGGGTTGGCTAGGGTCGGTTTATTGTTGAGTGCTGTTTTCGGGTCGGTGGGTCTGTTCAGCTCAGCATGGATTTAGGGTTTGTGGTTGGTGCAGGTTGGGCTTATGGTTGGTTAGGGTTGGCGTACGGGCGGGCCTAGGGTGCTTGGTTTTGGGTGGTTAGCGGTTTTTGGGGTGGGTTGGGTCTGGGATCCACCCTAGACAAACCGCAAGCCCACCCCACACCCACCACCTCTAAACCACCCTCAACCAAACGTAAACCCACCGTAAACCCTAAATCGCTTCCAGCCAATGCTGGGACCATGAGCCAGGGCCACTTGAAAAAAAGGGGTTGGAGGATGAAAAACGATTCCCGCTTTCCAAGAGAAATGCAATTCCAAGTTCCAACCAGAACTCTCTCTCTGTCTCTGTCGCGATCCTTAGGTGCACGCTCCTTTTTCTGACTCGCCTCTTCGACTACTTGCCCGACTTTGTCGGGGCCTTGACTTGAAGCAACGGGAACTGGCCGTCAGTTTGAGCAGTACTTAGGTTCCAGACCATGACAACGGATCATTCATTGGTAGGCAACACTGCTTGCTCAAGGAGGGCGTATGGGACTGCCACACCAGACCGGGCGAATCCTGTCACGTTGACATCACACCTTTCGCTTGGGCACAGATGAGCCAGTCATGTCTCAAACAGTCACGTTTTGGTTGAGTTAGCTATCTCCACGTCATTTTGCTGGGAATGCTCTGAACACGCCAGCGCACGGATTGCGCAAATCCACGGTTGCCCAAGATCCCTTCATTGTTTGGATCCCTCGCTTGCCTGTTGAATTAGCAAACTTTGTGCCTGTTTAGTCAAGACCCAACCACTTCCTTGGCCAGCAGCCTCAAAGGGTCAGCAGAGTTTGAGTCGGCCAGTCTGAGTTACATTTGCCGAATTCGTCTAGTTCCCTCCCCCCCCCCCCGGCCGCCAAACTCATCAAATTCGCCAGTCGAAAAGAAATACAGGGAAATGAAATCACGGAATCATTGGGTTACCGACTCAAACCCCTATTCCAATTAGTTTGCCCAGACAAATTGCCCCAATGGTCCTGGATTTTGAGGGGAACAGCCAAACCCAAGAAACCCTTTTCAGCTTCATGCGGCCTTGCCGTTCAAAACAAGTTGGCGCCCCTTATGGTTGGGTGTTACAATGGGGAACGCCGTCACATGGCTGTTTTCCTCGTGGAGGTGAACAGTGTCAGCACTAGTTGGTGGTTTGGATTGGTGCTTTGGTGGTTCGGGAGTGATGTCCCATTTACCCTTTACAAGAAGCCGGGGCTACCAATCCCACCACCAATTAAGGGTAACCTGAACGTATCTCGTAGCAGGTTGGTTGAAGGAAGAAGTTTGGGAGGAGTTCCCATTTTGGCTCATTTGCTTGCTGCAGGTGTTGGCCGCCATCGTGATCAGTTCTGCCGGATGCCTCAAAAACGCGCAGGATTTGGTCAAAAAACCCTCCTGGACCCTGGTCCCTCAAAAGGATTCATTTTGGCAAGATTCAACCCAGCCTTGCCCCCTCTCAGAGGGGCCGGATGTCCTTGAAACAAGAATATGTACCCTAAACAACGGTGCCCTTGTTTTCTTCATCCGGAAAGCTGTTGAACTCTTGGGCTGAAGCCCGCAAATTCCTTTCAACCCAGACGGTTCTGGTGTTCCTGTGCCGAATCTGATCGCGCATGTCGACCCTTTCTTGGGGTAGCAAAGTTGGGAACTGGGGTCGTTTCTCTCAACACCCACTTGGGAGTGTCGAACACGGTGCAAGCATGCATGTGTTGGTCGTCAATGCAAGCGAGTTATTTTTGCGGGGTGGATATTTAACGGGGCATTTTTGGGGGCCCACAACAAAGCCCGTTTGAAGCATTCTTTGGGTTCCCCTTAGGGGTACCCCCCGTTGAACCATCCTTTTGGTTCCCCTTAAAGGGATGGGTTTGGTTGTCCTCCCAGGTGGCGCCGCTGGTGGCGTACCGCGAGGCGAATTTCCGGATTTTCATGCCCACCTGTTTGGGGATGGTGACATGGCTTGTGCCCCTAATGCTGGAAGTAAATTTGCGGATTTTCCACTACCTGGAGCCTCCATGACTCTTTAAACATAGGTACATGACCCCACTATTTTGGGAAACGACCCGATTTTTGAGGGTCATGGAGACTCTAGGTAAGTCTGGAAAAGGAGAGAGGTGTTGTTTGCTCAGGTAAGAGCAGCCCAGCTTTTGACTAATCAGAAGTGTTCTGAGAGGAAGTTCTGTTCCATTGCCCCACCTCGAGGGCAACCTGAGGCTCGGTTCTCCTAGGGTTTGAGGTCACCACGGCCGAAGCGACCATTCGCAGGAGAAGCCTGGGTCTGTAGCCAGACTCAGACTAGGAATGCCAGTTTACACGATGACAACTTAGGAAGAGTGGTAGGTAGGAGTGATTCCTCTCTAGGGGTTGGCTGAGGGGGGCAGAACACAGTTCCGGCTGCGATGCCGTCATACTGCGGCCGAGATGCAAGAAGCTCAGCGATCATGTTTGTGTGTTTTTGGCAACTGCCGCAACTCGACAAGCCACTCCGGGGAAGTAATTCACACACTGACCTTGCGGGTCTGCTTTACACCTCTTCAGTAAGAAGATGAAACCATATTTTCGTCAGATTTTCCCTCCACGTTCCCGGACTACAAAGTCAATATGAGGAGGTCCGGCATCATTGTTGGTCTATTGATTGTGCGAAGAGGACAGTGGGGGGGGTCCAAACCAACTTCGCGCAACAGGGCAGTGCACCCAGTTGTCTCATGTCCTCTTGGGGAAGAGACACACACACACAGACACACTTCTCGGCAAGTACGAGGTAGAAACATGTCCTGCTCACGGTGAACCGTTGACCTTATTCCTAAATATTTAGGCCCTTGTTTTGTATGGGTGTTTAAAAAGTAGAAAAGGAAAACAAGGGAAGGTCAACTGTGTGTGGCGTTTCCCCAGTTCTCAAACAATGATTGAGGCCCTTACAGCCGGATTTTTCTTTGGCCTGACACTCCCAGCTTTGAATTCTGGCGGTAAAAGGACCTTTCGGACCGGACCAAGCCAGGCTGGCAAGCTTTGGCGGGTCAAGAAGCAGGACTTCTTCCTTTGGGCCCGAGCCCCGGAAGATTTGCTTCCTGCTTTTTGTTGTAGGGTACCCTGTTCAGATTGGTTTGAAGGAACACCGCAAACAAAAACACAATTGTGAGGTCCCCGTTTGTTACAGAGAAGATGCCTAGCACAGGTTGGTGGAGAGCAGAGTCCAAACAGCCCCGGATTCATTCAGGTTTCAGGGAAGCCACCGCCAGGTTGAAAGAATACTGGTTTAAACACATCTAGCTTGACCGGTGGCAAAAATCATCGCATCTGAAAGCCTTGTCCACTATGGCTCCTGGATGAAAAATGCACACTCCAAGGGATTCTTGGCAAGGCACCTTCTTCGGGTTCTTGTCAACAAGGATTTTGGAAAGCTCAGATGTGAGGCTTAGCTTCGGGTGAATTGGGCTAGAGAGCAGCTACACTGGCATACCTCCCGGGAAGAAAGCTGTCGAGGGTGGTTGACAGCTGGACAGTGAGCGGCAGAGGGCAACTGATGCAACTCAATATTAATGAAACAAGGACATGCCACTCCTTTTCCGCCAAGAGGGAAAGCTCAATGGAACCTCATGTGTGTAAATTATGCGATGCATGCCAGTGCAATCATGTGTGTGTGTGTGGGTCAAGATTAAACATGAGAGGTTTTGGTCCATGTTTCCACTTACCAGGGCAACCCATTTTGGTACCGGTTTTTTGAGCCACAGCCACGCGGCCGTGTGTGTGTGTGTGTGAGTTTGCCTGGCTGATGTTTCTAGGCAGTTCTTTCTGCACCGCCTCCAGAAGCCTTTTTTGTGCAGGCTTCCCACGGCAAAACGGTGGGCGCACCCTCACCCACGTTGTATGAGAAAGGGTGGGGTGCGTCCTTCTCCGTACGTTTCCCCTCGGTGCAGGGGAATTGTGGAGGGGGATGTTGGCTTTTTGCTTCGATTTCAATTTGACCAAGCACCATTTTCCCATTAATGGCCCAGTTGTCCTCTTTTAGGTTGGATGTCCCTTCAAGTGCAATCAGCCTTGCACCAACAAGAGATGCCTCTCTCTCTCTCTCTATATATATATATATTATACAAATACACGTAAAGTTGGATGTGTGCGTGTGCGTGTTATCTTGGGGATCGTTGTGGGTCCAAGCTACCTAGAGTCTCCATGACCCTTAAAAAAGGGGGGTCATTCCCCAAAATAAAGGGGTCAGGTACCTATTTTTAAAGGGTCATGGAGACTCCAGGTACCCCCCAAAAAAAAAAGCCAACTTGGACGCCCCAATTTGGAGCATTTTTTTGGCCGCACTTTGCCCCGGGTCGGTTTGCGGTTGGCTCAGCCGAGCGCCCCGAGGTGGCGGCGTTTCTGGGCACGCTCTTTCTGGGAGTCCTGCAAGGCCGAAGCGGATTGGCGGATTGGCGGAGTGATGTTCCCCAAGGAATTGGATCTGACCCTTTTTCGGGTGTCCCATGTTTGGGCACCACTTTTGAAGTGGCCCCAAGAGCTGATCATCTCAAGTATGATGCTGGGTCATGTTAACCATTTTGAAGTGGCCCCAAAAGCTGATCACCTCAAGTTTCTGATGTTGGGGCTAATTAAAAACATTTTTGGGGTCCCATTTTTAGTGGCGCCAAGAGGTTGACCTTTTATCCCCAGGTGCAGGGTCGAGAGAGTTGTCGGTAGCCACTTTTTTCACGTGAGCCACAATCAAAACCTGGGTAGATGAAGGTTAGTAAGGGACAATCCCAGCCATAAATAGCTGCGGCCGCCTTTGTATTTCCTTACATGGTTCTGGGTCAAGCATTTTTATACCGGGTTTTGATTGTGACTCACGTGGGATCAGGTGATCGGAAGGCTCATCACGCACACTACACTCCAGAACGTTCATGACAAGTTGTTTTCATTTGTTATCCCTTTGTTGCATGCAGAAACATATCTGGTTTTCATTCAGACACATTCTGTTCCAAATGCATTTGTTGCATGACATGGTTTCTTCTTTTGTGTCAGGCACTTTCTGTTTCATTCCAAATTCCAGTCGTTTCATTCAAAGTTCCTTTGCATGCCGACCATTTTTTTGTGGGAAGAAGGGCAGCACTGGCTGACATTCCTTTTCACAATTCTCCAGGCCTCCAGTTGACTGGGAACATGACAACTGATTTCTAGGGGTACCTTCCAACTCCATTCTTTTCAGGCATCCTTCCTTCTAAAAAACCACCCAAATTTTTGGGGAAACAGCTCCGGTTTTTTCAAAAGAACGATGATTGAAAAGAATGGTTGGAATCAACCCCTAGATTATTTGGTCGGGGGGGCGGGGGGTTGCTATGTGTTACCAATTCGAAAGCCTCCAAAAAAGCTACGCACATGCCACTGGGTGCAGGCCATTTGGAGGCATTTTGCAGGCCATTCATCCCCGGGCACAGGCAAGGCTCAGTCAGTCCATCCCCCGGCATGGCTCCTGAAAAGTGCCATTCAGAATGCCAAGCACCGAGACACATTCCACACAAAGTAAAGCATATTCAAAGCCCTTCCAACAAATCAAGTACCTGGAGACTCCATGACGACCCCTTTAATTTGGGTAATGACCCGATTTTTTAAGGGTCATGGAGACTCTAGGTGCATTCCAACACTACACAAACCAACATTCAAAAACATGCAGAGAGAAAAAGCCGAAGGGACGCCAAAAGGACAACCATAATGGGACTCCCAACCATTTTGACACATGCCCACGTACGAACCTTCAAGGCACAGCCCGAGATTTCGTCATGAGAGCCACTGCCTGAAAACCAATTCGGGTAGAAGCGTAAGGGGCATGTTCCGTGCCATGCAATGCCAGAACAACTCCGTGCGGCACGGCCCATCTGAAAGCACCCTTGATCCTGACTCATGAGGTTTGGCCAAAGTTGCCACATATGTGTGGTTCCGGACCTAAGTTTCTAATGTCCTTTGGGGAAGCAAGCAATATTGACCGCACGCCTTAGCACACCACGTTTGTAGGCAACCCTTCGGCATGTTTGCCGCCAGGTATCTTCAGCTACTCTAGTTTTGCCCGGCTACCTACAACCATAGTATCCGGCAGCACTGAGTTCGATTCGTGGCTTTTGAACGGACTTGAAAGAGAAACTGCCTTTACCTGAAACCGCCTTCAAGAAGGTTGAACGCCGTGGGGACCCACTGGCTGTGGGTCAAAAATAGGCACCCAAAATGGAACCCTGGTAAATGAAACCAAGGGCTAAACCGGCGATCCGCTGGTGGTTTATATGATTTCGACCCATACCCACATAGCCATGGCTAGAGCCTTCGGACATCACGTCTCAAGGGAAGTTGATTCGCCGTGTTGCAAAGCGAGATTGGGAAGCCAAGAAGCTTCATCTCGAGGCTCCCCAAAAGCCCAGCTGAACCAACCCCCCATTCGCTGCTCGTCCACATCTCTCCCCAAAAGCCCAGCTGAACCAACCCCGTTCCAGGCATCGCGCTGGCAGTTGGTTTGTCCATGTGCATCGTCATCTATGAGTCGGTACGGCCCCGCCCTGAGCTTCCCAGGCGGTTTAACGCGGAGAATTCCCGCCTTTCTGGCTGTTTCTTCAGGATGATATGGGTTTTGTTCTTGGGGACGTGTCGAGCATGTGTCGAACATGGACGCCATCTTTTTGTTTTACTGGGGAACCGCCTCAACAGTGGTTGGTGGACATAAATGCCCGCTTAAACCAGGGTTTTCATATGGGTCCCACACCCAAATGGGTGGGTTCCTTTGCTTCCCTTTATTTTTCTCTAGTTTCCCGTAGCGTTCTTTTCGTTTCGCCTTTAGAACCATCAGAAGGCGAATTACCTCACACCGACATGCCCATATGCTGAAACATGTTTTTTTGTTTTTTTCCCGCGTTTTGAGGTGTTTGCTAAGTGTTGTTTGGTTTGTTTTCCTTAAAAGAGGGACATTCTGAGGGTCACTATTTAGTGGATCCGGTGAACAGGTTGCCTTGTCGAACCATGTTGTGTTTCTTTCCAACATGAAAAAGCGTGTTTGTTTTCAAGCCGTTTTTTTTTTGACTCCATTTGTTTTAGCTTCTAAGTTGCTAAATCAATGGCGGTTTCAACATGTTGAAACTAGGGGCTGACCCCACTCTGCCAAGGGCTGGAAGAAGGGGGTTTTGCGTTTTGAATGTAGCCATTCCCGCTTGGTTCAATCAGGAAGACCCATCTGAATCAGGGGTCCAATTCCCTGTTTTCACACGGACCATATTATGGGTCTCATGTTTGAATACGGGAATGCATGGACATTTCGGTGTCATGTGCACCAAGGATTTGTGAGGTGGTACCTATTTGGATATGGACATTTTAGTGGGGCACCCCTGAAAAGTGGTTGGTGGACAGAAATCACCAAAGAGCCACACCCCTTTAAGTTCATGCGAGCTGCCAAGGCCGCAGATCACGATCCTTTGGCGGCTTCCGGGCACGACCATCTACCGGAATTTGAAGCAGGAGACCTCCAAAGAACGTTTGGGACCGTGTCAACATTTGGGACCATGTCTTTTTCCATTTGCTTAAGAATATGTTGTTGTTTTTATTTTCCCTTGTAGGTTTTAAAGGGAATTTGTCACTACTGGAAATATTTGTTAGTTGTCCAGGCAGCTTAATCAAATGGAAGTCTTCTGTTGACTGCCATGATAAACCTCGGGTCGAACGTTGACCAGCAATCACTTACGACCTTACATTTGGGAAATGTAACTAAAGGCAAGCGGAAGAACGAGGCTGAACGCTTAACTGTAGCTTTATTGCGGGTGGTCGCTCAAAAGTCAAGTCGGTGGAAACATCACCTGGACAATCCCATTTGGAGTGAGTTTTCGTGGAAGAGTCCTTGAATGGCGGCCTCAACTAGTCAATCACTATGGCTCTCCTATAACTCTGAACATCGTTCTTCGCTTTTTCAGCTTCCCCCAGTTGGCGGTTTTGGATTTGAACCCCCAGCTTGTGAAGCCAAGTGGGAAGCTTGACTGCTATTGGGTTGGATCTTTAGACTTGAACTTTTGGGGAAATCAAGGGGTTTTCCACTAAACCCACAAAAAAAGTTAAACTTTTTGCAGAGGGGTCAGCAGCTACCAAGAAAGCTGCCCCCCCTTTTGCCGGGTAGCGGGGGGGGGATCTGAATCGATGTCAGGAGAGCAGCGGCGCCTTTGTGCCCAACGTCTTCATCGCACGTATCGGAAGCTCCATGCCGCCGAGCTGAGAATTCGCGTCGTTTCGATTTTCGGCACGGGCGCGGGGCGGGGCGTTGGGCGGGGCGTTTTTGGGCGGGCCGGTGCCTACCGCGAAATACCGGGATCGCTTATGAAGTTTGGGTGTGCGTTTTTTCTGAGGGTACCCCCGTTTTTTTTGGGGTGCGCCGTTTTTTTTGGGTGCGGTGTTCGAAGAGGACCAACAGGAAGAAAACTGTATTTTGGGGGGGTCCCCTAAGTCCCCTAACAAAAGATGCGGCCATGTCTCTTGTCAGCCGGAGTAAAGTTTAAGCATCACCACTTTAGATGAGTTTCCTTTGGGGTGATGTTGAAGCGGGGAAATCTAAGAAGCCCTGAAAAGGATGTTTCCACGACGAACTGTGGACAAAATCCATCTCAGCTGAATGTATTTGCAGTAGGGCACCTGTACTCTTGGGGTCTCCAAGATGATCTTAGATTATTTTGATGCTTGACTATATTTGTTGAAGCATATCAGACCATACGACTTTTGGTTTACCCCAGAGTAGGGCCAAGTACTGCTAGGCGGTGTTCCTTTGGCTCAAACCCATCGCCAACCGAAGATCGAGACGATCCACATCTTACCCCGAGAGTCTGCATGATCCTTGAAAAATGAGTAATTACCAGAAATAAAGGGGTCATTGACCCATGTTTAAAGGGTCATGGAGACTCCATGTACCTTTTGTTTCGCCGATTCCATTTGTTGTTCTCGATTCTTTGGAGACGCCAATTGCACCACGTGGTTTCCTTTAGCATGCAAGCACAACAGGGGGTGTTCGAAAAGACCACGAGTTCATGAGAGCGAAACAGCGGGCCTCACGGAAGTTTCGTAGCTTCCGTAGTGCATGTGTTTTTGTTTTTTTTTGTTCAGGACACCCATGTTGGGTTTGCAGCATGCTTGTCCCCAGGCCGCGACAGGGTCGCAAAGGGGCCTGGCTGCCATCGACCTGTGCCTTTTCCCCGGGAAAGCCTTCGCGACAGAAAACTTCCGAGAGTCCCCATGACCTTTAAGCAGTGGTTGGTCATGGCCCAAAATACAGGGGTCATGTAACACATGTACCTATTTTTAAAGGGTCAGAAGGAGACTCCAGGTGCATATGTTCGCTCGCGAGCCCAGATACTTCGCCAATGCCTTCTTCATCAAGGCGCGGGTTTTGGCGCGGCTGTGGAGCCTCACTGATTCCATTTGGCTGTGGGTCAAAACCAATGGGATCCCATTTTGGGGGTTTTCGGTGCACCACCCATTTTAGAGCCTATTTTAGTGGTTGGATTGGGATGTTCACGGTACGATTTGGCCGGGATGTTGACCCACCATTTCCCAGGAGGCCCAGTGAAACCGGATGAGCGCGTGAAAAAAAACGAGGCGTCGCTTGGGTGAAATGGGGTGGGCTTCCGGATGCAAACTGCGCGCTGCCGAGACGGTGCGATCCTGAGCCACAAGTTGTTGTTTTGATGATCGTTTGGGTTCGCGAGCATGACTGAAGCCAATGTACGTAGGTCTATATATGGTCCCGTGTTCCGTGTTGCTACCCCCCCCCCCCCCCCCGCAGATGGTATGGGTCCCCCCAGGACCCCCCCTAGATCCTGGCACTCCCACCCCCACCCCGACCCCCGCGGGAGGAACATGGCTGGCGGATCCACGATCCGCTCGCCAAAGGCATGCTTTTTGCATGAGTGAACCATCCAGCACATGGGGGGTGTTTTTCTTGAGGGCACCCTTTTTGGGTGGCTTCAAAGGAAAGCCGAAAGGAAAACCACTATGTTGGTGTGTTCCCTATTTTGACACATACCCATATTGTCTTTGATTGGGGGAGGAGCTGAAGTGGTTTGGTAGATAAGTTGAAAGAGCAGCGAACTGTTTGGCAATTTTGAAGCTCCCTAGCTAGGTTGGCATTATTGCGACGCATGCTTTGTTGATGAAGCCGTGGTTTTTGGAAGGTATACCCTTTTCGGGAATGCATCACTACACGGTTAGTAATCGTTTTGTTTCCCAGGCGCAAAAAGGCAAAATGGAAGTACCTGGAGTCTCCCTGACCCTTAAAAAATAGGTACATGACCCGCTTAGGGTAATGACCCGAGTTTTTCAGGGTCAGAAGGAGACTCTAGGTATGGCTTCCATTGCCTAAGGAGGTACTGAACGACCCCTTTTTACCCAAGAGCCATCCTCAGGTAAGGGACCCTCTGGGAATGGAAGTATGGGCTCCCAAGAACCAGACAGGGGAGGCTCGTGAACTCGAGCTCGTGGACCAGATTCCCCCGTCCTTTTGAGGAATTCTTTGCAGAAAGCCACCATCCCAGGGAACTCAGCTGGGCCTGTGCGTGTTTTTGGTGTGGTTTCAAAAGGAAACCAAGAGGACGGCAAATTACAAATTTGGGGTCCCCCATACGTTGACACACACACACCCAGCTGTTTTGCGACAATGGTTGAACAGATAGAGCATTTTCCGATGTTCAACTTCCCAAGGTCCACAAAGGAGCGGTTCCTCGGAGGCTCCTGCGAATAAACTGTGCTTTTAGTATTTTGTTCGATAAAGGTCAGAGTAAGGTGTGTATGTGTGTGTGTGTTCTATTTTATCTTTTTGTTTTGGTTGGTTTTTTTTTTGGGGGGGGGTTTCGGGGGGGGGGGAATCCAAACAAAAAGACACCTCATCCCAGATTTGCTTGGTTTCTACCCACCGTCCACCTGCGGTTTTTCCCCCCCCCCCCCTTTTTTTTTTCGGCGCCGTTCGCCCCGAAACGAGAACTGCTCGCCAGGACTGGCTCAGGGCGCGGATCAGCGCGTTGGCGCAGATCAACCGCACGGAGTACATCGTGCTGGAGATGACCGCGGCCGGGGAGCCCAGAGCGGTGGAGAGTCGTGGAGAGTCGTGGGGCGGTCTGATTTTTTTTTTAGGGGACACCTCCCCCCACCGGGAAAAAAAAGAGAAAAAAAACAAACGGCAAAGAAGAGAGAGGAGAGAGAGAGAGAGAGAGAGAGATATGGGTTTCTGTGTTTTTATGTTGTTTTCGCTTGAACACCAAAAAAAGTATTTTGTTCTTGTGGTTTGAAAACCAACAAGAAACGTGGATGTGTTGTTTGCTTCCCTTGAAAACCATCCGAAAACGGTCCCCTCAAAACAAGACACACCCAGGTCCCAGCTTGATATTTTTTTGGGGGGCCGATTCCTATTTTGGTGAAAAACCTAGAGCTTTTGCAGGGCATCACCCCTAAGAGGTATGAGAGGTCCAGGGCGTTTCTCGAAATGGTTCTGCGTGGTTTTAAAACAGGGGGCCCAAAACCACGACATACCGGAAACCATGCAGGGGAGGGATGACGCAGCAAGGCACATGTTGGCCTGTCTGTTTGTAGAGGATCCAAAAAATGTGTGGTTTTCTTTTAGTTTCGCTTCTAATTAAAGCCAGCCAACAAGGGTACCCGCAACAAAGACACCCATATGGGCATGTCTCTCACAAAGACATTTTTTTCTGGGGAAGGCGGATGGTTCCTCATTTCAGCCGGGGTGGAGGTTGTCTTATGTCCGAATGGCCAGCGTGGGCGGGCCGTGAGGGATTTGTCCAGTTTGGTCCCAAAGCAGGAACCGAACTGGAGCTGAGAGATGAGGCATTTGGTGGATGTGGAAATAAGGATGTTTCTGGCCAGAATGGGGCGGTTAGCCCTAGATTTGGTTGTTTTGGCCCTGTTGCCTCTCTCAATCGTTTCACCACGTCTTGGGAACGCACGGCAATTTTCTTGCACTCATCTCAGGTGAGGCCTACCCCTAGCGGTGTGGCGCAAAATGGGGGAACCCCGTTCGTCCAAAAAGGGGTGTTGGACAGTTGGGCACCCCCATTTTTGTTTCTGAATCCGGGCATAGGTGTCATTTTTAGCTTAGTTTGGTTAGTAATATAGATGGCACTGGCATAGATTTAGGCCATTTACCACCGAAACCCATCTACATATTCTACCACAAGACGATTGTGCTTAGACCGGCTTTAGTCACTTTGTGAGGCAAACCCCATCTATTTTTTACTCAAACGGACATCTACCTAGAGTCTCCATGAACCTTACACAAATGGTTGGTCATTACCCAAAATAATGGGGTCACGTACCTATTTTGAAAGGGTCAGAGGGAGACTCCAGGTATGAACCTCAGTTCCACTGACGCCAGAGATGCCTAATGAGATCTTCAGGTGGTGAGCGTGGACTCTACGGCGCTCCATGTGCTGGAGGAACGGCTGCTGACATCTGCGGGGCCAAGCGGTGGACTCATTTGGGTGTCCTTTTTGGTTGGTGGCTCCCAGCCATCCGGTTCCTTAGCCTTTTAGCTTTCTAGCGTTTAGTGGGGATTTCCATTTCACCCACTAAAAGTTGAACTGTTAGCAGGGGATCTGAGGGCAGCCCAGTTTGGTGGGCTTGCTCTGAAAAAAATAGGTTTGGCCCTGGTGTAGATGGGGTTTATGCCACATTTACCAGGGAAACCCATCTATTTTTCCAGAAGGCCACCTATGCGGCATATGCGGTTGACTCATCTGCCAAGGCCGCTACGGCTCGCTTGCTTTTTTGGAGACAAGCAAACGAGCAGATGAGAATTGTCCCTTCCAACGAGAAAACGAGCAAAAAGGAGTGTTCCATGCACCTAGATAATCACAAGCCTGAATCCTTTTCTTGTGTTGTCCAAACATGTTTGCTGTGTCCAACCGTGTTTCCTTGTAGAGGGTCGCAAAGGACTGGTGAGTCTGGAATGGAGAGAAAATCCGAAAATCCATCTCCATGCCTGTTTCTCTGGTCTCCAAAGCCTGTTTACATTTTTGGCTGACTAAATTTGGAGCAGAGTTCGGACGCATTTTTTCTGTGTATCCATGACATAGCTGAAGGATTCAATTGAACAAATACGCAAAACGTGTTGCCACACTTTTGGTCCGCGGAAACTTTCCCAGCGTGTGGTCCCTGGGAAGCGTTAAAGCCCTGGTTTTTGCTAAGGGAGACAAATGGCTGTGGGTGTCAAAACCAGTGGGATCGATTCCATTTTGGTTGATAGGTGCACCCATTTTAGAACCTATTTTAGTGGTTGGATTGGTTAAGGATATTTTGGGGTAGGTGCGCCCATTTTAGAACCCACTTTAGTGGTTGGATTAGATGTTCACTGGGGGCTAACCGATTTGGGTTTGACCCATGGCCAAATTGACTCGGGGGACAGGGAGGTGACCGAGGAAACGAGTCTCGGCGGAATGAATCTCTCCCATGGTCGCGATGTTCCGCACGTGACTGATCAATTGCCATGTTGTTTGCCTAATCATCGACGTATGACGAAGTGTGGGTGTTTTGGTGGAAAAGGAAGCCACGAGGAAAACCAGGAGGAAAACCAAAAGGAACCCCACCGTTTGGCTTGTCCTTGGGCTCATCTGCCAGCCCGTGAAATCAATGGACAACAAACTCAAGTGATTCTAGTTAGCCCTGGCAGTAATCAACCAGCTATGGTGGTTCCCTTGGTGACCTACAGGGAAAGGTATCCTCCTTCCAAGGTACCTGATGGAGGGTCCCTTGAAGCAGTTGAGAACCCTCCTCTTAGAGGTTCCGGCTCCTTCTGTCAGGCGGAGTGCCTTTTCTTGACGCCCAACAGCACCCTTCCTACGATTTGGAAAGGTTTGTTGTTTTGTCTATAGTCGACCAACAGAAGCAGGGGCAAGCTCATTTCTTTCTTATGGTCTTATGGCCACTGGGATGAGTTGTGGCACATGGCTTACCCTCCCCCCGAAAGAGTTTGGGTGAACCTTCTAGGGGTTCTTAGGCGTGCCAACCTGCAGGAGCAGGGTTTGAAGTGTTAAGTAGCCACGTCTTGCTGGGCTTCTGAGTTCTGCCCCAGGACCTGGTCTTAGACTTCCGCAGCAAGGGCGTGCAGATCGCCTTCGCCATGGTTGGGAACCGCTTGGACAGGACTGATGGAGTGAGAAGGGCCAATTGCGTGAGCAACACCGGTTCCTGGTTGCCCTTTTAGCATGTGATTCTAGTAAAACATATATAGCATAATACATATATATATATATATTATACATGTTTATACGTGTATATATATATATGGTACCCCCCCCCCAAAGATCGACCATTTTCTGTGTTTTATCTCTGGTGACACCTCCCAGAATCTGCAAGGTCTCGGGCTTCTGGCTTCCCAACTTCATCTGGCATCTGCCTTTTGGCTGCACAGGATGAACATGTTGAAAAAAACCCGAAGAAATCAAAAAAATCAAAAAAAAAAAAACAGGGTCCTGGGAGAGAATGCCCAGGTCAGAATCTCGGAAAGTGAACAAACCTCGAAGAAATCCAAAAAAACAAAAAATCAAGGTCCTGGAACAGAATGCCCAGACCCAGTGACTATCTCTCTCAAGGCCTTGATTTTTTGATTTTCTCGAGGTTTTTCACTTTTCCAGATTCTGACCTGGGCATTCTCTCCCAGGACCCTGATTTTTTTATTTTTTGTATTTCTTCGAGGTTTTTGCAGCTTCATGGGTTTCTTGCCCTTCGCCCCTGAGCATCTTCCTTGCAGTGTTGGAGCTTTGGCGTACAGAGCTGCAGTTTTGCAGCCCTGCCAAGTCTGTCTTGCAACCAAGGCCTGCAGTGTTGGAACTCTTGTTGGAAATGCCTTACTTGCCTGTAGTTTGGCGGCAGCAGGGAAGCCTGCAGTGTTGAAACTTTGGCAGGTGAGGCGCTCAAGTCTTGCAGTGGCCTTAGTGTTCAACTCTTGCCAAGTGGGTAGCAGTCTTGAGCTGGAACCCAGTTTCGCAGCTTGCTTGGGCAGTGTGCTGGAAGTGCCAGTTTGGTGGTGGAAGTCTTGTAGCAGGTGGCAAGAGCCCTTGCCAGAGTATTGAAACTTGGCAGGTTGGCAGGTTGCAGTTTTTTGCAGCCTTGCCCTGCAGATTGGCAGCCTTGCTGGAAATTGTGGAATGTTGTGCTGGGCCAGCGACCAAGTTTCAAGCCTTCCTTGCAGTGTGGGAGCTTTGGCAGACAGAGCTCCCAAGTTTGTTTTGCAAACAGGCCTGTGTTGAAACTTCTGTTTGAACTCGCTTGTCTGTAGTTCAGTGTTGGTGCAGTTGGTTGCAGATTGGATTGGCAATTTTGCAACCTCCAGGTCTGTAGTTTGGCAGCCTTGCTTGGGAAGTCTTGCAGTGTTGAGTTAGCAAGAGGTTGTAGTTTGCAACCTTGCTCTGCAGTTTAGCAGACTGCTTGGCAGGCTTGAAAAGCCTTGCAGTTGGCTGTGCCTGCAGTGTTGGAGCCTTGCAGTTTGGATTTTGCAGCCTTATTTGTAGTTTGGCAGACCTTGCAGCAAGTGGGAAGCCTGCAGTGTTGAAACTTTGGCAGGTTGGCAAGGTTGGCAAGGGCTGTAGTTTTGCAACCCTGCAGTGTTGGAGCCCTTGCAGGCTGGCAATTTGCAACCTTGCCAGGGCCCTGCAGTTTAGCAGACTTGCTTGGAAAGTCTTGCAGTGTTGGAGCTGACCCTACAGTGTTGGAACCTTGCAGGTTGGCAATTTTGCAACCTTGCCGGGTCTGTAGTTTGGCACCTTTGCTTGGGCAGTGCTTTGGCAGGTTGGTAGGGGTTGCAGTTTTGCAAAGCCTTGCAGTGTTGGAGCTGAAGCCCTGCCAAGTCTGTTTTGCAACCAAGGCCTGCAGTGCCTGCAGTTTAGCAGACTTGCTTTGCCAGGTCTGTAGTTTGGCAGCTTTGCTTGGGCAGTGTCTTGGAAACTCTTGAAGTTTTGACACTTCAGGTTGCCAGGGGCTGCAGTTTCGCAAAGCCTTGCAGTGTTGCAGCCCTGGCAGGTGCGCAATTTTGCAACCGTCCTCAACAACACTGTGAATGTCGACCCCAGCATATGCACATCTGTTTCTTGCAATAATGCACCGCATCTTTCTCAAAACACAGAAAATGGTCGATCTTTGGGGGGGATTGCATATATTTATATGCATATATATATGTATGTACATATATATATATATGTATACGTATTAGTTATCTGTTAATTCATACAGAACATATTTATTTATATATATGTACATATTACATATATACATATATAATCATATATACATCTATACGAGTTATCCGCCTTTCTGTCCACATGGTAGAATCGAAAGTCAATGGGTTTGGGTCGCTGCTCATTTTGGTTGGTTGCCTTTTGAGTTTTGGCTTCCCATCCGCACCAAGACTGGTTGCCCCTGGAAGAGACCGACACGCTTGACAAGCAAATAGTCCAAGTTCAAAAAACCAATTGGAACATGGTCAAGGGGACTTTGACACCACATGTCCCTTTCCAGCAGACAATTCGGGCCATTTGTCACGAAGGTGTCAGTGAGTCATTGCAGATTTTGAGTGGCTGGATCTTATCCAAACCGAAGATGCAATTTGGGCCCCAAAAACCATGCCCCTTGCAAAGTTGTTTCCACATGCGGGGCTTAACGTGTTCCTCCGCCATTTGAAGAGAGAGGAGGAATCCCAATCGAAGGCCACTTCAAAAAGGAGTGAGGACGCAGCAGGCCGTGCGCCGGATTCTGAGCTGTCTTAGTTGCATAGATCTCCACAACGGGCAGGATACTTGTTTAACCTCCCTGAGGCTTCGTGGAGTTTGAAAGGTTTGGTGCAAAAAGAAGGCTCAACAAGCGAACAAATCCATGGCACCTCTTGCACATTCCCAGCGTAAAACCGATGTCTATGTTTCGCACAGAAGCCATGAGGGCAGACACCATCTCAAAAAGCAAGTCAATATGTTTGCACGATTTTTCTCGCCCATGATGAACGCCCTTTGGGATTGAGGTTGGGGATCTATAGTAATCAGTAGATATCTATGGAATGCACGAATCCGCAGCAGCATGTTGACCGGTCAACATTGCGGGGGCAGCCCCAAAATAAATCCAGCGGGATCGTATGTCCATCCTTTTGCTGCTTCTCCTTGCGTCTCTGGAAGTTTTGCGTTCGCCAATCCCCATCTGCCAAATGACTTAAAGACGGGTCTGGCCTCAAGGCTTTTGGGGATTCCATGTTTCATTCCCAACAGGCATGTCGGCGTGTCTTTCTCGAGGGTACCCCCCCTCCCTTTTTGTTGGTCTAGAAGACCGTCACCAGGGTTGTGGGCCTGTGGGCTGACTCGCAGTTTATCTCCACTTTTGTGATGCAGAGGGAAATGTCCGACGGTTTTTGGGGGGGTTTAGTCTTTGGAGCTAGGCCCGTTCTGTTGTATCACAGATTCGTCGATGCCATTTCAACCACAGCCCGGACCATCACTATCTTTCTTGAGGGTAGCTAGTAACCCCCCTCCCCCCCCCCCCCCATTTTTGCGGTCTTGAAGAAAACCAACCAAGGGGACCATCACCATTTGAGCCAACAATCAAAACCCGGGTAAATGACGGTTAGTAAGGGTTTTGGTTATGACTCATTTGAGGGGGGTCCCATTCCCAAAGAAAGAACGCCTGCTGCCCGCGCTGCCAGGACCTTCCGCAAGGCAGGCCTCGCCAATTTCGCCCTCCGCCCCAGCTTGGGCGTGGGCTGAGTGGTGGGGTTGAACAAAATGTGTACATGGCGAAGCAACCCGACTTTTTACACGGTTACTCTCATTGAACTCATAACTTGCACAGTTCGCTGCCCTTGTTTGAGTCTTGCCCCTTGGAGCTGTTGAAAGGAACCTACACTTTGTGTCTCCATGAGGGAATTTGAGGGAATTTCGTCGTGGGGTTATGTGTCAAGGAGAAGTTTACGGCTCTCAAATATCTCAGAACTCACCGTACAATTTGCTTATTGACCATGGAGCCAAAACGAGGTGGGATGTTTGAGCATACTGGAAAGAGAGAGTTAGCTCAACTGTGACTTGCGTGGGGTCATATCTTTTGGTGTTTCAAAACCCGCCATCTCAGCCTCAAAGCGAATATCTTTCCTTTTGATGTCCTTCGTGTTCACAGGGGTCCCTATACTCCCTTTCAGCCTGTTGAAACATAACTTTTGGACCACCTTTTATATGTTGATTTTCAACGAGCCCTCCCACGAATTGACGTGGAACTTGACGAGGGGTCGCGTAAAAAGGAACATGGTCTTCAGGGCCGTCGGACATGTTAGTTGACGGGGAGGGTATTTTTGTTGAATGATTTGCTTCGCAAAAAGAAAGAAAGAAAAGAAACAACTACAGGATGTTCCTTCGGGATTTCAAACCAGGGTTTTGATGATATTGCTTGTTTGGCTCTACACCCTTCCGCAGCCAAAAAGTGGCGCCGTTTGTTTGGTTGGGATCTAATTACGACTTCTATCTGCTGATGTTGTTGCATCATTGTGATAAGAGCATCTAACTCTCTTGCAAATGAACATGTTGCAGTTGGGTTCCATGTTTGCTTGCAGGTGAGTGGTACACAACAAGTCTGGACTCGTTCTGACCCAGCCATATGATATGCCCTATGCGCATGACCAGATTGGATTTCATAGTTTCCAGAGCTGCACTTTGGATGATGTTTGGGCGCTCTCTGCCGTTCCCAGCCGTACCTTGACTGGATTGTGACACATCCCACAGGGATGCTTAATTCGACTTTTGGACCCCTTTAGATTTAGGACATTTCTGACTACTTTGTCAACACTTGGTGACTTGGTGCCGTCTTTTTGCCCGTGCTGGGATCAACGGACCATCCATTTCAGAGAATATGCTTTATTCACAGATTCACACCTAGTGGTTTTAATGGGAACCTATAACTGGACATATTGTCTCCCTTTTCCAAAGGACAACAACCCACATGGGGGTGTCCCTTTTTGTTGGAGTTTCAAAGGAAAAACCTGCGTCTCCGCTTAAAAAAGACACCCAGACGGCAGGAACAATAGCACATTTGCCCAGTGGCGCCATTCTTGTCCTTTTCTTTTTTTTTGGAAGGGTTCTCCTTTAAACTCAACCCACTAAAAAGGATGCGCTTGTTTCCCCCATGGCAATCCACTTTGTCCATTTTTTTCCAGGGATTCCCTTTGAATCTCAACTTTCCCCATGGAAATCCACTGGGCATCTAAGAAAGCGAGTTGCGAGTGAGGTGGGCGAGCGGTGGTTTTTCCCCACGGTCCACGATGCCGTGGTGGGCTGCCTTCGGCACCAGAAGGACTGTGCGACCAACCTGGGTGTCTTAAGGTAGCCTGAAAATGGCAGAGGGGAAGCCATGGGGCACGCTGTGTTTTGTGGAGGTGGTACGAACAGATGAACATAGTAGCTCAAAACAATCAACATCCAAGCCTCTAAAATGGTGGGTGTTTCGCTTTGCTTCCCTTTGAACAGCGAGAGGAGTTCCGGAGAAAGAAAAAACGACAAGACACGGACTATGTTTGGACTATACCACGTTATATATGAGCGGATGGCAGTGTTGAACCCTTTTGGGGGCTGGCTTCACATTCAATTAAGGAATAGGTAACGCTTAATCATCTAATGAACTAAGGTTTTATACCAGGGTCTATATTTCGGGCAAATCAGCAGGAGCTGACCGATTATCGCGGGTAAAACGAGCTTACCCATGATGAAAGACTTGCATTAAATGATTTGCCCAGATGGATGCACCCCAAAACGAGTCAGACGACTCAACATTCGCGAAAATATGACTCCTGTTCTGTTCTTTTCCAGTAAGTTCTAGACTTCCATTTGCTTAAGAACATTTGTTTGCTTTTCCCTGCTGGTTGCAAAGGGAATCTATCACTACTCTAATATTTGTTTATTATTATTTTTTTCGGGGACCCTAACGCAAATGGATCTGTAGAGGGACCTCAGCCTCCTGCCTTCTCGGGACTGCTGTTCTTCTCGCAGGCTAAGCGGAAGCTGCTGGCTTCAACCAACCGGGAGCGTGCCAATAGCGCCGGGCTGGCCCAGGATCTTTGTTCGGAAGCCAGGGCTTCCGACAGGCGAACTTGTTTCATGATGCGTTGGTTGTTTGTTCGTTGATGTTATTGTTGTGTGTGTGTGTGTGTGTTTGTTTTTTTTGGGGGTTATCCTGTTTTCGTTTGGGGACACCAACCAGACCACACGTTTGGGCCATTTTCGAGAAGGGTCAGGCTTCAAGGGGAAGCCACCAGCACACCTTCCAGGACTCCAGGCACCAGACTTTCCTGAGCCGCAACTTGAAGGAACTTGCTGAGGCTTTGAGTCCAAAACAGCAACTTTGGGGAAGATATCAGCACCACCTTTAGACCAAGAGATTGTTTTTTCGTCCTCGGGTGAGGTTTCTGCGGCAATGTAAAGGGCCCTGACTTTGGGAAGATCGTGGTAAAAAAAAGAGACTCTGTCCGGACAGGGTCGGACACATCGGTTGACGCTTGGTGGAGAGTTTACTCGCATCGACGTCGAATGAATTGGACTCGTGGATCGCTGGCGGCGATCGACTTGGGTTTTGTCACAAATGTATGCACCCCTTGGACCCCAACAAATCAGAGCAAAATGAACCAACAAGGGGGCAAACTTTGTCACAACCCTTAATGGAGAAAATCCGTAGAAAAGTGCATGGGCACCCTTCGGAGACAACACCTCATGGAAGCGGACGGCGTCCGGTCTATATCACAAGTTGGTTGAATGTGGATTGAGAGCGTCCCCACCCCTAACTCAAAAAGATTCCAAAAGTATGGAGCCCTTGTTGTACATGTTCCAGTTATCCTCCGAGAAAAAGTGGGAACTGTAAATAAAGGGCCCTTGATAGATACCCCCCTCCATCATCAGTGAATAAGTTGGCTCACTTCCGAGCTGAGGTTTGTGGTGACCAGTTGCCAGAACTCGATGCCAAACCAACTCAAGGTGGTCGATGTGCTATGAACCAGCCCGAGTGACGAATTGCCAAAAGCTGCATCTACCTGAAGTCTCCCACCCTTTAAAAATAGATTCATGACCCCTTGATTTCGATTTGTTAAGGGTCATGGAGCCTCTAGCTACGCGCGTTCCGAGTGAACAGAGCGCACTGTGTGTCGACCCCTGATATAGCACCTTGAGCACCTTCCATTGCCCGTGGTTTTGCTTCTCTAGGAGGGTGTGGAAGCCTGCCCCCTGCTCCAAACTCCAACTGGTTTGAGAGTGTCATGTAAACCGTTGGTTGAAGAAGGAGGTGTTTCTGGAAACTCCATGTTGTCCAAAGATGCCGGAAGAAGTGGGTAATCATTTGGAGTAAGATTACTCGATTTCTGGCGCTTTCTGCTTGCGGATACCTCCGGCCGGACGAGGGGCCCACCTGCACGCTCACGCTCACAGACTGCGGTGCGGACCTGAATGGGCAAGTTGCCATGGGCCTGCCCCCACAGAACCCCCCCCCCACCCCACACTTGCTCACTTTGTTGCCAGGTTTTGGACTTGTTCTAGTCAACTTAGCAGGTCACGCTTAGCGCTAAGTTTCTTGGCGCCTTCCCGGGCAATGGTACTTTAAACTAAATGACAACCGCTGTTTTTTGGGTTGAACCCAAACGGGCCCTGATTAATCGTGAGGGGGGGGTGGTTGGCCCCCCCTTGTGAGCTTGAGCACTTTGTAAAGTTAAACAAACTTCAGGAAGGAAGATGCATTTTGAGGGAAGCACAAAAAAACTTGGGGTTTAATAGTGGTGTAGTACTGGTGGGTTGAAGCACAGACTAAGCACACATCACGTAAGCACAAAGAAAAGCTTTGGGGAGGCCCCCAAAACTGATTGGGTTGGTTTGGGTTGGGCAAACCTTGTTGGCCCTTTACTTAAATCGCGGGGGGTTTGCTTATCCCACTGACATTATGCAGCCAAGCCATGCGTTGCTTCTTTTTTGATTGAACTCTTTGGTACGACCTTCAACCATGTCGATGTTTTCCAATATGACGATTCCATTGGCCCACCAAAAAGCAGAACTCTTGCTGGGCCGTGTTGTGGAACATTTGTGCTACTTTTCATTTATGTGGGTGTGACTAAAACCTGCCCGTGGTCCCCTGGTGGTTTCATGTTGACCCATACCCATGTGATACCAAGGAAGTCCCCTGTAAGACGATCAGGATGTTATGGTATTGGACCCACTTATCACAGCAGTTCTCTTTTCTCTCCAATGGAAGCAACGCCCTGCGAAAAGGAAGCTCGCCTCAACTTGCCCCAAAGGTAAAAAGTTTAAGTAGGGTTTCCTCCATTTCCCTTTTTGGAATCTTCAAAACTTTTGCAGTTTCAACCTTTTGAAGGGGGAAATGCAATGACCCATGTCAAAACCCCCAGAAAAGGCGGCTCCGCGCAAACGTGGCCCGGGGCCCCATATTTGTTTCCTGACTCGCGGCTTCAGGCACCTCGGAGGCAAGCATGGCGGAGGCGACGCTGGAGACCATGCCCGGAAACCCGAAGCGGAGCTCACCGAGTGTCGTCCGCCGTTTGTTTACCGGTTAGTACCTAGGTCCCCCAGTAGTGCCCCTTCTCACCCCTTTTTTTGGGGAGGGTTCCCCTACTAAAATAGGCTACGAAAAAGGGTACCCGTATTCTAACCTACCTACTGAAGGACCTAGGTACTCTTTGTGGCTATTTGGTTGGATCTTTGGACACCTTTTGGGAGACGATGGATTTCCATTGGTCCCACAAAATAAGTGAACTTTTTGCAGAGGGGTCAACAGCAACCAAGTCCCGCGTTTTGGTTTTAAAGGTTGGTTTACAAATTGTTGAATTGAAAGATTGCATTTCTTGACACTGGCTCGATCTCATTGGGGGATTTCGGTTCACCCAACAAGCTGTTTGCCGATGATACATTTGCCCTTGCCCGCTAACATAACTGAATGTCGGTGTTTTTGCATTGTTCACCCTGAGGTGCCTGTCTTGCGGAAGAGTTTGAATTTGCCTTCATTTTGCCTGCAGCAGGCTGGCTTTTGGGGCTTTTTGGGCTTTTGGGAGGGCCACATAAAATGAGCGCCTTGCTTTTAGACTTCTACACACGGGTGTGTGTCTTTTTCCGAGGGAAGCAGGTTCTGGTTTATGTGCAAGCCACAGATTTGGTTCTAGGGGCTGATTCCCCATTCTTTTCAACCATCATTATTTTCAATAACCAGCCGTTTTCCGTCGGTTTCCGGAGGTTTTCTAGAAAGAAGGATCCCTGGAAAGAATGGGGACGGTACCCTCAGAATGGTAAAGCAAACCCCTTTCGACTTCCCTAAGAGGTCGGTCAAAGCAAGGTCATGAAGGAAGCGCCTCAGCGCAGCGCCCCAGCGCTCCGAAAGAGTCTTAAGAGTTGTTTGGTTTCTGTTGTCCCTAGTTTTGGTCCTTTGAATTCCGCATAAGGCATGTCAGAAAATGGGTCCAATCCCAAAGTTTCCTGCCGGGAGGTTCCAGAGTACCCTGAAGGTCACAAGGCGAGTGTCTGTTGGAGTTTGCCTTGCAGGGTGTCATGGGTGATACTAAAAATGTGTGTTTATGGGTCTGTCTGATTCTTGTTCTCAAGCCCGGGGGGGGGGCTTCCTCAAAAGTTAAGCACCAACATGCTTTTGAGCTTTACGGCCACGGGGTGTGTCTCCCACTCACTTGCCCAATGCGAATCGACCTTGCGACCTTTTGGTTCCCCCATGTTTGGTCCACCTGTAGCCTGAAACTACCTTTTGATTTTTTGGGGCAAGAGGTCAAAATTGGCACGCTGTGCGACTTGCCGTTGCTTGAAGCAACGCCTTTTCTTGGTTCTGTGCCAAGTAGAGCCCTGAAAATCCGTGAGCGGTTTGTCAAGCGGACAAGCGCCAAACCAAGTACTGTGTGCTTTTCTATCATCCACAGTAAGGCCTTCTGGTTCAGCCCAGCTGCTTAATGCCTGTTACGTCGACGCACAAGAAATCATCAAATATGATTTGAACGTGGCCGAGACTGCTTGAATGCCAACACAACAGAAAGGAACACCCAAGCTTCATTACCAGCCTTTCAATTGTGCGTGAGAGAAGCATTTGTAAGTTGCAGAAGCTAAAAAGGCTGCCTCGCTGACTGCTGCCCAGATGTGGAGCCTATCATCACTGAATTATTCACATCGGCAGTTTCCTTTGGAAGCGAGCAGGCACAGGTGACTTAGTGCGCCACAAGTCAACACCGGTGTTCAGAAGGGCGCTGCGACAATGCGCAGAACCAACATCCATACCCTTTAAACATAAGTTAGACATTTTGTGCGTGGGCTGCTGCTAACGGCCTTTCGCGAAAAACCCGGGTGTTTCATGGCTTAAAACAGTGTGTCAAGCACTCTTCGCGGGCATGTCGCGGCAGTTTCATCCGACTTTTACGACTGTACAGTCCAAGATGGTATACTTTCGATGATACATATATTTTTCCGATCTTTTAGCAGCGCGATGGGAGTGTTTCCGTAGTTGTTCACAGCTCTGCGCCCTTTGGCCATGTGCTCGAAACTCCTTCAATCTACAAACAACACAAGAAACATGTTCATTAATCGAATTATCTACTATACTTTGCCAAGTGGGTATGCTCAGTCTTGCCATGCCTCCTATGATCAAGTTCAAGCTTTGCTTCAGCTGTGGTTCTCTGGCTAATGTGACTCCCTGTTGCCCTTGAATTTGGTGTTCTGGGGCAATCATACAGGTTTTAAGCTTTACTCACCGGGCAAACCTGCCCCAAGATCCCCAATTTTCCAGCCTAAGGGACTGTTTTGAGGCCCACAATCCACTACTTATATTTTAATAGGCAAGCTTGCAAGGCATGCTGTTCCGCAAACAGTAGCTGTCACTGGCAACTAAATGGTCGATCCAACATTCCGAACATAGACCATTTAAAGAAATGCCAGGTTGAATTTGTGGATGAGAAAAGGAGGAATGCGCCAAAAGCTTTCCATCTCAAACCCTTGCGACAATAATGTACCATCGAAAGTATACCATCTTGGACGCTACAGTCGTGAAAGTCGGATGACATTGCCGCGACATGCGGGCGAAGTGTGCTTGACACACTGTTTTAAGCCATGAAACACCCGGGTTTTTCGCGAAAGGCCGTTAGCAGCAGCCCACGCACAAAATGTCTAACTTCTGTTTTAAGGGTATGGATGTTGGTTCTGCGCATTGTCGCAGCGCCCTTCTGAACACCGGTGTTGACTTGTGGCGCACTAAGTCACCTGTGCCTGCTCGCTTCCAAAGGAAACTGCCGATGTTGATGCTTTGCGATTCAGTGATAGGCTCCGCATCTGGGCAGCAGGCAGCATGGCAGCCTTTTTTGCTTCTGCAACTCACAGATGCTTTTCTCACAACAATGAAAGGCCGGTAATTAATGCGGCTTCGGTTTTCCTTTGTGTTGTGTTGGCGATCAAGCAGTTTCGGCCAAGTTCGACATTTTTGCGTGCCCTTTTATAAAGGGCATTGAGCAGCTGGGCCAAGGAGAACCGTCATTGATCCAAAAAGCGTTCAACAGACTGCTAGCGATTTTCCAGGGTTGATAAAGCAGCCCATGGAAAAACGACAACTCCCAAACATCAAAACACCTAGAAATACTCCCAAAGCACCTGAAAGATTAAGGCAAACTAGCGCTGCCCCAAAATCAAATGTTAGTTGCGGGTCCAGGTTTAGTCAAGCCCTTTATATCCAGCTCCAAACCCGGCAATTGAGAGGGTCGCAAGAGCCTTGAAAATCTTCGGTCAAAGTCCTGGTATATATCCTCCCGCGGTTGCTCCATGTCTTGTTGTGAGGGTACATTGTCAAAGGGAAACCACAAGCATAATCACATGGCCATGGGTCAAAAGCCCGTACCCCCAGTGAACATCCCAATCCCCACCAAAATGGGTTTTCCAAAATGGATGGGGCACCGAAAACCCCCATTAAATGGGATCCCAAAACGGTTTTGACCACCAGAGCCACATGTTCTTTGGGCCATTTTTTTCCAAGCCAACCTGTGCTTATTGCTTACCTAGGTCGGACTTGGAGAACGGCATGGAGCTGCCACTCTCTCGAAGCCAGGAGGCCGGCGGCTTGCGGCTTGGGGAACCATCGGCAGGGTGGGTGGACGCGAAAAATTATCTTTTCGGCACCACCTCAAAAACCCCTGGAACGATTCGATTCCCCTGTAAATACCGAGAAATAATAGGTTTTCCCATGAATTCGAAGTGGTGCGAAATGGAGTTTGTCCATCCACAGTGTGATGTTATGTCTGAGACTGGGATTGTTTCCCTTGAACCTACCACTTGGGGATGACTTTGACAATGGTATAATACGGAATAGGTCGTCAGGTGTCTCTTTCCTACGCGCCACAACCCCCAAATTACACTCAAAAGGAAAGGGTGCAACGCAATCGGATGACCTTGAGTTTCCCACAACCGTCGATCAAGAGGTCACAATGGCTTTAGACTTCCTCCAGGCGTTTCTCTCTCTCTCTCTCTCTCTCTCTATATATGTATATTATAGTAAATTGCATATCCTCGCTTGGCCGAAATCAGTGGAGTCCACCCGTTTAACCTTGCTCAAACAGGTATGTTGCCTGATCCTGCAGATCTGGACCCGAAGGAGGCGCTCAAAGGTCCGTGGATCGAGGCAACGAAGGCCGAGCTTGCAGCCAGCTTCGAGGCGGTGCAGCTCGCCGCACGGACGAGCTAAGCTTCCGCTGGGAAATGGACTCCTGCAAGCTGCACCACCTTTTCCCCACCACACCTGTCACCTAGGTCCCCCAGTAGCGCCCTTTTGGATTTATTTTTTTTGGGGGAGGCTTCCCCTACTAAAATAGACTACAGACAAAAGGGTACCCTTATTGTAACCTCTCTACTGGAGGACCTAGACATACATGGGTGACAAATCTCCCTGCTTCGATCGCATCGCCCAACAACCGCGTGCAATGCACTCTGCCACGGTTGTAGATTCCGTTGCGCACGAGCCGGAGGGTTTCGTGCGCCGCCAGTCACCAGGCCATGGACGGCCATGGACCTCTCAGGGAAAGCTGCCCGAAGGGTCATGACTCCAATGCAGACCCCAGGACCCAATGGAGAACCCCGACCAATTCCTCATGGGCCCTCAAAAACAACCCAGGTTGAGGCCCCAAAATCGCCCTTGGGGGCCCTTGGGGAAGATGTCTAAACCACCAGTTTGCCCAATGGCTTGAGAACTGGGCCAGCCCAACCCATGAAATCCAGATGCCAGCTCCCCCAAAGTCCGAGTTATTTGTATATGATTCACCACCAAAGTCCGGGCAATTGGAGGGTAGTAAGGGGCAGTCCGAACCAGAAATGGGCGCAGCCGCCTTTTTGACCCTGTATATGGTTCTGGGTCCATCGCACTCAACCGAGGGCGCTTGTCGCGAGAGGGTGTTCTTGAACTATAAAAGTCAACTACCATCAAACAAGGGCCCATGGCACCAATCCCAACCCCACACCAGGATTTCGTTGTTTTTTTTGTGCGCGATCCTCAGCTGCCCTGACGCGGGAGACCCACGGAAAAATGCCGCGGGGCGCGCGGCTCGCCCCGTAGGACCTGCTGGCGATCGAGGACAACCCTGTGCACATCGGCAACGAGATCGGTGTCCCGATCCGAACCTGGGGTGCGGTCGAAGACCGGGCTGAAGAAGGAGGGAGGGAGGGAGGGGGGGAGTAAGGCGTTAATAAGAGCCTTATGAAGGGCTTGATCTTATTTGGGCTTTCTCCCCCTGTCTCCACCCCAGCCCCCATGATTACATGAAGGTGGACACTATAGGGTTTTGGGTTGTCATTTTCGGTGATACCAAGGGGGGAGAAAAGCCTGTGAGAGCCCAGAGACCAGATAGGCAAAAGAAGCCTTGGTTAGGTTGATTTTGTTGGAAATCGTTCCAAACAACAAAGGGAGATTTGGAAGCCGCAATCCACAGCTGTAGCTCTGAAAGGCAAACATGCTTGTGGACAAATACCCCGAAATCTATGATACCATATAGACCATGAGGACCTCCTAGGTTATGTTTCGAAATGGGAAGGACAATTCAAGGGATTCGGTCCTGAAAAGTGGAGACCCGGCTCCAGGGACAGTCAGACTGTGCCATTCTTCTTGGTGTGAGCCTCATTGAATTCCTTTAATGTCTGTTTTCACCAGCGAGCTTGTCATTGTTTGAGGGAACCAAGAGGTTCCTCCATTTCCTTGAAGAGGCAAGCCTTGAAGTCGACCCACACTCTACGGGTATGTGGAGCCATGGTGGGTGTGTCTTTTTTTAGCGGCTTTTTTTCTTTATTAAGGGAACCCGAAAGAACAGAGCTGTTTCGGGGGTACAAATGCCTGTTGCTGGATTTGATGCTTCCTCGAACTTAGCCGGAACGTATCAGGGATCCAGGGACCCCATTTTGAACAACTGGGTTAGCTGTGGGATTTCCAAACAGAAGGAAAGTCATACCCGTATTTGCCTGCCAGCACACACCCATTATTTTCCTGCAAGCAGATCCTTGTAGCAGGCGGAAAAGAGAATACGCGTGATTTTCACGTTTGACCATTGCAGTTGTGTTAGCCATCGCTTGGTGTTTCTCAAAGTTAGGGACGCCTCCCCTGCTGCCAAGGCCTGCCCTCTCGCCCAACATGGAACTCGGTTTTTGCGAGGCGTTTTGCCGGCAAAAAGGTGTCCTCGTTTTTTTCTGGGTTTGGTTGGTGCCAACTTCTGTGCCCAGGTTCAAGCAATGATGTGCACCATTCCTGCACCGTGATTTTCATCAACCTGCTGGAGGACTGGCTGCCAGCTGGGCCCTTGGGACGCTCGGAAGATCCATGGGACCATGGATGTTGTGTCCAAAAAGAACACTTTAGGGAGTGGGATCCTCTGGTTTCCATTCTCAGGACAGACATGATGTTCATTGTAAAGAAACCGTCTGGACTTCTCACCAAGCCTATTGTCAAGTGCCGAATAGTATTCCCCAATCATAATCGGGGCTTGCGACAAATAAAGCCTCGATTGGGGTGCTCATAGGTTTCCCTTTTGGAGCTTCCCCTCTGTGGGGGTCTGTCAACCATGGAAGCCAATCCACGCAGCAAGTGAGATACCAGAAGCCCGCAGGATGTGCCCATGATCATGGGCGACATCACCGTGGCTTGGCGACCGCCAGTGTGTGTGTGTGTGGGGGGGGGGGGCCGGCCGGAAGGGGGCGGGGGGCGGGGGGGCAGTTTTTAAGTGAAACCAAAAGGGCATCCGCTGTTGGCGGTGCCCCCCATGAGACGAGCCCACTTTGCTTCGCTTGACGGGGAAGAGTACTTGGTGCGTGGTTGCCAACCATGGTTAGAACCTACTTCGGAGACCTTTCCACCATGGCAAGTGGGCCATAACCATGTTTACTTATATACACACGAAGCACCCTGCCCCTTCAAGTAGCTTCTGTTTGTCCTATTTGTCCTATCGGGCGATGGGTATTCTGAATGCACATCAGAAAAGTGTTCTTGTGAAGCAGGCACACACACACACACACACACACACACACACGCAACAGGAAATGCTCCAACAGAGAGCGTTTTGCAAAAGCGATTTCTTGAAAAGAGCCAACCCGTGGTTCCCTTACAGGAACCAACGTAATGTTTCGACATATTCAATTATGGGGTCGGGCCAACCCTCCAACAAAGCTTCACACCGGCTGTTTGCACGTTGCATTTATTTTCTTCGACCCGAGAAGCAGCAAGTACCTCGAATCGAGTCCCACTTGGGATGGACGAATTTCATTTCACACCACCGAAGAAAGCCTGGGATGATTCGATTCTGTAAACACCAATATGCATTATGGTTTCAACCGTGGTGTCATTTCGTGGTGCAAGATTTTGTCCATCCACAGAATGGATGGTTCTTCCTTGGAATGTAAGGCATGTAAACCTTGAGCTTCGGGGGCACGGCCATGGAAGGTTCACAAAAAACTCCCACCAGCTGTTTCCCACGTCCATGTCACGTTTTTGTAGCTCATTATTTTTTCGAGGGTAACCTTTTCAGGTTGGTTTCCAGGGATACGAACAGTAACACCGCAAGCTGTGGGGCCCCTGATATGAACACATACCCCTATACACCCTTGTAGCCATGTTAGCAGAGCCTAAAGTCAATGGACAAGCCCTGTGCTGAAGTGAATGTGAGCGAGCAGCCCAGGCGACAGCGGTTCAAGCTGCTCCGAAATATTGCGGACCCAAAGGACTTTTGGCGTGTCATAGTTGTGTCTCCGATATTTTGTGTGTTTAGCGTCAACAAAATATGAATCAGCGGAATAGACTCTGAGCATGCTATGCTGCACCCAAAGATATGGAGGGCGCTAGAATCGTGAACTCCCTGCTTACCCAAAGCGAAGCGATTGGACCTGTTGGTTCTGAACATTGAATCACTATTCGCATTGCCAGACCTGTCTGCCTTCTTAAGTCTTAGCTGTTTGCCTGGGCTCTTCTGCCCTCCCCCTTAAACTCACCATACCGTTTGCTTTCTGGAGGGTTCAAGTGCCAATGGCTCCGCTTGGCCTTAATTCGGCTTGGGCAAGCTGGATGCAGATGACCAGCTTTGGGGAGCTCCGGTACTGACAATTGCCGCTATGTGCAAAACCTGGGGTTGTAGGATCAATTTCTCTATTGGAATCCCTGTTGTTTGTTACATGCGAATGCACAGCTTTATTGCGAGGATGATATTTTCTGCCGGAGAGTTGCTTCGGCATCTCTGGATGCACTCCTATTAGCTTACGCAGTCGTCGAGCTTCGCAACGTCCTTTTGGCCTTGCCGAATCTGAACAACCTGGGGACTTGCAGACTTCGCAATTTCCCATGCCATGTTCCTGCGACCAAGGGTTTTTTCCACACTTTGAAAACATGGCTTCGGCTTGTCGGCTTGTGGCCTTTTCGCGCGGTGAAACGCCTGAGATCCACTTGCATTTCTGCGGGTGCTGTGGATGTCGAGAATTTTGTCATCCCAAAAGGACAGCAACATGGCAGGGTATTGATGGGTATGCGGCTATGACCAACCACCACGGAATTGGTTGGTGGACATGCATCCCCACCAAAACGATGTCCAGCGTCTTTTACCAATACAAGCCAAAATAAAGCCCGAGTAGGTGAAGGTTAGTAGGGCATAGTCCGAACCATAAATAGATTTATTTCCAAGTTCCTGGATAGTCAAGTTGCTGCTTTTTTGTCCAGTAACGGTTGCTGGTTTTTGGGGAAGGGTGGATGGGAAAGCAGTGATTCGCAACTGGCGATCCAGGTGTTGAGTATGGCTTTTCCATTGTGATGGGTGAATTATGACGACCTCACACGACCGAATTCATCCCAAATGGTGGTTTATGTGGGGGATATCCCTCCAACCACCGCAAGTTTCAGGCTGGTGAAATATTATAATCCACCTAGATTGTGGCCTCTCTACGGGTTGATTCCCCATTCTTTTCAGCCATTTTGAGGTGGTTTTCTAGAAACATCCGGATCCCTGGAAAGAATGGAATTGGAAGTTACCCCTAGACATGTTGCCTCCTATTTGGCGCCCAGTGACACCTTTCTCCGATCGCCCGAGGCCATCTTCCAGCGCCGTTTCCCCCGGCACGCTTGAACATCCGATCATTGCTACCGTGCTTTAGCTGGGTCCCCCAGTAGTGCCCTTCTTAACGCCTTTTTTTTTGTTGGGAGGGTTCTACTAAAATAGACTGCAAAAACAAGTTGGTACCCTCTCTGGCGGACCTATATAGTCAGTGTTCCTGGTTGGCAAAGAGGGTATGGATCAAAATTATGCGACCAGGGAGGGGACTGGTTTTAGATGGTTTTAGCCTGTGTTTCCAATTATATTCCAGGGTTGAATTTGGTATTGCCTACTCTTGACTTGACCCACAGCGAAGTGATTTCCCTTCAAACTACCACTTCTCCTGTGTGATCTTTGGAAATTTTATGGAGTTCCATTGTTGCAATTGGCTACACCCATGCGCCCCTCAAGGTGGAGATGACCTGCCTAAGTCCAGTTTAGCTTCAGCTCTTGACGAGTTCGCAAGAGCTCATGGGACCCTTGGAGCGTCTTCCTTCCCGCACTCCGCAGAGAGGGAAGAGTGTGATCTTGGGACTGTCTGCTACCTCCTTTGGTTGGTTTTAAAGCGAAACCAGAAGGAGATCCATCTTTGTTTGGGGATGCTTCCTACAAACAGGAACCGCACACGCCCCCAGGGAAGAGGGTGAACTTAACTTGTTTTGAGACACTGCTTCAGGCCTTGCAAAGAGGTGCTTCGTCAGCAAGGAACTGTCGACACGGTTTCAAAAGGTATTTTCCTCGGTTTGTGCAAAGTCTCAAAAGGTACGTGGGACTTGTACGTGGTGTCCTACTACAGATTACGGATTATGTTTGATCGCCGCATTTTGAAGAAACCAGAGAGACGCCACACAGTCGTGTCTGAAGAGTTACGCATCAATTCCAGATTTTGAGCTCAACTTCATATGACCAACTTAAGTTGACCATCCAAGGATCCCAGGGGACTGAGTCCATTCTTTCAACCCACGAGCGCCAGGGGGGCTCACAGTTTGCCGCGCGAACATCGAGGCGAATCGAAGCGAATTCAGCCGTGGCTTGCCTCAGAGCACCGTCGGGGTCCCTTAAGGCTACTGGGCGCCTTAAAGTGGTTGTGTGTTCTGTTAAAAAAACGCATGTCATGCCAATTTATTGCGGAAGGTCATAGATTACATATTTATAGGGTTTATACTTTATTTATGTTGACTACAGGGTAACTTTGCGGATGTCATTGCCAATTTAGTCTGGTTCTACTGGAGATTGTAGCTATGCCTACAAGAAGCTGTAGCCATGTCTTTTGGTGGACGCCCGGAGCGTCTTGATGATTTCTTGTCACAGTTGTTTGCTGGTTCTACTACTTGGCTTGATAGGGCTGATAGGGATTGCGGTTGCTTTAGCGTTGGCCGTAACACGACATAATGTCAATGGGTTTCGGGCGGTGCTCAATTGGCGATCCAGGTGGTTCCTGTTCAGACACCCCGAAAACTGTAATTAGTCCCGTAAAGGCAAAACATGTCGAGAAGTGCGGTTTGTACAAGGGTTTGAGCACAAAGCCCACAATTGGGGAGGAATGCCGGTAGTCATTGGGGGGGGGGGGCTAAAAAAGGTTTCTGGCTTCCCTTTTCTCTTTCCAACCATTCATTGAACAATTTGTTGTTCAGTTTGAATTGTCCATTGGACCCACAAGTTAAACCTTAACAGCAACCAAGAGGTGCCCCCCTTTTCTCCCATGGAACGTGGCAACCTCCCAAAAGGCAAGTCCCAAAGGGAGGTTTTCATTCGCTGCGTAGGCCATGGGCGATGGCTTGAGCGGGAAGACCAGCCGTCCCCGCCGGCAGCCAAGGAGTCGAAACATCGAGGGGACCCTGCAATGCCTTTTGTGATATTCACACCAAGCTGCGAGGGGTACGCACAACCACCTTTAAACAAAGGTTCTCGATGTTGCTGTTTGCACTAGTTAATCATTAGAAGGTCTTGGACCAGTTTTAAACAGGTAAGAGTCCCGTTGTAGGGTGGTGCTTTAAAGCGACACATAGGGAACCTTGTCAAAGGAGGCGATCAAGGGAGGGCTCCGTTGAACACGGGTGGTGTGTGGGGTGGATGCTAGTGGCGGAGTATGTTTTGATATGTCTCGGAAAAACTGGCAGGTGCTTATTTGAACAAGCTCCGGCTTGTTTCAAGTTGGCTTAGAATTTGCAGAACCGGCGTCATGTTCAAGACAGATCAGGCCATGGAGTCGAGTCAATATGGCCACGTTTTGTTGATGGTAGCATGTCCATCAGCGGTCCCCGTGAATTTAAAGAGGCTCAACTGGTTTTGAGGTACAACCCCATTCCATGCTTGTTAGGCCCTCATGATACACTCAGTGGATCCCAGCTACCTAGCAACATCCTCAGCTCCAACGTACCCCAGAACAAAAACTCATGGGATATGTGGGTATGATCGTTTGTTGACCTGTCAGAGGATGCTTTAGGTTGAAGAACTGTCCACCAACTCTTTGAGAAATACAGTGGATGGACAAAATCCTGCACCACTTCGAAACCATTGGAAACCATGGCTTGCCGGTATTTACAGGGGAATCGTCATAGAATGTTTTTTTTTCGGTGGTGCAGGATTTCGTCTACCCACGGTATCTTCCTGGCAATCCATAGCCACTTGCAAACCTCGGTCATCCGACCTAGGCCGGGCGGCTCACGTGTACCACATCCGGTCCCTGCACAGCGGCAAGCTCCAGGCGCCTTTGTCAGGTAAAAGACGTGGCTTCGTCATCCACTTTCCTTAGCCCAGTACTGGAATTCATGCCATCTACGTTCGCCCTGTGTAAGTGGCTATAGTCACCATGTTGTTATAAGCATCGGAAGCCATGGTAAGTCCCCTAGTAAAAAACAAAGAGTATAAATGCTTTCTATTTACTTTGCCCCTTCAAGTACACCTACTACCTGTGACTTGCCCAAAAAACGGACTACCCATGAATTCTGTTAGGGGTCCGCAAAAAGAGAAACAACAAGAGTTGTCTCTTTTGGTTTCCCTTGAAACCAACCTGAAACCAGTGTCCTCAAATATCACACCCACGTTGGCCTTTTTTTTTGGCCCAGGTTCCGAAGAGCCCGCCGAGGTCGCAGGTCGCTTTTAACCGCTGAAGCTTTCGGTAGGGAGCCTCTGCCATTCGAAGGGTCGCGCTTGGATCTTCCCCCCGTTCGATGCTTTTTTGGGTTGCGATACGCACCAGCCCAACCCGAAACGGGCTGAATAGGCGGTTCAAACAGAGCTTGTTTAGAATAGTGGCACCTGGGGTCCATACAAGAGGTAGGTAATCTTCCAGGTCCCACAGGTGCTGTGCTGCAGTTGGAAGGAAGTGTATCTTGTAGAAAAAAACTATTCTGTCTTCACCAACTCCCCGAGTCTAGAGTAGAACTTATATATTTAAAGACAAATACCCGCAGTCCTCGCCAACTCCCCGGGTCTTTCCACGGCTTTGGGCCAAACGCGTCGACCGTCGACAGGAAGACGAGCTGCGAGAGCTGAAGGCGGAGCTCAAGGCTCCCCGGTGCAAAGAGGGTCGTGATTTCGGGGGGAAGATGGGATCCCCGGCTAAAACCCACAAGGATCCACAAGGCTTGGAGCGAAAAGGGGTAGAACGGTAGAACCAAAAAAAATGACACCCGGAGAAAAATGAAAAAAAAAGCAGTGTCTCGCTGGAGTTCATGGGCTGGGTCTAGTTGAGCGGCGCCAAGAAAGGTTTGGTTACTTTTTCGGGCACAGGAAGTGAGTGGAGAGGAATTCCGGATATCTGGGCCAGGGAAAGAGTTGGGGAGAGGTGCTGGGAAGCAACACGTGGAGCCGATGCTTGATAGTAAAGAGAAACCAAAGGTCGCATTCACCAGGGATCCTGTTTTCCGGTGGGGGCTGCATAGCAGAATAAGGCCAATTAGGGATAAAAGAACGCCAAAAGGGGCAAGTAAGACAAGATCTGGCCAAGCAGCAGCACCAAATACCAGCTTAAGTTTGATATGGGTATCATATGAACCATAACCAGCACCCCCCCAACAACCACCCTTGTCCAATGTCCAAAACTGCAAGTCCAAAAGGCAGAGGTTGGGTGCTGGAATCTGTAAAGCACATGGTGTTGTCCCCACCAAAAATACACATGTCTCAAAATGTTTGCGACCAAACCGTCGTGCTTTTGTTTAAAATATGAAAACACATGTTCATTCTGAGAACATTGGTGAACAAAACATGTGTTTGTGCAAAAAGTGAAAACACATGTTCTGATAACATTTGTGAAAACATGTGTTGTGCAACATGTGAAAACGTACTAGATATGTTTTTGGGCACAATTTGGGGGAAAACCGTGTTTTTGCCAGGAGCTGGTGCACCAACGGGTGCACTCGCCACGGCCCATCTCTTGCCGGGAGCCTCGGGTGGAGAGCGGACCGGAAGTTCCAGGCCAGTGGACACCTGGTGGAATCCGACTCACCCTTTTCCGAGTTCCGTTTAAAGGACTTTGGATCGCTTTTTTTGGGAACCTAGAGTCTCCATGACCCTGAAAAATGGTTGGTCATTACCCAAAAGAGAGGGGTCATGTACCTATTTTTAACGGTCATGGAGACTCCAGGAAGACCAGCTTGGTGGCACACAACAAGTTTGGCCACTCTTTTTTGGCCAATGCACTCAGGAAGTGAGAACAGACTTCCTTGTTTTTGGATTTGGAGCCCCAAGACAGTAGTTTTCCTTTTGGAGTCCCTTCCCAACCTCCCAAACACGGCGCACCCTCAAACAAGGAACCACACCCAAAGCAGGTTTGCATTATGAAACCTGCAGAAGGTGATGCAGAAGAGCACCCAGTATTGGGTGCGTGATTCCGAGTGCTTCTGGGGGATTTAAATGTTCATGTGCCTTGGAGGATGGTCGAAGAATGAGGTCAGATTCCAACTTAGTCAGTCACATGGGCCATATCCTCAAAATGGGCGAGTTCTCTTTGATTGTCTCTCGAACAAGCCTAACAAGGTCAGCCGCTTTTTGTCTTTTCTTTTTGCGGGAGGGCAACGGATCGCCCATTCTGGGGCCATGAAGCGGATCGCTATGGGCGGTGTTCGCGGTCAAGAGTGGCTGAAGCGTCTTCCCATCCGTGGGCGAAAAGCCGGTGAGATCGAAGCCTGACAAAGCCCTGATCATTTCCTGTTTTTGTTGGCCCAATGGGTTCAGAATCTGCCCATACCCCCGCGGGATTTGTAGTGTACACTAGTAGGTCCAATTGGTGGAAACCGAGATGTTGATCAGTTTATGGTCAATCCAATATGTCGATCCCGCCCTGTTTAAGCACTCATTCATTCGCATCCAGCACTTTCAAGTGTTGCATGCGCTGCTTTCCCCCTCGGGTCTAGAAAATGGTTGGAGTGTTTGTTGGAATCCGTCCGTTCTTCTTCCTAATCCGTTTCTACTGGATGGACGAAATCCTGCACCACCTAAGAAGCCCTGAATGTTGATTCGCCTGTAAATACCAACCATGAAAGGTTTGTCATGGTTTCCAAGTGGTGCAGTATTTCGTCCATCCACAGTAGCACTTACTGGCTTTCAGTTTTTGTGTTTGATATCCGCCAGAGGTGGATCCAAGCGCCCAAACCACGTTCCAATTCGGAAGTCTCCAGGAGATGGGCGAATTCGCGAATTCAATCGCCCAAACATGCGCGGAGCCGACGAAGTCTTTGGGTTAAAATGGCCAGGCGAGAGTAGATGAGCGCGTGTTCTTCTTGAGGGTTCCAGTTTCAGGGTTGGTTTTAAAGGGAACCCCAAAAGAAAGCCATATATTTCGGGGGTCCCTCTATTGTAAGACACACCCAGATGCCACAATTCCTTGTGTGTAAGAGAGGAGGAGCACCAAAATGAGGAGATTGCCGATTGCCTCTTTTATTTTCACCCAAGGAGGAAAAAGCATGTGCTCCTTCCTCCTCGACTGGGGGGGCAGAGCTCGATGTTGCAGCTATGGACCAAGAGGAATGTAGTTGAGTGTCAGCTTATTTGACTCCCTGACAACTTCGATTTGCAAGGAATATTGCTCAAAAACCTTGGGTTTGAAGGGAACCTATCACTACTGGGAATATATGCTTTTGATTGCGGGCTTAACCAAATGGAAGAACATAGGAGACCCAAATAGAGGTTGTTCTGTTGGTTTCCCTTTACAGCCACTTCAAAAGGGGTACCCTCAAAATATAACAGAGCCAAATGTTTTGTTGCGAGATGCCGCAAGTCGGGAATACCGAAGCACATGTCAAGATCCTGCGAGTCGGATGGTTCTGGGGTCGCACCAAGAATGCTTCGGGTGAATTCTCAGATGGGTGTGGCTCAAAATTAAACAGGAGGGGTTACGCAGGTTTTGGTCCATGTTTCCACTTACTAGGGTTCCATTTTGGTACCGGTTTTTTGAGCCACAGCCAGATGACTTGTTTTAGGTTTTTCCAAGCGGTTTTCGATTCAAAGATTGCCGCGGCTGGCTTTTTTGGGAAGACCAGTTCAGCGACTAAACGCGTGCTCCCGCACAGCCCGGCTGCGCGCGGGGCTTTCGCCTCTAAAGCTTGGGGCAGAGGAACTCCGCGAGAGTCGCGGTGGGTCGAGTGGGCAACGGTCTGTGTCGTCATGGGCTGTTGATTTGACCTTTTCTGGGTCCCCCAGTATAGTGCCCTTTCTCACCCCTTTTTCGGGGGAGGGTTCCCCTGCTAAAATAGACCACAGAAAAAAAGGTACCCTTATTCTAACCTCTTTACTGGAGGACCTAGGTTTGGATTTGGTACATGACTGGCTGCCTCCACGAATCAGCAAAGTAGCACTTGTTGCTGGAGGGTGAAGCCGCACTTCGAACTTTGGGTTGGCTGGCTTTGTTGCGGTTTCAATCGAGGCTCCCCCCAAAACAGAGCTTGTTCTGGCCAGTCAAGTCAACAAGTCGGTCGAAATACCCGCCTTTCTCGGGTTTTGTAGGCCCTTTATAGGGGTTTTAGAGATTTTGGACCACCAACATTACTGCCATAATCGTGATTCGGGTCGGAGCGAACGCATGATCATGGCCGACTCGAGTTTTGTTCAGGCACATATACATGACCCACACTGGCATTTGGTTGGATTTGTTTCTATATTGTTTACGTTGTACGGATCACTCCATATGGACCACCAGAATCAACCTGGTTTTTGGTGCAATTTCGGAGGTATGAGTGTAGGGTACCGCAACTGGGTAGCACACAGGGTGCCATCACTGACCTTGAAGCAAGCTGTGCGAATCGCAGAATCTCGTGTGTCGAGCTTTGGCGGGCGGTAGATACATTAGAATGAGCAACTCACACGCAAGCGCAGACTAAAGGAAACTGCCAGTCCCAAAACCCTCAGGGGTAGGCTATAGAAAAAGTCTGCAAACCACAACAGAGAACCGTTGTAGTGATCCGCAATGTCAGGAACCAGCAACAAGGGGTAGCCGGATACAACAGTTCAGAATCCGCATTGAAGCCAGGATCGGCATTCGTTGACCCATCAAAGCCCTTCACAGATCGTGCCCAGTCGGCTTCAATCTTGACAAGGGAACGGCGCATTTGGATCTCGCAATGCGAGAGAGCGGGGCTGATTGGCTTGCGCAGCTGAAAGCACCCTGGTCCAACCTTTTCCGTTTCGTTTGGTTCCAAGAACCAACTTTTTGTGGAACGCGGTTGACCTAGTGATGACAAGCGCGCCAGATTTCCTTTACAAGCTTGACTCGAAGGGGATATAACTTGCTCAGTGGCACTCTTGACACCAGAAGCGACAGGGCATGGATCTGAACGCAGCCAAAAGTTCTTGTCCATGCAGTGACACTTAAATTTGGCCGCCAGTGTTTCGAGACCAACCCCTCAGGAAGGTTCTTCACCTTGCAGCTCATTCGAGCTGAAGGTTTCTTTGGTGATTGGATCTGATTGTAGGGGTCCGGAATGAGTGAAGGCTCTATGGCAGCGCAAGGCAAGGGTTTGGTTGATCCTCATATGGAGAATTGGACGCACACACAAGCACACAGCAAAGCACACACATGTTCAGAGGAATCTCCATTTGCGGTGGCAGTGCCCCCTTTCTTTGTGTTCTATGTTTGATTTATTGGCCACGGAGCAGGCGCAAACGCCTACAACTGATGCTTGCCCAGCCCTTCTCATGCGCCCAATGCATGCGCGTCGGATCCAGCCACAGAGCTTGGGTTTGGCGCTTGCGGAGGCCCTGAGATCATACGGCCACCAAGTGAGCGGTCGGATATTTTTACTTCCCAGATTTCTAGACTTTTGACCAATCCACTCAGGAACTGAAACATTGCAGCTCAGAATCAGAGGTAGTCTTGTTGGTTCGCGGGGGGGCCAGTCGTATGCCCAATGCCGGGGCCATCTTCTTCAGAGCCACAGGATTGCCCTGCCTTTGGATGACCAAACCGCGAGGTTGAAGAATTGGTTGGGTTTCCTCTGCTCTTCCTTTGCTTCAATATTCCCGGCATGTTTGTGGATGGATTTTCAATGGTGTTTCCTATGTTTTAGTCGTTTTCAGGAACCAGGCTTCCAGTAGGGGATTTTGTTGAGCAACCGACCCAGTGCATGATCAATGTGACAGAAGCGAGTGCAGTACTCACACATGTTCAACTCCACAAGGCAGGGGCGAAACCTAAGGCGTCTTACGGCAGCTGTACATGCTTTTCGGGCACTTCTGGGGACCCCATCGAAATTCATACGTACCCCTTAAAGCCTTATGCTGCGGGGCTGTCCCAATTGGCATTGTAGCATGTGATTGAGTAGCACCAAAAGTCAACAGATTTGGGGCGCTGCCCAAGTACATGTAGTCCGCTTGGGCACCTATCAAGGGTTGGATAGCATTTTCCGGGTAGTCTGCGGGGCTCTGGCACTATGTGTTGCTCCTCTTGGAAACAGAAAGGAATGAAACAAGACCGAGGCCCGCAAAGGAACCTTTGAATTCTTTAGATGATGGGTTGGGAATGTTGGGCTTCCATCCGACTCTTCCATTTGCACAATGACAAGCTGAACCGCGCGCTTGCAGTAGGAGTGTGAATCTGGGCTTCCTTTTGCCTGCCAAGGGCCCGGTTAGTCAGTCCTTCGGCGGTTGACCCTCGAGCCCCTCAAGATGGGGTCTGTTTGCCAACGATGGACAGATTTTGCAGAGGCAAGCCCATATATGGGTCAAGCTTCTTCTGCATCAACCGCACAGATGCGGGTCTGCTAGTTGATTAAAAAATAAAAATGTTGAAGCAACTGAGATGTTGAGATTCTATACGTGGGCCTGTCTTTTTTAATTTGGAACAAGAGGTTTTTTTTTTCCCCCCCCCTCAGCAGCAAACAAGAACACTCTTTGCAGGGTGCACCAGCCACCAAGGTTTCTTCATTTGAAGGCCCAACATGTTAACAAATTTCTTCTATTTGCTTAAGTTTTTTGTTCCCCTCTTAAATGGGTTTTAAAGGGAATCTATCTCTACTGAACATGTTTTTTTGTTTTTTGGGCTTAAGCAAATCGAAGTGTTTTTTTTCATTCTTTCTTTTCCCAGGACTGACTGACAAATGGTCATGGCTTCGGCAGCGGCCAATGTGCGCCGATCAATCACGGTTTTCCCGCGGACCGGTCTGTGTGCCTGGTTCGGATTATTTGTTTATCAAAATCGAGGCGGGGTTCTTCGAAAGTAGGAACCATGGTCAAGACTTATGGCCTTGGACTTGCCATGATTGCAGTGGAAGGTAAAGCGCTTACTAAGTACCTTGCCTCTTGAAGGGATCCTGGCGCAGCCCATGTATCGCGCTTGTTCACAGCCTGTTTGGGCGTTTTGGGATCTGATGTCTGGTTCGGGGCCGATCAGGATCCCGCGTAGCGGTGCAAATCGGAGGGCTGAACGAATTGGCGAGCAACCGGAAGAAAGTGTTTTGTGTTGGTACCTTTGGGTTGTTTAAAAGGAACATGAAACGGAATCTCAGCATTTCTGGGGCCCCCCTATCTTGAGTCATTGCGGTGGGGGCAGCCTTGCCGATTCTCAAGTTGCACATTCCATCTCGCCTCCCGCTGATTGCTGAGACTTCCAACCCTAGCTGTGGAGCGAGTGTAAAGCAAGAGAGAAATCGCGGCTGCGGGGCAATTCAGAGTAGAGGGCGAGTCGTGGGATTTGGATCTTCACGGGATGCCCCGCACCTTCCACTGTCAGGTTTTGCCACGCATATCAGCAGCTGGTGTCACCAATTGAAAGCCAGAAGCATCACTTGGCCCACATGAGGTGCTTGAGGAGGGCGCGAATTTGAAGTTTTTAAGGGGCCTTGGATGGTTTTGAGGGAACCCAAAAGGAAACCACCCCCAAGTGGGTGGGGGGGTTCCTCATTTTGAGGCACACCCAAACGGGTCTGATCTACTCTCTTTTTTTTGATGAGCCAAGCATGCGCCCTCGTGCCGATAAGTCTTCAAGCTGGATAAGCTCCTGCCCAGGGCCGGGAAACGCCTTAGCACGCCACCTGAGAAACCCTGGTTTATGAGTCCATTCCCCAACGTAAAGACCTAGAATTTGCTTTGGTGCATTTCGCTTGGACGTTAGGACGTTAACCTTTTGCCAACTCATGGGTTTTCTATTAAACCACTAAGAGTTGAACTTTAGCAGGGGAGGAGAAAGCAACCGAGTTTGTATGGTTTCAACGGTTTCATTTCGTGCAAAGGGTTTTGGTCCATCCACGTCCCCTGAGTCCTGGCGTTTATGCAGCGAGGAGACCCTCGCCGCCTATGGCCGAGTTCAAGCGCATGGTGAGCCTCGTGATCTCTGGGGCCGGCCAGGCGCAGCGAAGATGAAAGACTGGCTCGGTGTGCGTTTGTGGGTGGGTGGGTGAGTGGGTGGGTGGGTGGGTGGGTGGGTGAGTGGGTGAGTGGGTGAGTGGGTGAGTGGGTGAGTGGGTGAGTGGGTGAGTGGGTGAGTGGGTGAGTGGGTGAGTGGGTGAGTGGGTGAGTGGGTGAGTGGTGTGGGTGGGTGGTGGGTGGTGTGGGTGGGTGGGTGGGTGGGTGGGTGGGTGGGTGGGTGGGTGGGTGGGTGGGTGGGTGGGTGGGGTGGGTGTGGGTGGGTGGTGGGTGGGGTGGGTGAGTGGGTGAGTGGGTGAGTGGGTGAGTGGGTGAGTGGTGTGAGTGGGTGGGTGGTGGGTGGGTGGGTGGGTGGGTGGGTGGGTGGGTGGGTGGGTGGGTGGGTGGGTGGGTGGGTGGGTGGGTGGGTGGGTGGGTGGGTGGGTGGGTGGGGTGGGTGGGTGGGTGGGTGGGTGGGTGGGTGGGTGGGTGGGTGGGTGGGTGGGTGGGTGGGTGGGTGGGTGGGTGGGTGGGTGGGTGGGTGGGTGGGTGGGTGGGTGGGTGGGTGGGTGGGCTGCCTGCGTTCTTGCTTGCTCGCTTGCCTGCCTGCTTCCTAGGTTTTGTTTGGTGCTTTGTCGGGTTTCCTTGTGGGTTTCCTTCGGCCCCTTTGGGTACATTCCCAAAGCTCCCGAGGAAACGTACTTTTGCACCAAATCTATCCAACCAGCCCGAAGTTGCGGGGAGGGAGGTGCGCCTGGGAGGGGCTACCCCGGTCCTCACCACCAGCATCACCACCAGCACCACCACCCTGTCAATACCAACAAACGAAGGTTCCCAGGGTTTCAAAGCGGTACAGGATTTGTCCATCAGTCGAAGTCACAGGCCAAAATTGGGTGTGAGGGTGGCTTGGAGCCCATTTCAGGGAACCCCCCCCCCCCGCGACTGGAGGCTGAGACCTCGGTGACGGATATCCTTATGGAGATTCGGTCTAGGTGTGCGGAGCTTATCCATCGGAAGAGCCCAATCAACCAGCACTGCACCCAAAAAGTACTGTTTTTTTCCCGGGGTTTGTCTTTAAACCACAAAAAGGGGCTGCCCTCCAAAAAAATGACACGCCCATGTGCGTATAAATGTGTTTTTGGACCCCCCCCCCCGTTGGTTTGAAAGCAAAGCTAGCTCTACTGGACATATTAGATGCATGGTTAACGGATGCTCGGGGGCAATACGTTGATCATCCCAGTCAGGTGATTTCGGGGCGTGCATTTCCTTTGCAAAAGTGCCAGAAGGGTCTTCGCGGGTGTGTTTTTGCTTTTGAGTGAACCCCTTTCTGGTTGGTTTCAAAGGGAAACCAACAGGAAAACCATGATGTTGGGGGGGTCCAACCTGACAAAAGTGCGGCTGTTGATTGCTGTCATTGGTTGCAGGTTACCTGGCTGCAGCGCGCATCCCCACCTCAAGGGCAGCTTGAGGGGGAATTCGAGCCCTGGATTTCCATAGGAAGACCAAACAAAGGTATTGGGGACCTTCACCCCACCTCTGGCTGGTGGGGCATCAGGCTGGAACCCCAGTGGATAGGGGGTAAAGCTAGACCTTCCAGAGGTTTCCACGCTTGGATCGGAACGCCTCTTTGCTCATTCGGCGCCTTTCCAAGCTTTCCAGGGACCCAGGGAGTGTGACATAAGCTTCTTTGCCATGGTGGAACCTCTGCATCACTTTCAGCAGGGGTACTAACTTTCGGTCAGTTTACGTCATTCAAGAGGACCTCCCAGATGTGTGACCGGCCTTTTTGAGACCAAAAGTACAACCACCATTTGGGGGTCCAACCTTAAAACAGAGACACCCAAACGGCTGTGGGTCAAACATAGGTACCCAACATGGAACCCTGGTAAATTGACACATTGACTCAAACTGCGGTTTTTTTAGGGGTTTAGTTTTGATCCATTCCCGCATAGGTATATACATATAGATATATATATATATATACATACATACATACATACATACATACATTCATACATACATGCATGCATGCATACATACATACATACATACATACATACATACATACATACATACATACATAATATGTATGTGGGTTCTTTTTCCCTAAAGTTTTCCTCCAACTGTTGAGCGTCGCTTCATGTCTACTCCGAGGCCCCGAGTGGTCGGTGACCCCCTGCCGCGTGCGCAAGGCGAGGTTTCCGACGGCCGATTTTCGAAGAATGGGTTTACTATATGGGCCCGTTTTTACGGGAGCCCCCCTCAAAATGGGAGGTTTCCTCCCCTTTACAACCACCTAAGACCATTTCACTTGGTGGCTCCCAGACATCTTTGTGGGGATTTCCGTTTGACCCACAACAAATAAGCTTTTAGCGGGGATCTATGATCCGAAAACGGACAGCCCAGTTTGGCATGCAAAAAGTGTCAACTTTGTCAGCCAGGCCTTGGCGGCCTTGGGCAAGAAGCGACCCGCAGGAGAAAGTCGGGCCTTGTTGCCTGAAGGTTGTGCCATTTGAGGGTGTGGCCCCCTGTGTTGGTGGGGATGCAGGGAAAGCAATGGGGAAGACCCAAAAGCATTTTTAGGGTGCCCGCTGGTTTTGCTTGTATTTTGAGGGGGGTGGGAGGGTTCCCCGATTTTTTATCACACTGGGTGTGTGCATGTGTGTGTGTGTGTTTTTTGGATAGAGGTTATCATCGACTGGCTACTAATCCAAACCACGAATCAGAGGGAAACTGATTTTCAGCTCGGCTTTGAAGGGAAACTAAAATGAACAGATCCAAATAGGTCCCTCCCATGTTTGGCGTATAGTCACAACTATGCCAAGGCTTTTGCAATCGCTCGCTCAGCGATTTCCGGGGTAAAATGAACTACCTGTGAGTGCGGCCTGCGGATCCATGTCTCATTGAACCAACATTTTGTTCAGTGGCATTTTTTTTACCTGTAGTACCACACAACTTGCTGGTGCGATCGGGTATTCTTGGCGGGAATCCCTAGGTTCATTCTCAACACCCTGGGGCATTTCATACTGAGCACAAGCAACAAAAGGTTAACATTTTGGCAGAAGGGTCAACAGCAACTATGGCTGGTTTGTTCAAAGGCAACCCGCAAGATCCTTACAAAACAGTTACGAAAGGATATGGTGCGCTTTGTAATGGTTTCCCAAAATGGATTATGGATTGGGATTGGCCAACACACCATTTTGAACAGCCCAGTTCAGGTCATTTAGGTTGATTTTTTTCCAGTATCTTCGTAGCCAAGGGAATAACATTGGATATGCACACTCATCAAATAGCAGCAACTAGGACATCCGGCCTCACCAAAGTCTGGCGTGATTGGAGCACTCCACCGGGGGTTTCTCAAAATGGTGAAGTTTCCTTTTGGTATGTGGCTGTGGGTCAAAAATGGGTATCCATTTTGGAACCCTAGTAAATGGACCCAAGGACTAAAACCTGCGGTCCGGGCTGTTGCTTTTGCTGGGCACTGGGCTGTTGGGCTGTGGGGCTGTTGATGGGCTGTTGGGCTGTTGGGCTGTTGGGCTGTTGGGCTGTTGGGCTTGTGGTGCTTTAATTTTGACCCACACCCATGTGAAGGGAAACCACAAGTCAATCAACCATTTTTAAAAGGCCGATTCCTATTTGAGAAGCTGACTAATGAACATGGCTCAAATGGGATGTTGCCATGGACCTTCCCCTTGAACATTGTCAACACAAAGGCTTCAAAGGCTGGGTTCCTTTCTTCTGCCGAGGTCACCGGGCAATTGGGATTTCGCCAATCCCTTTGTCTTGTGGGTGAGGTGCAAACAGTCGGATCCCGATGACTAGAACACCTCCAGTTCCCCAAAAGCGAATCGATCTTCTGGTTTTCCAGATTTCCATCTAGGTCTGTCTTTTGAGGGCACTTTGGTGTGGTTTGAAGGGGAAACCAAGAGGAACGCCATTTTGCGGGGTCCTCGAAAAAGAGGCACACCTGTTTTTTGTCTACGTCAAGGTCCCCAAAAAGGATCGCCTTTTAGCCTTTCAGGTGCCTGCAGGTGAGGTTTAGCAACGCGATCCCTAGGAGAATCCACCGAGCCGTGCCGGGTCTACCCGAAGCCGCCACCCCAGGTTGAGCGAGGTGTCCAGACATCTTAGACACCCAGTGCCCCTTTCCGGACCAAAACCAGTTTTTGCCTAAAGCGAGTCGACGTTTATGTTTGTTTGCCTTTAACCCATCTTAGCCCCAAACCATAACCCCCTCTATATACTGTTCGAAGATCAAGTTGCCACGCCTCCATTGCTAGGCTGTTCTCTGGGGAAACCCCAGCCCTTTTGTTCTACGGCTGCGGGTCTACGGGGAACTCTCCCACAAAAAAGAAAAAACAACCACAAGTCTTGCGAGAAGCCTCCTTGAAAGGCACCGCAGATCAACCACGGAACTGGGGATGACCCTCCGGCCTCCACTTATGTGTTTGCCCCGATCCCTTTGATCGCGGGCTCAAGAAAAATGGTTCGGGGTCTTTTGAGGATACCCCCTTTTGGTGGGTTTAAGTTGGGCTACCTTTTTCTCAAGGTGGAAGGGGAAACCAACACAGTTGTGTGCTTCTCTTTTTGTCACCAGGGTGTCGCAATATGTTGACTGCGAGGATACCAGCAAGAAGTCGTTCATGCCCAAGCTGATAAGATCTTTTGCGAAAGCAGCCCAAAACCACCCGCTCAGCAAGCAGGCATCACCAACCATGTTTGCACCGTGACTGAGGTGTGAGGTGCTATGCATCGACATGCTCGCACCCAAATTGATCAAGCATTCGTGATGTGTTTCATTTTTAATGTTAGCCTAATCACGTGTTTTTTCTTTGGGGGGGGACCAAGCCCAACATGCCCGTTGCAGAGCTATCTTTGGCATGTCTTTTGTTTTCTCGTTTTTTGGGTTTGGCTTTTTGGCCAGGGCTATGTTCTGGCCAGATCGATCACAAAATGAGTAGAGGAAGACAGCCCCAAAATGAGAGCCACTCAAGAGCCAAGTGGCTTGCATCTGGCCGCACGACTTCATGTGGCTTGGGATGTTGAAGTCTTAAAAGTTGGCACTTTTCCCTCAATTCCCAGTTACCCCCTCTTCTTGACTGCTATTGCGTTGGATCTTTAGACTTTAACTTTGTGGTTGAAATCAAGTTGGGTTTTCCACTGAACCCACAAAAAGTTAAAAGTTAATCAACACTTTTTGCAGAGGGGTCAACAGCGACAAAGGCTTAACCTGGTCGGTTCCTTGGTCATTCTAGCATGCTGACTGGCCTTGATATCTTGACATTTTCGCTGCTATGAAGATCACGATTGGAGGGTTTTGCTACCACCGTGCCGCTTCCGCAGTTTATTAGGCCCAGAACCCCAATCCCCAGTCGGGAGCAAGAAGATGCGCTCCGGGATTGGTTGCGCCAAAGAAAAGAATGTCTCTTGTTGCGTTCATCCAGGCTGTCGATTGGACGGCCCGCTGTTTCTTTTTAATAGAACCAAGGCTCTTTGAGTTTGGTTGAGCTGCGGGCAATCCATGCTAGTAATTGGCTAATTGATTGCTGCAGAAGCGCTGTTTCTTTGTCGATTTGGTTGGATCTTTGGACTTGAAAACGGTTCGGGAATCAAGGGATTTTCCATTGGACCCACAACAAATTAAACTTTTTACAGAGGGGTCAACAGCAACCAAGGTTTTAGGGCTTTTGGGGTCCCTTTCCATTCCCACAGAAACCAATCAACCGGTTGTGTTGCTTGGTTGCTAGGAATGAATCACCCGCTGGCTCTCATGTTGAGCTTCTTTTGGGCCTTTGTTCGAAGGCCCTTTTCGGTATGATGAGGGAAACCAAGAGGAACTCAACCTTCATACAATTTGAGAGACACATTTGAGAGGCTGCCTTACGGCCAGTCACCTGAGCGAAGGGATACATTTTCACGAGCATGAGCCATGGGCCCAAGCAGTGATGAGGATCCTGCTGGCCGGGCGATTCGGTGATCTGTGCACGATGCTGTACTCTCTCTGTGTGTGTGTGTGTGTTGTGTTTGTTGTTGTCGTGTGGGCGCCGTTCCTTCACCGCAAGCCTTAAATCATTTGGGGAAACTACTGTAATCATAGCGAGGTCACCCGACCTCGATGTGAATTCGACGTAATCCTGAAATAAGGGTCTGGGAGAAAGCCGCTTAAGTGCAGAGTATTCGGTGGGCTCTCCCCTCCATGATGGCTCCGAGCCGCACTTTGGCATGCGAATTGAGCTGCTGTCCGTTGCATCAGTTCCTCTTTGGGGCTGTCGAAAGAGAAGCTTCCAGGCACCCGTGTTTCCGAGGTGCGGTGTCTTTTTTCCCTTTGGGGATCCGCCAAAAAGAGGTACCCTCAAAACCAGATACACCCATCTGCCCAGAAAGACGCTGTTGTATTGTCCCTTGTTGGTTTGCAAGGGAATCTGTCACCAGTCACCACTAGAAAGCTCACTTCCCGAGTTCATGCACTTTAGACCACTTTAGTGGCAAACAAGAAGTTTGGCCACTTTGTTTGGCCATTCCACAGGAAGTGAGAACCATGTGTTTTCCTCATCGCAGGTGGCCGCATGTGCGGCGAGTTCCACTGCCCACCGCTGCGGGGAGGCGGAGAGGACCCTGGCGGGCGGCCACAGCTGACGCTCGGTAAGCGAGGGCGAGTGACGCGCCCTCCGCGTTTTTGTTTCGTGGATGACTGGAGAAGACTGGTGTTTGACTCCCTGAGCTTGCGGACTTTAGTCACTTTTTGGAAAGACCGGCATTTTAAGAATACGCAACCAATTCAGACGCTTTGCTGGCCAATCTACTCAGGAAGTGAGGCAGTGTGTCTTCTTTTCGCGGTATTCTTTTTTGGCATTGGTTTGAAGGGAACAAAACCAACTTTTTGTTTAAACACGCACCACTTGGGTTTCAGTCTGTTCCACCACGGATCAAGCAAAACATGCACCCTGTCGTATGTGTCTGGTTCTCAGGGTAGCCTTGGGGAGTGGTTGTACGTGACCAAAAGCGAAAAATATGGTTCCAGAGGTCAGCTTGAGGTTGAGGGCATGGCAAAAGTGGACACTTTGAGAGAGGAAGTACCTGAGTAGCCCCGAAAATCCTTGCCCGGGTGGTTGGGATCCAGTCAAGCTTGCTTGCTTCGGAGTATTCAATGGACCGCGCCTTCAATCTCTCGCTCCCCCATTTTAGTGGCAAACAACTTGTTTAGGCTTTTTTGGCCATTCCACTCAGGAAGCGAGGTCAGGGGAGGTTCCCTTTTCGTTGGAAAACGACAGCTTTTGCCGGGTTCCTTCACTGAGGCTCGGTGCGTGTTGAGAAGAATAGGGACCTCCCCCCCCAGTTGGTCGGTTTCCCTTTAGCTTCCTTTAGAAGAAGCCAACCCATTAAAGCACACCACCACGTGTGTGTGTGTGTGTGTGTGTGTGATTGTGTTTAGTGGGAGTGCGAGCGTGTTGCTGTCGTGGTGCAATGCAGGGTGTGTTTTTCTCCGGGGACCCTTGAAATGGATAATTTTCCTTTCGGCTTCCTGACATCGGAATCATTCGGTCCATGAAAACCCGAGGTTGGCATAAACATGACGATCCGAAGAATTGGGGAACTGGAGCAGTTTTGCGGGCCCAACGGAAGGCAAGCAATGGACAACGGGACTTGAGACTGGAGCCATGCGCAACCAATGCTTTCCATTAAGCGCATATATACATATATATATATAGATACATGTTGATTATTTCCCCTCGTTGGTGTTAAAGGGGGTCATTTTTGTCCAGAGCAGCTAAGCAAATGGAATCTGTCTGAACTTTACGGGAGCCGCCGGAAAAAAAAGCAAACCACCGGATGCTTCGGGCTCAGGTGGCGGGCGCGTGGATTGGCTGGTCAACAACAAGGCGTCGAAATGTGAAGAGCCACAGCACCAAACGTCCCCCAGTAGTGCCCTGTCTCACCCCTTTTTTGGTTGGGAGGGTTCCCCTACGAAAATAATTTAAAATAGACTACAGAAAAAAGCGTGCCCTTATTGTAACCCCTCTACTGGAGGACCTGGTCACCAAACGTACATTGGTATGTTATGTCCTTTATCTCGGTCGAGAGAATGCTCAAACTTGAATGCCATCTACTTTCACCCAACATAAACCCAACTGCGAATTGGGATTACCCATGTGGTGTTTGTCTCAAGTCGTTAGCGGAGCCTTTGCATTTGCGCCGCCATCGGTGTCAACTTAGACTTAAACTCATGGATTGCCTCTTGAGTTGGCCATCCCAAAAGTGGTGGCTTTCCTCTTGGTTTTCCTTTCAGCCAACACCCTCAAAACGCAGACACCTTTGTGTCATTTTGGCAGGCCCGGAGAGAAGCTCCAGCTGTTTCTGCTTAAGGGTCATGAGCCTTAGGCCCCCGACCATCTCCTGTTTAATTTGGGGATATTTTGGGGGTAGCCTCGTGGAATGTGTCAGGATGGGGGAACTCCATGAAGGGTCGGGTTTTTCTTGCTTGCTTCCCTTTCGGCACTTGAAGCCAACATGCAAAACCCTCAACAAAAAAGCGCCACCGCGTATGGGATAAGAGCAGATAGCCTGGGCACGTAGGGCCGGTTGAGTAACGCCCGTGGCTGTAGTCGCCTTTTCCTTAGCTGAAAACTTACGGGTCGCTCCGAGATCCGGGGTCCGCGGGTTGCGGGCGGGGTGTGGGATGTCCGAGGATAGCGCTTGGGCTGTCCGTGGGAAACCTTCCAACCAGACAACTAGGGCAAGTCGCTAGTGAATGTAAATGGGAAACTGGACGAGTACGAGGTCACCCTTTGGGGAGTTGAACCCCAGTACCTCTTGAAACGAACAGGGAACTAAACCACCAAACCCCTACATTTCGCGCCTTGGCCTCAGGAAGCAAAGAAAACCAATCCCCTAAACCACCACAACCCCCACATTTTTGCTGCGTCCCTCAAACCCTCGCAACCATTTGCTTAAGACTATTTGTTTTCTAATATTGCCTTGCAGGTTTTAAAGGGACACTATCACTACTGGACATAGTTTTTATTTCTTTGCCAGGGGGCGAAAACGCAAATGGAAGCTCGAAGCCACCAAAGTCAGATGACCGCCCACCGTCCGCGCAGGGCCTCACGCCCAATGAAGCTGGCATACAGGTGGCCACCGAGTATGCTGCGCCGCGGATGGAGAAACATGGTGGGCATGTGGCTTCGTTTTTTTTGGGGGTGAGGGTACCCTGCTTTTTGGGCGGGTGTGTTTTTACAGGACCTACCCTTCGTGGGGCGTGTTTTACCGGAATTACTCATTTTTTTAAGGGTGTGTTTTACAGAAAATACACTTACTTTGTTGTTTTACAGCTAGTACACTTTTGTTGGGGTGTGTTTTACAGGAAACCCACTCCCTGAGCTCCTCGACTTGAGCCACAAGAATGGGTTTGGACCATTTTTGTGGTAAATAGAAAGTTTGGACTTATGTTTGGCCAATCCACTCAGCAAGTGTGTGTTGCAGGAAAACAACCGGACACCCACCGGTTTTCTGGGGGACCTCATTTTTGTTTCATCAGGTTCAGCCGAAATGTCCGGTCTGTGGTCCATTTGGGACATTGAGGAAGTCACTTCTTGTCCCCAAAACTAATGTTCTCGTGTGTGCCATGTGCGGGCCTCCATTTTGGGCAGGGGTGTAGTGCAGAGACCTACTTCCCCCAAAGAACTTCCAGCTTGGGAGGGGGTGATGTGAATCTGTGGAATTCCAGTTTGTTTTGGAGGAGTGCATAGAAAGAAGCTTCGTGGAGCTCGCGGCTCGTTCTGTTGGCCATGTTTGCTCAAGAAGACCACAGGGAACATGGATGCCCTTCCCGCCTCGTTTCTTTTCTTTTTTTGCGGGTTTCATCAATTCTCTTCTTAGCCTCAAACGGCTCATGTGTTGGGTCTTCGGGACTGTCCAAGTTTGGCAGATAATTCGCACCAATGATCACTGGCATTTGTTTGGGTGTCCTGCCTTCCAAAATCAACCCGCAATCAAATAGATGGAGTCTTTTCTACTCATTACTCCGGAAACAGAACCACATGAGGTTCGGTCAAACTTATCAGAGTCTATGGTCCGCCCGGGAGGGACCCGCTATCCGTGGCACGAAGACCCGCGGGGGCGAGCTCCAATTTTCCCATGTACTCTTGAACATGTAGTTTTGTTTGCTCACAGGAAGCAGACTGGGCCAAGTGAGCGGCCGACATGTTCACAGGAGTCTTCCGCTTTCTGCCGGTCTGATATCGTCGACTCGGCGTTGCCGGTGTTGCCAGTTTTTTTGTTGAGGCCTCCGGCGGTTGCTGGCTTTTTGTTCATGCTTGGAGGGTTCATTCAACAGCTACCAACCACAAAGCGTGTGTTCTCCTTTCTCGTGGTCACCGGAACCCTGGAAAGATAAGAACCGCGTTGCTTGGGCGGGGGCTTCGTATTTTTGTTTGGAGGTATGACCAAGTTTGGGATTGGCAAATGGTGGTCTTTCTTACAGCCTCTTTCGCTGACTTTGTGCCGCTTGAAAAGGCGTGTGCTGAACGCAACATTTTATCGAGCCTTTGTTTTGCGCAAGCAAGTACATAATTGTTTGACAGGCGGTCTTTTCCGTTTCTTGTATTTGTTTCTGTTTCTTGTATTTGTTTTGAACAATTATTGTGTCATTTGTACTTGATGGTTTGGATTGGTGAGGTTCGGGAACTACCTTGCGGGGGTTCCTTTTACTGACTGGTATATAACGTGCCAACAAGTTCATGCAAGATAAGCTTTTTTTCTGGGAAGTTCGGCCGGTAGAGCTGGCTGTGCTACACTGCTACACATATATTAATATGTTGCAACCGCGTTCAACCTGGTTTTCTCTTGGGTTTTCACTCTTGAAACCACGATTCAAAGGCAAGTAGCCTCAACAACCCGGACATTGGTGCCCCCTTTCTCTTTCTTTCTTTCTCGAAGGTTTCCCCTTCTGCACTCCCCGAGCGCCGTGGTTTTTGTCTCAAGGCCACTGGTCTGAAGGACGTTCGGTGAAACACTGCGCGCCGAGGTGGAGTGCTGGCGCTGCGGCTTCCAGACGACCAGCTGTCAGCTGCCCCCGAGGCCTGGAAGGAGCTTTGGAACTTTGGGGAAGCGGCAGAACAGCAGGTACCGCTTAGCTTGACTGCTATTGGGTCGGATCTTTAGACTTTAACTTTTTGGTTGAAATAAAGTTGGGTTTTCCACTGAACCCCCAAGAAGTTGTTCACTTTTTGCAGGGGGGTCAACAGCAACCAAGTTAGTTGGTGGTTTGGATTGGTGGGTTGGGGATTTGAACCCCTGGCTCTTGTGGGTAAATAGGGGGTTTCCCTCCAGAACACCAAACGACGAATCCAAACCAACTAGAGGGAAGCTGAGAACAGCCTTCATGGCTATTTGCTTGGATCTTGGCACTTGAACTTTATAAACTTTATTGGCTGAAGCAGGCCAGATTTTCCACTGGACCCACAAAAAGGTTAAACTTTGCGGAGGGGTCAAGAGCAACCAAGAAGCCGGGTCGGTTTTGTTGGCACGAAAGCAGGGCTCATCATGAATCATGTTCCATCTTAACTAGCAAAACGGGATCGTTGGGCGTTTTGTTCCGTTGTATTCCCTTTCAACCACAACATGATCACTTTGCGTCGGATGAGGTGGCTCGAACAAGGGTATCGCTTGAGGCTGACCTGATCACACGCTGCCGGAGAGCAGCTATGCCAGCAAACGGGGCTGCTTCTTCAAAATGTGTTAACCCCCAAGATGAGCCTTTAAACCAACAACAGGTTAGCGCGATTAGAGAGCCCCTAAAATAGATTGCATAAGCGGCCAGGTATGGCGCAAAGGAGCAGGAGCGATTGCAGATGATGAACTGCGGGAAGGTGCAGAAACTTGTGCTGCAGGTTTGGCAAGTTTTACTGAGACCCCAATCACCTGATGTATCACCGTTCTGTCCATTTCACGCGAGTCTCCCTGGGAAGGGGCGATGGCTAAAGGCGAGGGGCTGAGCCACTTGTGGGCGTGGCATTCATTCGAAAGAACTTGTTTGCGGACGAGTGTGACAAGTTCGTTTGTGCGCACTGATCAATGGCCAAAACACGTGGAGACAAGCTTCGACCCACTTTCTCCAGGGCCTTTGGAGAAGACCACGCCTGAAACTGGTTAGTTGTAGCCCAACAAATCAAACACGAGGGGAATTCGAGCCTGCTGTGACTCTTTCATGGCTGCAAACATCTTGAAGTTTGACTTTCAGAACTCTTCTTCTAACCTGGAGTCTCAAATGACCCTTTAAACATGGGGTCATTACCCAACATTTAGGGGTTATGACTCCCCTTTGTCTAGGGGTGGAGACTCTAGGAACTCCCTATGTGTAGCTCCCTATAAGGCAGCCCCAAGTTGGTCATAACCTTCCGAGCCCGCTCAGGAAGGCATCGGTGCAGTTCAAGGCAGGGGGTCGCCAAGAGAGGTCGGGCAAGTGACGGTGAAACGGCAACCAAGTCTCCTTAAGGTCGATGTGTTTGTCCATTTTACCTTCTTTTTTTTGGGGGGGGGGGGAAGTGTGAAGATGTATTGCTACCATTCCATGGGTCTTTCGCCGGGGTCGTTTCAAGCTTCTTGGTTCCTGCCGCAGTGCTGGTTCGCCAGGTAGTTAGATGATTAGCCATGTAGTTAGCTGGTTAGCCAGGTAGTGAGCTGGGTAAGTAGTTAGTTGGCTTGATAATTGTGCGCGAACTGATTTCCTGGTAGATCCTTAGCTGGCAAGCTAGTTTACCCAGCTCAGCTAGTAGCTAGCTAGCAGTTTGCCAGTTATTAGGTAGTTAACTTGGATAACTGGTTTGCCAGCTATCTAGTTCGCTAGCCAGAGTTAGGCAGAAGTTACCAGAGCCGCCAATGGAAATCGATCCCCCCAACCTCCCCGGCAAAACCTAATACCACCAGGTATCCCTGCCAACAAGAGGAAAACATGTGGTCTGCGCCCCGACAGCACCGCAGGCACATTGGGATGTACAGCCACCATATAGCAACTATACAAAGGGCATATTTCCGTTTTGTTTTCGCAGAAGGATTGTGTAGCGAAAAGTATCTTAAAGAGGGTGCGCAATCAGAAGGATTTGTCCTCTTGGCAACTTTGAGAGCCTGTCAACAGGCAACTTCCAGTCCCCCAAAGTGTCAAAACCTTGTTGCTCACCGCTAAACTGTCCGTCCGGGTTGACTTCCCGCGCACTACTCAACCACTAGGCACATGGTTGGTCAAGCCTTCCTGAGGCTTGATTCACCGGCAATATCTAAAAGCAGGAACTCCTTGCTTGAGGCCAACCGGCCATGTCGAACTCCTGCAGAAAAAAAAATCCTCAAGCAAGGAAAAGCCCCGGAGTTTCCGGCAGCACCTCCTTGCTTGACGGCCGCTTTTCCTACTTTCTCACCTTTTTATTGGTTGGGAGGGTTCCCCTACTAGAATAGACAAAAGAATAAAGTTGGTACCAACTTATTCTAACCTCTCCACTCCTCTCCACTGGACCTAGTTTTTACCTCTCCACTGGAGGACCACTTGTTTCCTTTTCGGCCGGTTTTCCTTTTCGGCCGGGAGAGGAGATCCTCGAGGCGAAGGCGGACCGTTGGGCCTCGGAGGAGCAGAAGCAGCTCTGGCAGAACAAGAGCGCCTTGGCAGGCGAGGATCGATCCGCTCGATCGATCCGCGGCTCGATCCGCGGACCACTCGGATTGGGCAAATCTTGGTGACCCGAGAAACCGACGACCCAAGTAAATTGAGGAGCGCCTGTTTGATTCCTTTGGGCATCTTGGTTGGTTCATAGGTGTGAATGTGTGAATGTGTGTGTTTTCAGAGTTGATACCTTCTTTTTGTGGAAACTCAACGGAAAAAAAGGGGAAACAACATTCTGGTGGTTTGAAAGGTAAACTCAACAGAAACACACCATTCTGGGTCCCCCGAACAATACACCCCCTAGTGTTGGGTTTGCTCATTCAACAGTATCATCTTTTGGACCTCGCCTTGTGGTAAAAGTGGTGGACGTGAATCCCATTCTGTACAAAGGATTTTTCAGATGAGCGATCACACTCATGTTGCCGTGTGCAGCTTAAGGGCTTGGAAGAACTCCTGAAAGCTATTGGGTAGGCGCAGATAGGCTGCGGGGTGGTTCGGAGCAGCTTTCAGGGAGGGTTCCGGAAGGCTTGCTCTTCTGCTCGCCTCGATTGTCCGACACTTGTTCACCGACATTGAAAAACCTCCCGATTTGCGATGGTCCATGTTTAGTCAAGGTTCCGAAAGGTTGACATTTGTTGTGCGGTGCGACAGAGGAGTGAGACGGGTGGTTTTGCACAACTGGTTGAACAGCCAGACCCTTGTTTGAGCAGCCAGACAACCAGAACTTAAGGGAACAAGAGCGGGACGCTGATTTACAATTGCGGTTGTCCCGCATCGATGCGACATGGCGAACTCAGCCAATCCCCCCTGATGGGGACTGGTGGTTGCTTGTCACTTTCCCAGAGGGATGCTTCCCAAAGCTGAGATTCTCTGCTCGATTCGATGTATCGTCGTGCTTGCGCGGGTTGCTTTCAAGCTTTTTTTGGATTTTGTTTTGATCTCGCCAGCCCCGGGATCGTTCAGATTACCCAGCAAGGTATTTCAGCACTTGAAGCCCCAGCAATGAGTTTGGTCTCGGAGCATCGCGCGTTTATGCAAGAGGTGCGCGTGTGAGTACAGCTTTGCACACCTTGGTATGAGTGACAACTGCATGCACTGTATGAGTATTTTGGTTTTCTTACCTCAATAGAGCCGTGCTGGTGTGTTTGTTGTTGTGTGTTGTGTGTTTGAGTGTTCATGAGTTCGTTTGCTGCATTGCGTTGTGGCGTGTGATGTGTAGTAGATGTTGTGTTCCTTTGTGGGTGTTGTCGATGAACGAATCCACTCTGAGGAGGGGGGCTATGCAAACAAACCTTGGCAACAGACGCTGCCAGTTTGATGGAGCCCATCGTAAACACAGCCAATGCCCAAGCGGCCTAGGCAACAGCAACAGCAACAAAACAAGCATTGACTACGACTACAACTACGACTACCGCTACGACTACAACTACAACTACTACAACTACCACTACAACTACCAGTACCACTACCACTAAAACTACAACTACAACTACAACAACAACGACAACGGGAGTCTTTTAATATTGCTTGATGTAAGCTACAGGCAGCATTGCCTTGTTGATTTGTGGCTGATCTCGATTTGTTTGAGATCCTCTAAGCCATGCGCGCGTGTCTTCAGTTGAGGTTACCCTTTTCCAAATTGTTCCCCTTAGCGTGAAGGGGATCCCAAAGGAAAACCAGCTTTTTGAGAGCTTCCACTTTTGGAGACGCCCTGTTGCTGTTGCTTACATGTTTACGTGTTTTAATTGTGTGGTAAGTGGGGACCAACCAACATATTAGTTCTGTCGACCTGCAGACCGTGGTGAGTGTCAGGGAGGTCAATCCAAGTTGTTGACAAAACATGCGGGCCATCTACTACATCCTTTTTGATGAACGAAGTTGCTTGTTTCTGAATGGTGCGTCAAATTTGGGTGTGGCTCCTTTGCATTTGGTACATTGGATCTTTTTCAAGTGCCTCCAACCGAAGATCTTCAGACCCCAGCTTCGCTCACACCCGCCGCGCCCAAGCGGCGCCTCGCGCGCGGCCGCCAGAAAAGTTCTGCAAGCAGTCGGTGGCCTTGCTGAACGAGGAGGAGTACGAGAGCGCGGCGGTGGTGGCGCTCTATGCCTGGAGTCAGGTGAGAGTCGGTCGGAACCAGCCCATGGTTAAGGGGCGGTTTTCTTTCCTTGGAAAGGCGGAAATCCCCTATGAAAAAAATAAAATCCTGAAATGATGATGTTGATTGTCACTGGAATCAAATGAGGGGCTTACACCAGGGGGCTTAAGCAAATGGATGAAAAGCAGGGCGTTCTCTCCTTTTTTTAGCAGGGTGCAGGTGTTTGGGTGGGTTTAAAAAGAAACCAAAGGAAATCCACCAGTTTGTCTCTCCCATTGTAGTTAGGTTCTGAGCCTCGGCTTTTTGGGCTGTCAAACGAGAAGGGGGGGGGGTGACGTTCAAAAGGCCAATTTCGGGAGCCCGGCAAACCGCGGGGGGCAAAGAGTTTGGCCCTTTGGACCACGGCCAAACGGCCTCCAGACTTCCAGACCTTTTCGGGTCGAATCCCGGGGTGCTGGATCCGGTTTCTGGGACTCGCCATTTGCGGCGCCAGTTTGACGTTTCTCGCTCAGCCCGGGAAGGATCCAGTGGAGTTGACGGCCTGGGACATTTGAAGCTCGTGGATTGCGTGGCAAGGGGCGGTTGATCGTTTTGGACTCGAAGGGGTTGTCCCCAATTTGGTGTTCCCTCTCACACAGCAACTTGAGGTTTGGCCCATTTGCTTTCCGAAAGAGGCGGTCACATCCCAAGAGTTCAAAATCGAGCTGGTTTTCGTTGGTTTCTCTTCACCCGGTCTCTCAAGGGAAGACAACACATTTCTGCAGATGTATATTGGTACTGGTGTGCCTTCCCTGACAATCCATGTAGGGAATGATATGTATATAGATATGTGTACGCATACCAGCATTTGACCCATTTGGAGGGATGTGTGTAAATATTGCATAGAAGGATTGTTGGGGTCTGGTTGGGGCAAGTGTGGAGCCTTTGGTTTCCCTTGAGCCAAAGAAGAAAAGAAATGTTGAAGGAGATCCCTTGGAACTGTATATAGTGTGGTTCCTTTGAGGAATCAGACCCCCCCACATGGCGCAACGGACATCTTGTTGGTGCCCGTTTGAAACAACCCAAAAAGGGCTAGCCTTTCAAGAACAGGAAAGCACCATCATATCTCTCTTCTGAATTAAACCTCCTACCATTTGGTCTTCTGAATCGGGGCTGTCAATTCGAAGCATCAGACAGGTGATTATGGACGGCTCCCAGTGCTGCGATCTGCTGCGGCCGCCCTACTGCACCCTGGGCTTGACCGGGCGGGCTCAGGGCCGACCAGTCCAGAGATGTGCAGTTGAACAGAGGTGAAGCAAAACCGTTGTTGACGGAGTTCTAGAAGCACAGTGCAGATGGGGCGTATCTTCGTTCTGGATGGGTTCAAAGGTAAACAGACGGGAATTTTCAGGGTTCCCCTATTGTGAGACAAGCTCAAATATTACTGGGCAACAAGAAGCGCGACATCGCGCAAGGGGTTGCGTGCCAAAGTCAAGATTCCTTTCTTTGGTCTCTCCTTCCGGGTTGGTGAAGTATATCATAGTTTATGCAGAAAGATTGGTTTCAACCAGCACCCCCCCCTCCCCCACAACGACTGTGTTTTGGATAGTAATTACTTTGGGATTTTGGACAAGGGAGCAAGCAGTTTTTGGGGAACTGCTGGAGCTGTTGGAAATACAACAAATTGCCAACGACAGGGTTCCATTCTTGCGCTTTCTCCCCAAGCTGAAACACACCCGACCTTTGGGGCAGCCAAACGCCTTCAGCGCGTGCTTGCACCCTCCAACAGAGTCCATGGTGGTTGCAGATGGGAAACGGAGAGCGGGTTCTTGGGTGGAAAGGCCGCAAAAGTTTACAGCTAGATATGTACTGCTCCATCTCCACGATGTAGCACTTGGACTTGGCGCGGTGGTTTTGAATCATAGGATTTCATATTTCACCCTCCCCCTAAGCAAACAAATGTACCACCAACCCCCCCCCCCCGGCGATTCCGCGAACTTGTTTTCGTTTGCTTACAAGGGTGTCCTTTGTGCCCCTCAGTGACCAGTGTGCGCCGCCATATTCCTTTTAGCGAACAAAGGGGAAGCAGAATCGCGCCAACTGGAAAATTCCTCTGGCCGACAAAGATCAAAGCCTGAGAACGGACTGACTCCGCGGTTTTGTCGCATGGCTTGCTTTCAAGCCAATGAACAGATGGACGATTTGCTGAAGTGATCGGAAGTAACAGCAACTGGCAGTGGTTCCAACTGCTTTGTTTCTGATTCGCCGCCGCTTTGACCAGCCCCCCGCGCCACCAATGTTGGTCCTCCCACAAAAGGCGAACCCCAGTTGAGCGTGAGAAACAGTTGCAGAATGTGCCTGAAGTGCATGACTGTCAGCCATCAAGTTCCTTTTTCCTTGGATTCTAAGAAACCAGCTGCACATTCTACAGGAAATCAGCTGATGTTTGTACGAAGTTTGTCTCACCCCAAAGGGGAGTTCTCAGGTTTGCAGTCGCAGTGGTCCTGGTCCACCTTGGCCGTGGCAATCCTAATCGGAGGCGCGCGCGATCGGCGCGATCGCGCGATCGGCACACCTCCGCGCACTGGGCGTTATTGGGTTTTGAATGGCCATGTTGGCAAACGAAACGTTGAGATGTTTTGTTGCTCTTTCCACTCAGGAAGTGAGCAGATGACAGTTAAGGAACAATCCCAACCATAGATGGGTGTCTTTTGTCAGGGTAGCCTTTGTGGGGTCACTTTGGCGGGAAACCGGAGAAAGCCACACAGGTGGTTTGCGTTGGTGGTTTGAGGCTGAGGGTTTCCCATTTACCCTCTACAGAACCCAGAAATCCTCAAGCCACTCCAAATCGCCAATCAGGCACCGGAAACTAAAGTGGTCTACCCCAAAAACATGTAATGAACTTTAAGGCGAGCGGCACAACCCTAAGCGAGGGTGTCTTAATAGCCGCCGCATTGTTTACCTGCCCACGGTTGACGTTAAAGCTGTGATTTCGCTGAGGCCGCAGCAGCATTTGCATGCCCAACAAGGGTTGTAGAATGTTCTATTGCTAGTTTCTTGGTATGGGCGTGTCTTTCAGGGGACCCCCAAAATGGGTTGTTTTCCTTGTAGTTGTCCTTTAAAACTAATAGACAGGGCTCACAACAGCGCAACCCCAGAAAATTGGAATCACGGAGGCACGCTCATCGCTTTGCTGACCTCGGTGCTGGCATCCCTCACGGTGCCTTTGCTCGATTAAGTTGGGTCGGTTTTTCCGTGTTCGTCGATGTTCCCCAAGATAAACTTGAGTGCTTGTTTTTGTAGGGGCCCCCAAATGGCTTCGATTTTCCTTTTGGTCTGCTTTTAAAACAACCAAACAAGGGACACCCTCAAAAAAGACGCTCTCTTGTTGGGGAAATGAATCAATTTTGGGTTCAAGTCTATATTGGGGGTTTCAATCGACTGGAACCCTGAAACCCAACCCAAGCTCGTAGGCTTCTAGTTGCGTGCCCTAAATGGCTTGTAGCAAATGGGCTGCTTCTCGATGCTAAACATATGATTGTCCTTTGGTGCAGGAGCCCGCATTACACGGGTCCCCTGACTTAGATGTTTGCGTTAGAAGGATTGTGGGAAATCCCATGAGACCACCCACCCATATCAAAATGTCTTGAATGATACGAACCGCAAGGATGCGCCGGGTGACACTGACAGTGCGGACCCCGTCTCCAGTCAAGGCTCATCGGCGAGCTCGAGACAAGCCACCTTTTGCCAGATACTAGATACTTGATGGTTTTTCTTCGTGAAAGAGAACCACTGGGCACGATAGAAATGGATCGCACGGGCGTCAAATTACCCTGGGTGCAGAAAGCCGATGGGTTTATGATACACTGATTGAAAACCAGGTTTTAATATGACGCCCGATCCAAGGAAAGTTGCATGGGTCATCAGTGTAGGAGATGGTATCGAAGACCGAGTCACACATACCGACTAGAAGCTGACTACGTCAGAGGTGTCAGCTCAATTTGTTTAAGCCCCCTGGAAAAATATACAAATATGTCCAGTGAATCTGATTCCCTAACACAAAAGTCTAATGTTTTTTGCTTGGGCCCTTGTTATGGGCCACTAATGGCTGAAAAATTCATACGGGGAATACATACATAAATAATTGCAATATGTACAGTCATTATATATATATATATCTGTATTCTACGTGCCTTTTTTTGAGGGTACCCCGTTTGGGGTGGTCTTCAAGTGAAACCAAAAGAAAAAACACCCTTTCCAGGGTCCCCATGGATCATATTATATTGCCCACATTGTCACTTCCTGAGCTTCTGAAGTCGATTCATTTTTTCATTTTTCAAAGGTCGCGTCAATGGCAAACAAGGAGTTTGGATTGTAAACTCCACTCAAGAAGAGAATCCCCCCCCAGCAACAAAAGAAAAACAATCCCCCCCACCCCAAAAAACAAGAACGGAAACAAGAAGGCAACTACCTGACCAATTGCTCCTGAATGGGCCCCTATTTTTGGGACCGGGGTTTGGGGGCTTGGCACGAAGAGTCCCAATGGAGTTGGAACCTTTCAAGATTGCTGTCGTCAAAGATTGCTACTCCAGAGGCAGCAGTTGAGAAACGCACACATCCAGTCAGAACACAGTATGACCCAAAGGTAACGTTCCCTGCACTCCACGTTTTCCCCACCCCTCCGGCCGCTTTTCGACCCCCGAAAAAGCACCGGAGGCGCGGGCGCCGGCGCGGGGCACCAAGCCGCTGCCGGCGCAGAGCCAAGTGCCGGAGCCGGGGAAGGCGGCTACCAAGGTGGAGGAGCTGTACCAGGCGCGAGGAATGGGCCAGTTGCTCAGTGGGTTGCTTCCTTTTCTCAACTTATGTTTTGGGAAGGGTTTCTCAACTTTTTGTTTTGGGAAGGGATTCTCAGCTATTTTTTGAGGGGGAAGGGTTTCTCAACTTTTTTTGGGGGGAAGGGTTTCTCAACTGTTTTTTAAGCAAGGGTTTCTCAACTTTGTTTTTTGGGGAAGGGTTTCTCAACTTTGTTTTTTTGGAAGGGTTTCTCAACTCTTTTTGTTTGGGAAGGGTTTCTCGACTTTTTTTTGGGGGGAAGGGTTTCTCAGCTTTTTTGGGGAAGGGTGTCTCAACTCTTTTATTTTCGGGAAGGGTTTCTCAACTTTGTTTTTGGGGAAGGGTTTCTCGACTTTTTTTGGGGGGGAAGGGTTTCTCAGCTTTTTTGGGGAAGGGTGTCTCAACTCTTTTATTTTCGGGAAGGGTTTCTCAACTTTGTTTTTGGGGAAGGGTTTCTCGACTTTTTTTTGGGGGGAAGGGTTTCTCAGCTTTTTTGGGGAAGGGTGTCTCAACTCTTTTATTTTCGGGAAGGGTTTCTCAACTTTGTTTTTGGGGAAGGGTTTCTCGACTTTTTCTTGGGGGGAAGGGTTTCTCAGCTTTTTTGGGGAAGGGTGTCTCAACTCTTTTATTTTCGGGAAGGGTTTCTCAACTTTGTTTTTGGGGAAGGGTTTCTCGACTTTTTTTTTGGGGGAAGGGTTTCTCAGCTTTTTTGGGGAAGGGTGTCTCAACTCTTTTATTTTCGGGAAGGGTTTCTCAACTTTGTTTTTGGGGAAGGGTTTCTCGACTTTTTTTTGGGGGGAAGGGTTTCTCAGCTTTTTTGGGGAAGGGTGTCTCAACTCTTTTATTTTCGGGAAGGGTTTCTCAACTTTGTTTTTGGGGAAGGGTTTCTCGACTTTTTTTTGGGGGAAGGGTTCAGATTGAAAGTCAACCAACCAAAAAAAGGCCGGGAGGTGGGCTCCACTCTTTCCAGTTGGGGTGGGGTCTTTAGCATTGTGGCGGAACCAACCAAAAAAGGATGCCCTTTTTTCATTATGGCCACTGGCATCTGAGATGGGCCAACGGAGCTGATCAATATTCCATTTAGGGCCAAACCAAGACATGGGGCTTGGTTCGGTTGGTTTTGGTGCTGGGAGGATATCACCCTTCCCTATCCCCAAAGAAAGGGACCGCAAATAGATATATATATATATATTGGGGGGGGTCGATTCATATTCCATGTAGGGCCCCCGAAGGAAACCAAGACATGGGGCTTGGTTGGGTCGGTTTTGGTTGGTTCGGTTGCTTGCTGACACCAAAAGTCACCCGAGCTTTCACTTGCTGAAAGGGAGAGTTTAACGCGGTATCCCGGATCCTAGCGGGCCCCCAGTACAAAAAAAAAGAAGCTTTCATTTGCTGAAAGGAATATTGTTTTTTTCTCCTTGGTTTGAGAGGGAGTCGATTTCACTACTGGACATATGTCCATTTTATTCCAGGCCGGCTGGTCTGGTTGTTTGAGGCTCATTGGCCCCTGGCTTTTTAAGGTCAACACATATACTTTAGGGCGATTTGGTAACGGAGGTTTGGCTGAACCAGGTCGGATTCACCTGGGCAATTGGAAGGGACAAACCCAGCCATAAATGGGTGCGGATATCCGCCTGTTCACATCTTTACGGCTATTTTACGGAATCACCTGATCTTTCTGGCTCTTTGGCAACGAATCTTTGGACTTTAGCTTTTTGGGATTAACCGATGAATGATGTTCCGAATGGACCCACAAAAAGTGCAATTCAATTTTTTGCAGAGGGGTCGTTACCGCAGCCAAACTGTTTGCCATTTGTTTGGTGAGGTGCCTCCTGCAAAATATCTAGAGAGAGACAGAGACCTGTTGGTTTTCCAGTGTTGGTCACTTTGGTCAAGGCTCCAGAAGATGATCGCCTTTCATTTGCAGGTGAGAAGCTCAGCCTTTCACTTGCAGGGTGGCCTTTGCCTGGCCACTGGAGCTTGATGTCAAGGTATGGTCTTGTGTCAAGAGTGGGGGATATGCATATCCAGAAGATTGTAGAAGACCTGCAGATCGGGAAGCTCCACACCCCTCACACCCCACACCCCTCACCTCCCCCCCCACACCCCTCTCACCCACCACACCCCACACCCCACACCTCACCACCCCAACCCACCCTTCAGCCAGGAGCTGTTTAAGCGCTGGATGCGGGACCACTCCCTGCGGGGCCTCTACGGCGCCTGCCACTTCGCCGAGACCGCGGCCTCGCAGTTCGCGGCGCTCGCCGCGGTCTTCGACTTCCAGGTGGACTCCGTTAGGCCGGCTTTTCGGGGCAGGGGACCGGATCCCCCGTTTTTTTGACCATTTTTTTTGGGGGGGAAACATCCCTTCAGGTATGTGGGTGGGTGGCTCGACTTTTTGGGAGGCCCCTTTCTGGTTGTTTCATTTGGATGGACACCAAAAGGAAACCAGGCGTAAAATTGGGCCCCCGAATTTTGAGAAACACCCAATTACGAAGTCCTTTGTGATCATTGATCCTCACTGAGCATAATCATAATCATTGATGGGTTGTTTGCGGAGGTTCTCCCAAGAAGACTTAGGGAGTCTTTGACTTGCTAGGGGTTGTCATCATTTGAGGCCATTTCCTCACCCACACCTCCAGCAGTCTAGCGGGGTTTTCCCTTTGGTGAATAGACCCTTGAAAGTCAACTACCAAGAACAAATGCCCCCCCACCCCCCCCCCCCCCTTCCGACTTTTCTGGGTGGGTGCTTCCGCTTGAACTGAGCTGTCAGAACTGGGGGATGGGGTAAACCCTCCTGTAAACATCAACTTGCAAGAAAGTGTGTCCCCGTGATTGTCAGGCTTTGGGTTTCCCTTGGGTTTCGTGCTCTTTGTCGTGGATGAGTGCCTTCCGTTTCCTGGTCTCGTGTTTCTCTATTTGTTGGTTGTGCAAGATGGTCATGGCTGGAAAGTGTGTTTCTTTACATGGCACCTGAAGCAACCAGAAGGAAAGCACCAAGTTGTTAAGCCCCTGTTGCTTGGAAGATACTGGAAAGAGCAGTGACTAAAACAGGAAAGGGCCGACTTATTGCCTCGTCGAATCAAAGAGTGAAGTAGAATGTGATGGGTGGTTTAGGCAACAAATGAAGCTGGCTACCCTCATTTCGTGGTTATATACATATATATATATATATAATATACACAGGCATGGGGGAAGCCTACCCCATTTTGTGCTTATAGTATACATACACATGTACATATGTATATATAATATGTATATGTAGATCGACAAGG